CACTGATATAGAGTTAGTGTCGTGTTGTAACACAAACTAATACTTTCAATGAAATCGAATATTAACGGCGAAATGATATTTAAACGTTCAACGAATGACGCCTTTCAATAGTAATGAATTTACTGCTCTTTGATGAGTACCTGAAAAACAAATTAAAAGTGTATACCCTACTCACTTTTGAGGCAACCTGCGTATATTTTGATCTGTCCGGCTTTCTATTTTAAGCATAGTGTAACAACGATGATTCTGCTTTAAAGTTGTCGTACAACTCGAGTGTGCATGTCTTACAGCAATTTAATCTGCGTATTGATTTGTGTTAAACTTAAATAAAATGTTACAAATGCAACGGCTATATCGAATCCATATATATAACAACATATATAACCAATTCTGTTTTCAGTCTTCACAAAAAACAATCGGTCCTTTCTTTGTGGGCACTTTCGCATTTTTTGTAATTCATTCATACATAGGCCGAATAATTTTTGTTGTCCGCTGTGTTGCTTCGATTTGAAAGATTCGTATTTTGTACACAAGTATACCTGTATATTAATTTATTGATGCTTGTTGTCGCTATTTATGCTTACTGTTTTAATGCTTTTCTTGTGAAAAAGTGTAACACTCTTTTTGAATGTTGATAATAAATGAAGCACAACCGGTGTTAGCAAAACGATGTAATTTGCCGACGTTTCGAATTTCTATACAGAAAAACTTCATCAGGGCATGATATGGAAAGGACACTCAAAAAGAAACTCAAAAAGAAACTCAATACAGGAGAAGACTATTTCTCGAATCTTATCACATAAATAAAGAGAAGAATTCGATGAATGACAAAGAAACCACACTTTTCCCGCCTGTGTATATATTATTGTTTAAATAGTCCCCTTTTTGTTTGAACTTGCGCTAGTTTTACCTTATCATCATCCTTTTAGATTAGAGTTGATAATTTTTTCATATATTTTTTCTTTTTCTTGCTCTATATATATATCCACTTGTGTCCTTTCCATATCATCCCTGATGAAGTTTCTCTGTATAGAAATTCGAAACGTCGGCAAATTACATCGTTTTGCTAACACCGGTTGTGCTTCATTTATTATCAACATGAGTTTACCTGGTGGCAATCATGCACTACTATTTTTGAATTTTCAACAGTGGATGATTTTAATCATCTCTGTTCAATTTTTACGTTTCTATGACAAAGTACGTAAGCTCGCGTACCGGATTTATTTTAAATTTATCTGGTCTTGAAAATACGTCATCATATGTATATTAGTCAAGATATCTACTTGGATTTTCTGCTTTCGTTTAAACTGTTGTAGAGTTAAAAGTTGATTTTTGCGCATTCAAATTTTGTTACCTAAAGAATTTTTCATAATTTTGAAATAAACCCAACTTTCAAAGGAAATTATTAAGCGTACTCTATGTACGAATTTGAGCGGTTATATATGCTATTATGCTTATTTATTTGAAATATTCTTTGTCCGTTCTGTTGTGTACTGTTTGCGCATGATATTATATTAATCCAGATACTATTAAGTAACAGTTTAGTCTATAAAGTCCATAACTTTTAAAAGCGAATACGCTGTATTCAAAAATTTGAGATGTTTGAATAAAAATAATTAAAATCGTGAATCCCTTTAGTAATGTAATTTCAGTAATGGTGGATTTGACTGAAAACATGAAATATATATATACATACATTGGAATTTAATATACATTTTATGTTTCATACATGACTTGATCGTTATAATCATTACTCACACTTGCTTTACAATTAGTGCCACTATTCTTCAATAACGTAACGTTGTGTTTAGAATGTAGATTATCCACCTCGAAATGTAAACAACTCCTAATTAACTGACACCAGAATGAAAAAAAAAAGCTTTACTTTATTTTCTATAATAACAGTAAATTGTATACAATAATACAGCGCGACAATCAGAAAACCTTTGCATTAGTAATAATAGCGGAATTGAATAATTTCTGGAATCGTGCAGAAAACAGATTGACAAAGACCCATTGCTAAAAGGGACACGGTGTTTGTAGTGATAAGCTTGAACCATGAAATACTAATATTGAAATATTTCATTCGTACTATCCTGGTTGATCCATGCTTCATCCCGCCTGCCCCTTTCACTGAAAGATAACAGTTTTAAAATGAAACAAAGTTGTACTTTATAGTAGAAATGAAAAAGACTAAAACGATTCTCTGCACGTTTGGTCAATTGAACGCAATTCTATCAAGAAGTTGTAAAATGCATACCTTTTAATTTCTTAATTAAATCTTACAATATAGTGAAGGAATTACTACTAGTGATTATTAGTATTTGAAACGAATCGTTTGTTTTATGACGTATATATGCGTACATTCTACATCATTTCTTTCAAATTGCTATGGCAACAAAAACAAAATTTTTATATGGGGGTGTTATAAATGTTTTCCATACACTCGTAGTTTAAATTCAAGTTTGTATAATGGCCATGGTTCGTATGTAACAATACACAAACTATTGAAGAAAGACTGTGTACTATCACAACGGTCAATAAAAATTTCAATTCAAACGGGAACGAGTCGAAAAGTAGACGAATAGACAGAAGATGAGAGCAAGTTTTTTTCTATGAATACTATTTTTCTCATTCACATGGACAACGAGTATCAGGTGGTGCAGTATCAGGTGCCACTTTTACATGCAATCACATATTTCCTAACTAAAACTTTTTGATACGTTATCAATTGCTCAACGTGATCTCAAATGTGTACCATTTATGGTGCCACTTTGTTATGCGTTTAATCACCTAAAGACACCCCTGTGGAATTCAAATTCTAACTCTAACCCTGTCATCGTCGTATTAATACTAAAATCACAAGTCACACAACCGCTGAGATCGCGTTTTGTGTATCACCTTACCTCATCGGTATATTATCACCAACCGTTCGGCTCAGAGATTCGAACGGTATTTTCATTCTGCGCATTTGTTCCGTTTCCTCCATTTGTATTGTTCTAGAATGCAAATAAATAATAACAAAAGGTTGAAGGCACAACATTGAGAACTCTTATCTCAAATTCATATTCGAAAGACTAAAATTATGGTACAGCGTTGTAGTTGTTACTATCTGATATCATTACTTGATTATTTATCATTGTTCAAAACAGTATGCAGCTAAAACGCATATTACAATCTTATCCAGGGCAACCTTGACCTATTGATGTAATATAATAGCTCAGTAAGGGGTGGCTCAAAATATCTTGTCCCAATTGTCTATCGAGTCCCACTTGTCTCATGGGACGCAACATTTTTCGAGACACCGCCCAATAAGTATCCAATAAAATACCTGGTAATTGGGCGGGTACAGCCAATCTGCAGGAAGCGTGGTCATTTGTAAATATTACCATTTCTTGTATCTTGCAATTGGATCGGCATTGTATTAACATTTGTCATTCTACTCACAAGGATCATATTAACCATACAATAATGTCGGCATGTAGCTTACGATAATGATACCTTCATGTTCATGTCACTGCTACAAATTCATTAGTCATTCATTAGTTTATTCTGTAATTTGTGAATTTTCGAGAAACAAGTGGTCGCGCACAATAGTTTCACATTTTGAAACATAAAGAGTAAATTGTGAAATACGTTACAATGAATTTGCTATCGGATCGATACTGTTGAAGTACCGCTGTATTTATCATTGAGAACGTTGGAGGAAATTACCCGCGCTATCCTTGATTACAACAAAACCGACCAGGCGACTTACCTCTTTCGTATGACCGAAAAACTCGGTTTTTGCCATGAGATGTAGAAAAGTATAACATCGATGAAAAAGCATTGCGACAAATTGAATGAACAGGATGACGACAAAAAATATCAAAAAGAGGAACGCGAGTGGGTTGAGCTGGAAGAAGTATATATAGTACATTTGTAAAATTTAAAACTCTTACATTCTATGTTTACTATGAACTCTTTCTCTAATTTAAATTGAGAGTTACTTGAGCTTCCGATTATCATTACAACTATGCATGGGAGAGACTCGCGAGAAAAATTCATAAATAATTTAAAATCAAAATGAGGTATTCCCGAAGTACGTGTACCAAGTTAGGGTTAGGCAATAATTCAATTCCGATTTTCTTTGTTGCAATTCTATTACAAGCTCGGAAACTGTCAATGTTAGCCAAGTCAACATCTCCCTGTCCATAGGTTTCAGTCCCTTCACAAAAATTGATGTAAAATAGGCGAACTAAATTAGTTACCTCTATATTGGTACTCAGACTTCAGGAGCGCCCAAAATTGTTGACGGTATGATTAATCGTATTACACTCGATTCAAGAATGATACGATATTTATTAATAGCAACGATAGTTTATTAACTCACCACAATAGCATTTCCATATTTGTCATGTATTGTAATATTGACGTCGTGAATAATCATTGTCAGTGAGAATGTTAAAACAATCCAAATGCTATTAATAAAAAAATAGCCAGCTGTCATCTTATTACGAAAATCCTTTAATTTTCCTTCCATGTCTTTCTTCGACTTTTCTTCCTTTTTTGGATCCACAGGCGAAAGGTATTCATTGATCAATTTTATCCAAAACCATTTCTCCTTGTCGTCTAAAACTCTGAAATACGAGTTAACCAAATTTAGATACTCGATTCAAAGCCGCGAACAATATTGCCCAATGCAATATTGCAATCCGAACAATTGGTATTGTCAATATGATTATTTTGGGTACTCCTGTGGTATGCAAAACAAGATGGCGGACAACAAAACGTGGTAGCCTATGTGTACCGGGTTAGGGTTCGGCCATGATTTTATTCCAATTTTCCTTATTTTAGTTCTATTACGACTTTGGGGACTAGCCAAGTGACTACCGTAGTATTTATACCTGGAGTTAAGACCTAACTTTAACTTGGTACACATACTAGGTTCCGGTGTCCGCCATCTTGGTTCGCATACTACAGGTGTACCCTATTTTGTACATTGAAATACATTGCCTCAGAGAGTTCTAAGTTTGCAAGGCTATAAATAAAGCAAAATCAAAAATTTACAAAACTTCCATGTTTTTGAATAAAGCGTGATCTTCCAGATTCCACCATTTCTTCGATTGCTAGACATTTGAAAAGAAAAAGATTAGTTTTAATGTAGGTCCTTTGAATATCGAGTCTACAATTTTTTTTTCTACGGCAAACTCTTTGTTATTACTTTCAGATTTCAGTAAAAAAATGCTGTAATTGTTGTGATAATAAAATTTGATTGTTATTTTGTGCACATCATTTCTTAAGTCGTTTTTGTTTACAATTTTCAAAATTCTGAGACTGAAGGGATGAGGTTTCACACAAATTATAAAAACCTAATCATTGTCTATTTAATACGAATATAAAATAACGACTCACCTTTCTACATGCTGTCTTCTCAGTAGAACTCTCATCTGCAACCCAAACATGCCGTTTAATATATATTTTACTGAATGCATAATTAAAATATTGATATATATATATATTGCGTTCCACCTATCATTTGAAGTTTTCGTTATATTTCAGTCACAGAAAGAAATATTCGTATACATACCTCGACAACTTTTTACATTAAGTAACTTTTTTCAACAAAGAATTATGAAAACCATCTATATACGGATCATTTTAAAATAGAAATATATAATTTCATTGGTTTATATTAATTGGATTTGAGGTACATGCCCAGAATTTTGTTACAACGGATGAACTGACAATCTAAAGTCGTATAGACCTGGTAGCTATATGTTTTAAAATTTTATTATTTAACAGTAATGAATTTTATACCTGAACGAACATTCGTTTGATTTTCATTTTGCGTTTCTCGTGTTTTGTTTTGTTTCATATTCTTTTCATCCCGTGGTTCCTCTGTGGGAACTAGCTTATATGGCGATAAGCACATTGCACATTTGCACGAGTTTAACCAACCGCATCTGTAATTGCCGTTGCATCCATTTTGCATTTCTATGTCGCCGCCATCTTTGCTAGGTGCTTTCTAAAGATATCACAAAATTCATAAAAGAATAAAAAGCAACAAACACCCGTTTGTTTGCTATCGATGTCTGGCCTATAATAATAACCATTTATGTATTGCGACCTGTTTGTTTTCGTCGGGAGATTTTTCTTCTCTTGTGCCCCATGTAACATCATGCATGTTGCAGTAACTATATATTACAAGGAATATGAAAGCAGAGGGCACACATATGTAGTACAAAACACCATGCAGTAGACACAATATCTCCGATGGATGCAATATGCCGGTTATTCCAAACATTCCAATCATTACCAACATGAATAAAGAAGTGGGATTCAAAATATCTGAAAGGATGAAAAAATCAATCAAATTTAGAGTGAACGAAGCACATTTTTAATAGGTAATACAGATTTCTGTTATTATACGTCGACTTGCTTTTGAGGCATATTTTGCTAGTATTAAAATTGATAATATCGGTAATAAGTTTTGCGGCTCGATTTATAAATTGGGCAATATGCACAACTTTCAGTAAGTTAACATAAACAGTAAAGCACGTTTGAATTCATTGGTGTTAGTTCAACATTTGATTTTGTACTAATGTAACAACATATTTCATCCAACCAGTTGATATTACTAAATTGATCGATAACAATGAAGAATAAATATCTATATCTTACTGTCAACCATTTGTCCAATAACTCCGACCAAAACGGCCATCATCACTAGTGCATAGATGAGAGATAAAATTTGAGCCACGATAATTTGAAAATTGAGATTGGTAGTATAGCATATGATGACAAAAAATATCACTGGTATCAGTGCAGCCATCAATCCCCCAATTGGACTCATGCCGAATACATATTGAAAAGCTCCTTGTATAATTAGAACGACAGTAGCAGGTCCGAGAAGGGACGCTGCCATTAATCCTATCTGAAAAAATTGGAAAATAAGTTGAGTACATGGGAAAGTTTTGGAACATAAATCAGTTATTTTCAAAGCCACCTGATAAGCAATGTATCCATGACTTATGCACTCATTCTCTCTGATAGCTAGTTTTGCATCTAGTAAAATGTCGAATACATTTGCTAAAGTTGATGGCCCCCATCGTCTGCAAATAAAAAGGGATCATTAACCGCCAAAATTATGAAATGAACACCTGGATTTGATCTAAATTGTTGAGATGTCTAACCGTCTCTGGTCATAAAACTCTTTGAATTCTTCTGGTGCAAATGTGTAAGAATCGGAGACAGCGCAGTATTCAATCTTCTTGCCTGCTTTCAACAATAGTGTACACAACCACCTGTCTTCACCTGCAAAACTGATTCCGTTAGATGTCAGTTTTTTCAACTTTTTAGATATATTGCTGTTATGAATAAATGATTCAAACACTAACTATTCTGGTTGCGACTTATGTTTATTGGCATATTAAATGATATACAAGCCAGGTTGAACTTAAAATATTCCAGTCTCCTATAAATGAGGGTTCCCTTGTTTCAAATATGAGTGAAATGGGTAATGGATATATTGCAAAGATGCGGATGTTCATTACAATGCAATTTATCACGGCTGTTCATTTGAACGAGAAAGTTACCTGCCATATTATAAGTTTTTACCTTGATCCCACTGTATTTTCTGTTGTGGACTACTAGCAATATTAGAGTAATTTCCCGCTACATTTGGTTCTATTAGCGCTGATCCTCTAAACAAGCTGAAACATCCAGGACTGCATAAGACGCATCCGAGTACGTCTTCTGTAGTTTTTTGCAACCAGTGTCCAACTGCGTATTCAAACTTTTGAAACCAAACGACAGGTCCACTTCCTACAGAATGAAATAAAATAACTTACAAACAGATCCATAGTATTAAGTAAATTTGCTACTGCAAATGTGCAGTTTATCCTATAACTGGAATAATTAGGTAAAGTATCACGATATCCTAAATTGTCGATTGAACAAAAAATCAAATATCCCATATGGGGATGATGAGCAATAAAATTTTTACATTGCAATTTGATAATGAAATGATACCAATTGGATGAATTCTGCCACAAGCAGCACCAAGATTTTTGTCTCTTTTCATTAGATCCAATAACGTTGTCAATGAAGTTGGTTGAAAGTCAACATCTCCGTCTAGAGCAAGCAGATAAGTATTTTCCAAGTCGAAGTTCTCTTCCCTTTGTAAATATTTCAATATGTAGTGCATATACATACATTGCGACCAACGCTTTCGATGTCTAAAAGGTAAGTTGAGGAAATATTAAGTGCTATCACGACAATAGAAAAAAGCCTTGCAGAACAGCAAATGTTTTGCTAGATTTTAGAACACGGTCTAATTATTCAAATTTGCATTTTTGCATGATTTCATGTATTCCATGCACTAAAGCAGGGGTGTGCAACCTTTTTAACAGGCGGGCCAAATAAAAGTAACTACGTGAAGCCGCGGGCCGCACTTAGAAACTCTACCTACAAAAGTCTCTGGATATGAAACATTTGTAGTTTTTATTAGGTAATTCTCTGTTTCTTTTTTACCATGTGTACCTTGAAGAATTTCGTACTTGCGAAGAGGTTTTCATAATTGGAACGGAGAAGACGTTAAAAGTTGAAACTTAAGAGAGGACGTAATGCACAAAAATGAGCACACGGACATGAAATTCAGAATTAGAATTTACCTTTTTTATTTTGCAGTTTTATTTGAATTTTAATTTTTTTTTTTAGTACTAACTGATACGTGTATAAGCGTCTTTTCAACTGAAACTGAGTGAGACTTATTGTACGTACCCGATGGAGAAACGAACGGGCCAATGGGATGGCAGTTAGTTGATTGGCCTGTGGCAGGGCAGATAACCATGGGCTTCAATTTTGATATTGCTTACGACACCAAACGTTGATTCAGAAAAACGTAAATGTAATTACGCGATTATTGTCAATATCAAATGAGTGAACCTGATTCCCAAACCCCCACCAGCCAATAAAAGATAATTGGGACCGGAAATCTTCTTCTATTTTGCGAGTCGGTGCTAATTTAAATATTTCATGTCGGCTGTTATGACTTTATTTTTGATTATAATGTAATATCATAAACTTAAACTGAACAACATTGTCATCAACGACTCCGCGATAAATAGTAAATAATATTTAAGAGCTATTTTATACTCTCTAAAATGCAAAAAATGAAAAAAAATTGGTCTTATGTTCGGTCGCTATAAAAATAAAAGGATGAAAACAATTAATTACAAAACAATTTGCTTTTAGATTTATTGCCAACGCCGCACAAACTATCTCGACAAAATGGAAATATGCGATAATAATTGTAAAATATTTTCAAATAAAAAAACATCCTCGACGTGAATTGGGCACTTTAAGTCAGCGCTAATTGAAATCCTTTCATGCCGACTTACTTTACTTTACTGCAATATTTGCTTTATTTACTGCAATAAAAAATTAAATAATTGTAAAAGGTTTCAAATCCAAACGTTGACGGCGGCACTAGGATATGTGCGCCAAATTCGGTATTCTCAAAAACACAAAAAACGATAATCGAAGTTCGCGATATTCGAATATTAAATTCGAATTGAATCCGTGCTTCAAGCATTGCATTAAATTATCCTGAAAGAAACAAATGTCACTACACACACGCTTTTGTTTCTGGTTTTCGGCCGTTCGTATGTAGAAAATTTTACGTTAGCCGAAGCAATATTTTTACGATGAGAATTCTCGTAAGTTGGATTTTTCGTATCCAGAGCCTTTCGCAGGTAAAGTTTCTACCATAGATGCAAGCACAAAAAAATTGTTTATTTTTATATTATTGATTTTACGGCATTGTTCGGGGTCCTGGCAGAAATGTTGAGTTAAAACGCAATAATTTCCAAAGAAACTGTTATTTAAATTTATTGTCACACCGACTTTAAACAAATTCAGTGAGAAAGAAACACGCTTTTAAAACTTTGTGTATTTTCTAACAGTATCTTTCTAGTTAATTTGACTGATATGACAGTGGCACTCGAGTACTGGTATAGGCGACGCCATGTGATTGAAATTGCTCGCACGTTCCAGATTAATTAAACTGAAAACTCTTTCGCGGGCACATCCTTCAAAATTGGCACTTCTCCGCGGGCCGCACAATTTTTATTTGCCCTCGCATTTGGCCCGCGGACCGCAGTTTGCACACCCCTGCACGCGGCTGCTGCTCTGTACATGTATTTTTAATCCGCGATATATATACTTGATATACACACGTGCATTTTTTCTCTATTCCAAACGTGCTTTATTTTGTTTGATTGACGCCACTGCAGAAAAGTCAGCGTCGCAAGAATGAGAGGTTGCAAATGGCAAAAGTAAGCGAAGATTTCTTGCGCGCTCTTGTGGATGTTCTAAACAAATGTTTGACCAAAATTCGTCTAATGACTGAGGGTTTGTTTTTAGATCAAAATCTGATGTCAAGTCAACGAATTGCTCAACGTGCACTCATATACACAGTATTTCAAATAAGAAAAATGAAAACATTTCCAATAAGTACAATATGTAAAATATTCACCATATATATATTAGTTATACGTTTGAAGCAATTCTGTTAATTTTCGGCGCGCACCTAGAAAATCACTGTGGCGCACTAGCGCCTCCTTTGGGTACTGCTGCATTTAGGTAAAAACAGCGACAAAAACATTTACATGGAACTGCGAAAATATATATCTGGCGACAATATTGATTATTCAAAAAATTGGATTGAGTGGTAAAAAATGAACGCCAACAGTTTTACAGAAATAATGCCAAAAATAATTTTATAAACGACTATATTTTGTGATTCAGTATATGTCTACGCTTTTCATATTTCAATTTTCCATTTTCCATTTTAATTTGTTATAGAAGACTTTTTTACTTACTTACTTACTTACTCGTTACGTTTATTCAAAACATTTTACATTTGAGTTCAGATTTACATTTATCGAATTTAATACAAGAACATTATAGCTTTAAAAAAATTACTTGATTTTTGAATTGTCTTTCAAATGTATATTGAAGTATTTTCCCCATGGTAATTCGAATTTTATTCTTCCACCGTATGGCGTTTCACAAGACGTGCCTTTGATGTTATTGCTGGAGCCTTCTGAAATTTTCCTAAATGTTTAGATCAAAACAATTATTATCTACAATATACTATTTTAATGTTTGTTTACTAAATAACAATGGCTTTTTAAGAAGTAATTTTTTCTGTGTAAAGCAGAAATAAAAATTTACTAACTGGAAGGATTAGTTCAAATTATATTTGTCTGTACATCTGCATGGGCGTTGTTCTTGGCTATTGGGCTAAATACCCCAAAACAAAGACTATGCATGTATACGTACTCAGCGGCTGGTCCTATTAACTCGAGAAGGCGATTGACATAATCGTTCAATTGTCCATCTTTGAAAGCATCATCAAATAAAACGTGAACCTGCTTAAACGATACCCAATTCAAGTAAATAGTGACAAACAATGACTGGTGTGATGACTTTGGGTATATTCACTCAACTCAGACTACATAAGCCTTGCTTCATTTACAACCATTCGTTAGTGTACCGTTACACTGCTACTTATTTTTTAACAATCAGAGGAACATTACTTTGATATTTTAGTGTATATTAGATGACAGTAAATAAAACATTAATATTACAAGCTAGTTTGAATGTAAGATAATTTGATAAAATTAGATCACAGCTAACCTCAAAATCAAATTTATCCACGTCGTTACTGACGTACTGACTGAGTCTAAAAAACAAAAAATCCGTGAAAAAAAACATCTAAATATTGAGTTTTGATTCAAGTCTGAAGATTCAGCCATATAAATGGCAAGGCATAAAGTGACTTTTGTTTTATATGTATTCGTTTATCAAGCAAAACCAAAACCCACTATATTTGGATTAATTCATGTGCAATCTAATAATGATACATGCAACTAGTGCGGTGATGCCAAACATCTGAATGGATATTGTAATTTTAATTGTCACCCATTGGCCAGACTAATCTGGTTAGGATGCTTATACATTTTTAAAACTAGGAAAATGTAAAATGTAGCCTATACGGATATACAGGGTGTCTCAAAAGTAAGTATACACTTTTAATTTTGATTTGTTTTTTAGGTACTTATCATAAAGCGTTCATTTCGACAGGAAATATAGTATGGGAAGTAGTAAAATTTGGGTATTGTTTGCATTTCTCGACAATCTAAAAAATGACAAGTATATTCCCCATGCAAGAAATGAGGTGCAAAATTGATTTTTAGCAATTTGGAATTAATTCGGCTCCTACACGACGAACAATTTATGTTATTTATCGTAATTTTATGAAACTGTATCTGTAGCAATGTGTGAGTTGTCGAAAAATGCAAACAATACCTAAATTTTACTACTTATCCATACTATGTTTCCTTAAGAAATGAACGTTCTATGATGAGTACCTGAAAAGCAAATCAAAATTAAAAGTGTATACTTACTTTTGAGTCACCCTTAACTTTATAATATCATTACTAAAATATCGTCGTTTTATTTTTACTGTGCTGTAGTGACCTAATTATGCCAGTAAAAATGTTTATAAAAACATGGAAATATAAATTTATTGCAAAACTTACTATTTCATCAAAATTAACTTTAAGATTTTCTATTCTTTTGTTATAATTCTAAGAGCATTTCACCTCATTATGCTTTTTAACAGTTGAGTCATCTCCTGTTCAGCTTCATGCCACATGGTGGCGCACAAGAAAACTTTCGGAACACAAGAAGAAGTGTTGCTGCCCGGGTTTATCTATATCGTTGTAAGATACATATATTATTATATATGCATATTTTCTGTGATTATTGATCAATAATGCTGTAATTGTACCAATCAACTGTGTTTTATATATCCATAAGAATTTTTGTCACTGTACATTGCATACAAAAATGGCAATTTAGAAGATCATAATAAAAAACGGAAAATTTTAAGATGTACAATAATAGATTATTTTATTTGATGAATTATCATTGTGCAGTTTCTATGATTATTGATTAATAATGCTGTAGCTGTACCGATCAACTGTGTTTTATATATTAATAATTATATATACAAAAAAATAAATGGTAGTGGTACTCTCCACTTCTTCGTTTCGACAACGTACTTTATTGTTTCTTGGGTATTGCCTTCTATTTAACATCAAGGATTCGCTTATAAATGGTCCGGCAAATATGGGTTTCACGAACAGAAATTCTTTTCTAAAAAAAATCATTTTTTAATTTAATAATTTGATGAAAGTTTTTATCGCTTATTTAACAGTCGATAAAATAAATAATCTTACTTTTCTAATTTGTTTGGAATCCTATACCATATATAAGACGTCAATAAAGAAAGGCCGATCGATGCAGTTGCCCAACCAATTACAACTATCAGCACCATCTTCCACAAATCATCCAACTGGTAAGTCTTCCAACTGATGAAATCATTTACATCGCGATATTTTGGAGCTGTAGAATTCAATAAACTAAACGTTTAAGAAGCATTGTTTATAACCACTTGTATATTAGTATATGGAAAGGTTTATTAGATGGAATTTAAATTGAAAAATTATAAAATCGGAACAGATATTGATGTGAAATGTAAATTAACACTTTGGCTGGGTCATCTTGATTTGTTCTTTCGAAAATATAATTATTCAAAGGCATGCATACTCTCATTTGTGCGCTAACCCAAATGTTTCAGGCTAGACGTTGATTATATAGATTTTGTTTTAATAATTAAAAATGGAACGGTATGCATATATGACGTGTACATTACAAGTAAACAAAGTATATATGCTTATACTCATTCCAAAGAAATCCATCAGCGTAAGCATTTCAGGATAAGGTTGCATCATCGAGAAAGCTCCACAAATTGCACTCATTAATGGTGTTGCGACTGACAACGGGATGAAGAATCCTTGTATTTGTATAAGAGTTTTGCAGGCTATAGTGCCGAATAAAAACGTTCCAAGCGATGACAGACAATGCGTTATTCCCACAAACCAAAATGATGTCATTATTCTGCAAATATGTAGAATATTGTTTGTAACGAATTTTAAATAACACAAATGAACTTTGAATAATAATAGGCGTTATTGTATATAAATTGTCTGCTTTCGATTGAGGATATTTGGTCAACATAAGTAGCAATATGTTAAAACTTATTAAAACTACATTCTCTAAATAGGTTTGAAATATTAGTTATCAGAGCCAGCAATATATCATAAAAATATTATCTATAGAACCTTGAGCATCTTTTGTCAATCCTGTTGTAATCTTTGAAATAGATCAGATCACCGCCTGTTCGTTCAGAGACAACAAATTTGTTTCCATCAATCCCGGCATATATAGCAAAAGATAGTGATACTGTGTAAAAAATATACATATATTATTATAGGATAAAGAAGACATTATTTGGAATGTGTTTACATTATTATAGATGCATGTGTTTGGAAAGGTGGCATTTAAAAAAATTGATTACAATATGAATATTATTATCCAGTCTAACTTTAATGGAACTTTGCATCACATCAGGTGATAACATTTAAATCGTCATTTCTATATATCCTCACTGAATGCAAACAAAGTTGTCTTGTTACGTTAAGCATATTATGCATAATATAATTCCGTGTATTCCATATTCAACATTTTAAAAGAATGATCAAAACTTGAGCTCTAAGTATATTAATCTAAAATATATATATAAAATATCATACAAGCGATAAAAAATTCCGCAATTTTAGTTTACCCATAAATCAATCACCAATCTAAAATATCAGTGTTCATTTCTTCACTAACCTATTACGATAATTCTGAATATTGAAGAAACGGCGGAGATCTGAAATCTTGCGTATTCGCAAAATTTCTGTTCATTTCTCAGTCTTGAAGAGTCAGAAACAAAATTCTCCCAATAACGAGTCGACAAAAGAAATAATGCTTAAATGGAAACAATTTTAGTTGATTGGAATAGCTTGTGCGACATATATGGAAGACTGAATTTTTGATCAATTTTACTAACTGATATTCTCACTATTTCAAAAATGGAACAAATAATATGTATTTGTATATAAAATTATTGAATCATTTGTATTTATTAGGGATATTTTTTTTAATTTTATTATAAAATAAAAAAGTTTATTTTCTCGAATTTCGAATTGTTGAATTTTAGTTTTTGAATAGCAGTAATTGTGAAAAAAGAATGAACATTCTTTACATAATTTGGTCATTTTAATGTTGTGAATATAAAAATAATGAATAATAAATAAATTAATAATGAATAAAAAATTTGTCAAATTTAAACATACATTTTGTTTAAGTTTACTTACATAAAAAAGTACATGCGGTAACCCCTACGTCACGATCTTGTTCGTATACTGAGCCACATATAATAAAGTAACCGACCGATAGAAGACACTGTTGAAAGAACGTCAATAGTTAGTAACCTCAATATCACGAGAACAGCATTTCTTTACATTACATTTACCCCCGTGGGTAAATTACTCCATTGTTAGGGGTAAATTGCGTTATTGTGAAAAGAGATTTTACTAAACAAAAACCACATATATTTGCTTGTTTTGTTGCAAGAAATTATTATGTTGCCGTTGTTGTTGCTCTTGTAGATATTCTTCTTGTTAAGAGACTCCGCGTCTAAAGTTAGAGCTGTTTATACTTTTTTTGACGATTTTTTAAGAAGTCATCCCTAATGGCTATATTGGGGGTAAATCTTGTAAACTTGTTCGATAAACCTGTCAAATAGGCAAAAAAAACAACTAAGAACCACTGCACTAAAAGATAACACAAAATGAGAAAACTGAGGAATACAAAAAATATGATATCCACTACTTACACACGTAATTCCGATTTTTAAATTGGTTGGAGGGTCCACACCGTCTGAAGACGTTGTTGAAGTTTGGACGCCAACCCTATTTGCTCCACACATTTTAGTTAAAATGGTAATCCATGGTGGGACTAGACCTACAAGTGGAAACAGTAAACAAGCCAGGGTAGCATCGATGTTTGGAATCACTTTCAAAACAAGAAAGGTTAGTCCAATAGCGTGAAATATATCTGGAACAGTAGCCTGAAAATCAAAATAATATGTCAGCATAAATTCATATACATTCAATGTAGATCAAAACAGCAAAACTATTTACCAGCACGAGTTTACGCCAGTCCAATTTATTTGGGGGACTTGTTGTGTCCTTCTTTTTGGTAGATTTTAAAAGTTTCCACAAGCTATAAAAAAACACCAAAACCTCAGGAAAGCATAGACAACTCATCAATATTAACATGACCATATATCTCGGATAATAATATTGTTGAACTTGACCTTCTTTCACGTATGGGCATCTGCTATCACTGTAGTCTTGTGTGTAGGCGTTGGCGAGAACAAAAAGTGTAGACTGAAAAAATAAATATTGCATATTGCATATTTAACAAAGTATAGTTATTAGTGAATTACAGATGTACAACATATGTTGAACACGAAAAATAGATAAAACGCTATCATAAACATTATGCTAAGACATAAGACTCAGGTATTAAATTAAATAACCGTTAATTTATTGTGCTAATATACATAATATATATATCAAAGACATTGCTGATTTAGTTTTTGTTACCAACGCTACTGAATTAATCTTATTTAGTGACATTGAAAAATTGATAACAAATATTACATCCGTAAACGACATTTGTACCTTGGTTACAAGAGCCCCAAGCAATACGGCACCGAATATCACCAACGTGCTGACCCATTTTGCTGCCTGCAAATAAAGTTACGGATTATTACTAGAGTGTGGGTTCACATCATTCAAGGTAAAATAAATAATCACAATCATTGCCTAACGGACAGATAGCGGTTAGCTTTCGCATGTATTCTTGTGAATAACGCTTCAGAAGTATGTGTACCAGTATGGAGGTAACTAATTTTGATCGCCTATTTTACATCAAGTTGTGTGAAGAGACTGAAACCTATGGGCCGGGTTTATTCACGTGGCTAACGCAAACAGTCCCCGAACTCGTAATAGACCTAAACTAAGGAAAATCAGAATAAAATTATGGCCTAAACCTAACCTGGTACACATACTATGGGAGTATCGAAAATTCTATGTTTTATCCAACAAATCATTTTTGGTTTGATCACATTTTAGCAGCAATACTGTAACCAATCAAACCTTGACTGAAAACCTCATCAAAATACCATCCTTCTTTCCGCGATCTTCTTCTGTTTTCTTGGGGAAATCAATATCATTGTCATCGTATTTTCTGCAAAGCGCATAAAAATACAAGCTATTCAATATTAATAAACCAACATACCTATCCCAAAATATATCCAACTTCGAAAATTGAACTATTTTAAGTGAAAAGCAGTAATTTTTCCTATTATAAATAACCATGTCCATGAGAAACTAATTGTTTCTCTGCGGGAAAACTGTCTGAAAAAAATCTAAACTTTTTTTATATCAGAACTAGAATATCCTCAATTTTTTAGTATTTTGGAAATCCAACTATCTATAGTGAAAGAACTTATAAATAATGAATATTTACCGAGTGACTTGAATTTAATTGAATAAATAGAGTAAAAAAACTGAAATATAGACATATAAACCGGCCATAACGACATATCGTCACGCTAATAACCGAATTGCGTAAGTCATTTTTAGCAGTTTTGAGAAAAACGTAAAAAACTTCCTAATGATATTGTTATGCCAGTGAGAGTCAATAATTTGCCATGGTTCAATTTTTTGATCGTAGCCGGATTTAAGTTAATTTGTATGACGCAGTTAAGTGACGTCATAATGGCGCACTGTGACTTAGGCAGAAATGTGTCTATGACTTGGGGACATACGCAATTTTGCAACTTTACTATATGCACCAGTCCTGAAAACTAAACATTCCGAAAACGAATGTAATATTCAATATCTACAATGTCTAATCCCCAAAATAGCTAATCAGTTTCAATTACATTATTTTTATGTTAAAAAATATATATTTCATCAATATAACACATTCTGTACACCCACCGAAATAAGACTAAGATTAAATATAAAGAATAAAACAGCAATGCACCCGATATAAAAGCCAATCAGGGTGTATTGGATTCGGACAGTGAATATCACAAGTACACGCCCTCTTATACTGTGGTATAAATTCAAATTAATACGCGCTAAGCTAGAATCCGAGATGCAAAAACTCGAAAATACTTTGCCGAGGTTATTTTGCCTTTGTGACGTCACAATAGTCCTGCGGGAACAATGATAATTCTTTATGACGAAACAATTGCACAAATGTGCATGTCATACTAAATCTTCATTTTTATGGGTTTCGGAATTCTTAAAATAAAATCTGAGTTAACAGACAGGTGCGCAGCATCACATAAATACCTATTTTATAAAAACTCAAAATCGCCAAAAATGACTTACGCAATTCGGTTATTAGCGTGACGATATACCGTCCTCAGGTTGGCAGACCAACATAGGTGATTTTTTGCTTTTGCAACGCTTAGATTGTGCATAATTGATCGAATGAAAAGCAATACAACAAATTCCATTATATTTGATCAGACCCACTTGTAGAAACGCATGGCGCTTCTAATGGGAAAGACCCTGTCTCATTAATTTGCGAACGATAGAGATATTTATTCTCGAGAAATTGTGAAAGAGGGGGTTCTAGCAAGAACCTCTGATTTGGTGCAAATAAATATCTCAAATTTTGGCAATGTTTAGCCATTTCATTATCAAATTATGCTGAAATCTGCTTATTTCATAACGCGGCTAATGCGCACAAAGATTTCCGAATGCCCCCAAAATATTTCTATATGCTGTAGATTTAGTGTCCCAATTACGATGATGTTGTCTGACACTGATAACCACATCAAGAACTAAAAGATAGACGATGTGGTTATGGAGGTTGTTACGAAAGTCTTACTTCGGCAGTTTAAGCAAGGCATTCTAAAAGTCATTGGACGATGACTATTTTCTATTTTCGTTTAAGAGTCAATGTCAAGTGTAAAAAAAAATGTGTTTTTAAGGTATTAAGAAAAAATAAAAAAAATGGCATGGAAAAGGTTAATATTTGAGGTGTATATCGTTTAGCATTAGTTGATTATTCTTCGTGCCATTGGGTTCAGTGGCAATACACATCGTGGAGTGACCGCACTCGCATCTTATTTGTACACAAAAATATCGTCAGTTGCAGTCTAGGTCGGGCGTAATGATGTCACAATACTTGAGGAACTACTACAATTTAGAATTTCTAATAGTTGCCCAAACCAACAATTGCAGATGTAAGGCCAAATTATATCAAAGTTGTTTATGGACGTTAGAAAGTTTTTATGGATAGAATATTTCTATTTAAGATATTAAAATAGGATTGTCGATGCAAGAAAGCTAAAAATGTATGCGGCAAAAAAAGCGAAATAATTTGTCAACTCCTCTAATAGTTGTAACCAGTGGTGAGATTCAATTTTTTTGTCAGCTGGTTCCATCACAAAAGTGATATAAAATTCCGTGAGACGGTTCTATAGAACCGGTGCGAACCGACTGAATCCCGCTACTGGTTGTAACCCAGTATGCACGTATGCACCCAGTATGCACGTATACAACGCGAAAATTACTTGCTTTAGCGCATCAGAGTTCAAACAAATTATAAATTTACACATTGATACCCCACAGAACGAATTAAACATTAGTTTGTGCCAGCATGCGATAACAATGTTTGCAAACAGACGAATTCTCCGAACTTCAATAATGTAATCTCATTTAAACTAATATTCGGCGTATGTACACCAATGATTGAATAACCTCGGTATTGTTTTTGTACTTTCACTTTTAAGTTCACCAGACTCGGTAATATCAAATCAATTATATTTGTATTTCGTAATATGGAGGTTAAGTTTCGCAATGTCTAAACTCTTCTGATTCAAATTTCATCGATCGAAGCCAGTATAAATTCAACAAACAATTCGTATTGGGTCTTGTAAAATAGAATTCTCATAATTGATTTATTCCTACCTAACTGTTAACTATGAATATGGAAATTGAATGTTTTTTTATCAGAGAATTAAGGCCTAAAATCGCAATGGAAAAAATTCCACAGTTCTGACAAAATAATTTAAAATAAACTTACGCAGTGTTGAAATATTGCATTTTTTTGACTTCATCGCATTCAATCCTGCCAAGAATGATTGGTCCATTTTGGTCAGCAGAAGAGGAAGAAGGAGCATTCACTTCCTGCTTTGGATATAAAACGTCATCTTCTTCAGTTACTATACGGATGTGAGTCTTGAAAAAGTTACCCGTTTCCTGTAACGAATAGAAATAAAAAACTAATACAGTATAACCATCAGTTAGATAGGATTATCGAGTTTGTTATGCTGAATTTACAATTTTTTAATATCAATTCAAAATAAAATTTTAAAATCATTAATTTGATATAGATTTTATGTTAAATCTTGAATAGTTCGGTAACAGATATCTTACAGAAAAAGAAAATTTATTTTTATCACGCTGAATTTGGTCACGCAGTACGCAGGCCTAACATACCGCAAAAAGCGATTTCCGGAAGTTATATAGTGATTTTATCAGTCAATGGTAATAAACATTGAAAATTTTTTTGATGAATGAATATTTTTGGTATAAAATGAGTTGTATCGAGGGACCGAAACGAATAGTAGCTAAAATAATTGTTCTCGTTCTACGTGATGATCAGAGCGCAGGAACGCAACCGGTTGAATATATTCAAAATGTTGCTTTCACAGCGTTCACTTCGTTCAATATATTTTTTTGAATAATCACATTGTGCTTTTGGCCGGGCATAATTCCAGGAGAAAAAGTAATCAAATTTCAATGATAAAAATGAGATTAATTGAACAAACGTACATTGATAATATTGTCTGTTTTTTTCAATTTCCCCTTTTTTGTTTGTCCGCCTGAAGACTCTTCCGGCGCATCGATTTCATCATTCTTGATAACGAAGAATTTGCGTAGATGCTTTAATAAAGCTTTTCGGATATTTTCAGCAGTTTCATTGTTAGAAAGATCACGTTTGGCCTGATCAGCTATAGCTTCGAAGAAATTCGCTCTCGGACACTTGTTGAGTAATAAATTTTTAGATTTCAATTTATGATACAAACTATCAATTTGGTCCTTCGTCATTTTGGGAAAAAACTTTACGACTACATGTCAATAAAACGTTTAGGTTTAGTCTGAAAATCAAGTTGTTAATATTAGTTTTTCTGATCTCTAAAGCAGCTTTTCTCAAACTGTGTTCCGCGACCTTCTCCCGAGTGTTCCGTGGAAAAAAGTATCAAAATTACGACTATATTGGTTGCCATGGCGATCTCGGGATCGTGAAGTTGTTGACCAATTGGTAACCGTTCAATATCGCGTCACCGTCAAACTAATGTGGACTAACTTTTTGAGGGTAGTGGCATTTTCGTTTCGTTATTTGCAACTCGCAACAGTCCCTTTGAGAATCGCTACACCACACCATTTGTCTTTATCAATTTTACCTATTTATTTTTTTGGTGTACCGCGAGGCGAGATAAAAAGTGTAAGTGTTCAGTGGCCAAAAAAGTTTGGGGAACGCTGATCTAAAGAATGTTGCTTTAAATCAATGTAGTGTTCTGAGTCATTTGGAAATCGCACTAGAAACTGTCAAATATTTTATCATCGATTGCGGATTGTCGAATATTTACAGGCAAATCGCATTTTATTTTAATCAATAACATGTATGCAGCGTCTAACTTCTAAAATTTTGTTCATTCCAACGACCTAAATATTTTCACTTAAAACCCAGTTCATAAATACGAAATGCTCGAAAATCAGAAAAAGAATTCATGGTCTGATTACGTTATTAGTTAAAAAAAAATTATATCAAACAGAAATCTACAGTCATTGTCACAAATGTAATTTTCCAACCATGGTAATGAGAATTTTCGGCTATTTGTACTCTCGGTTTCATTTGAAAATATACTTTCATCTGCGCTTTTCTCCATTCACGACACGTAATTGTCTGCTTATGTTCTAGATCGCCACGTCCCCTTGTGCCCACCGTACTGTTTCAATTCGTTACTGATCTGACTGTTTTTATAGACATTGTGCTCCTTTTGTGACAAAAGTATCGTAATCAGCCTTTGACAGTGATCATCATTTAATGATTGACGAACTATGCATAGGTTTCTCTACTCGCCAATAAACAAATAACGGTCAATTTAGCCCTTGAAAAACCAAGCGACATTATCGAAGTCAAATGGCACCAGCGCAAGGTCTTGGTAAACTTTAAATTTTTCGTTTTGCTTATTTGAAATATATTTTTTTTATCTTCAGTCGGCTTCTTATGATATTTTTACGCAAATCACACTTTTAGACTGTTCTCAGTTTTAATTTTAAATTGCGACGACTTACGTCAGCCCACACTAACAAGATCCAAATTAAAATAAAGTGATATCCTATTGTCGCACTGAAGAAATAGTTGTGTTTTGCGTATATATGTATTGTATTATATATGTATGAATATTTATATTATTCAATATGACGGCTTATGTTACGTTTCCGTAGCCAACTTCGCAAATCACAAGTTATTGCAATGACATCATCAGTTACTTTCATTTGTGTTCATGGTTTGCTTTGGTATAGAACAGCGTACTCGCACATTGAAATGTGGCAAATAGAAATATTATTTGGAACAATCGGTCAACATATTTGTGGATATAATTCTAACATTTTGTTGTGTATTCAAAATATTCAATTTCTGAAAGACGTTTCAATTTGGATGGTTTTATATATTCCCAGCTGAGAAACAAACCGCTGAAACGTCAGTAGTGACTTCTGAATACCATTGCTCACCAAATTTAAAAAAAATTCACTAATATATATATTCTCGTTTTTTTGCCATGGTAAAAAAATTATTGCGTCGCACCTTCCAACTTTTGTGGGGGAAAACCGCTTCATGAGCAGAAAAGACATTTTAAAGTAACTTCACAAGGCTTTATTATAAAATGACAATATAAGTACTCACAGAATACAAGTCCCATCGCGACCTCCCTGTACCTTACCACCCGCTTGGAAACCACTTGTTTACTTTGTGGCAAGTTTTAACAAGTGTACTTATAAACGAGCAGTCGCAGGAATTAGAATTCACGTACGTACGTGATATAAAGGTTACCAAATACATTACGGTTAGATCCGCTTAGGCCTACATAATATTTATTATTCATATGATCACGTGCCGTCAAACGTCGGCGTGAAGGCGGATTCTGAAAGTTAGGCATTTGTTCAAAAAGAATTGTTTTAAAACAATTGTTTTAAATCAAGTTTTTTTGCCTGTTTTGTTCAAAATTTTATTGTTTTAAATAGGTTGAAGAAAAATGGATGTAAAAACTTACTAGGCGCTTCTTATTTGCAACAAACCTTTTAAAACGCCACAAGTATCGATAAAAGCTAATACACACCATCTCAAGCTGTAGTTCAGTGGTTGGCGCAGTAAGACGCAACCGATAAGCCATTACGTGACCGACCCTAATGCGACGAAACCACTTTGCGAAATTTGAAATGCGATCGAATAAATGAGTTTGTATAACCTTGAAAAACTCTATCCCTTCAACTTCTAAAACAAAGTATGCTAAGCATAAATTAACCGGACAGTATTAACCGTAATAATGCTTTCATATTATGAGAAAAATGTCAATACATGAACTCGAAATCCATATTATGGCGTCATAACAATTTGGTTGCGGTGTCTTTGCACCAGAGGCATCTTGCAATTAGCATAGTCTAGGCTAGGGTGTTTCATCGTTTATATCAGTAGATCACCGCCGATGTAAGCATATTCTTCATTATCACAACCCATTTGTTTTGCCGCAGGCTGCCCTTGATCTAATAGCTTTTGTAATAGGCTCGTGGGCAAAGTTTCATTATTTTTCTTACTCAAAACGTTTCTCTGACATCTCGGATAAACATTCCGGTTGAAATCGTATGACTTTGTGGAGATACAAACGTGGCGATAAATGTACGCAATAGGTGTAAAAGTCAAAATAGGAATTTTTACTCAAATTTTCGAAATTATAATTCCGGCTGCATGTGCAGCTGCCAGAATGCAACGTTTTGGCGAAGTTTCGTGGCGATGCAAGGGGTATTTCGATAAAAAATACAAAAAATACAGAAAAAAAATGATTTCAAACAAGCTTAAAACATGATGTTTTTTTAAGAATTGATAAAAAACAAAACCCTACTGAAAATCGTTGCTCAAAAATTGTTTTTTGGGGTTACCGGTGATGCTAAAGGTACGGTAAACCGTATTGCACTGCTTCGCTTGGTGTGAATATGTTTCGAGACTGTTATATCTGCTGTTATAATACCGTGATAAATCGAATTAGTTGGTTTTGCAAAAAAGAAGCGTCTGGCAGATACGGTACTGCGGTAAGTTAAAGTACCCCAGTGAAATTGACTTATTCCTTTCGCGATATTACTATTGCGGTAATGTAGGTTTTCTAGCAAATTTAGCCTACCGTATTTGTTCATTTTGATAAGAGCAAATAGAATTTTTATATGCCGTTCCATGACCGAATAGCAGGCCTACATATAGCAACAGGTACTGCGGTACTGGTATGGTACCGCAGTGAATCACGCTCTCATCTTTTCGTTACAGTTCTGATGAAAACAACATAAATTTTGTAGCCTAACTTATTATTTTAGTTGATAAAGGGAAATGAAATGAGTTCCTATATGACAAGGAAGAACCGTTCCGCGAACGAATTTCAGCTACTGATAAGTTACCGTAACGCATATGATTATCGGGAAATCGATTTAATTTTTATTTTGCCCTGGTACTGTAATGGATAAGTGACTTGGATCACTCGATATTTCAATTCACGTTGAAATTGGAAGTGGGACAACCGGCGTTTAGGGGCCGGAGTAGGCTACCTGTCAATCAAGTCATCGATTTAGTCACACTAGTTTAAAGTGTCAGTAATCAAAGATGGATGTGTCTCCCTAACAGAATTTAAAAACAAATATTTTGCCTACTTTTTATGGTACATTCGGATCTTCATTCATATAAGCCATTCCAAACATACCATTCGGTGGCACAGACGTATCTATACGTCTTTATAAAAAGAAAATATTTCATATTCATAAAATTACTTTCACTACAAAATCAATAGGCTTTGAGGTGGGAGAATAGATTGTCAAGTCATTTGCAATGCCCGTTTCTGTATGCAAATGAGCTAAAGTATCATGATTTGGACCCAGAACAAGGGCTAGCATCAAGCGCGGGGTGAAAATCAGAAGCATTAGTTCTTGTTCATTTCCCTCCAAAAATATTGATAATATGGTATGAGTGACATAGCAGAAAGCGTAATTCAATTGAGTGAATGCTAATCAATAACTTCTTTCTGAGTGAAACTTGGCTAGCGTTTGTACTCCGAACTTGCTTAAAACTAACTGGAAAAAGCTTTGCCATTGTTGAATTAAATAGGATCTGTTTTGATCTCGATATTTATATTCGTGACAATGGAAAACATCATACAGATATCATGAATCTCATTATTAAAATATTCAACATAAATATTACATTGGTGCAATCCAATATTACAGTCGTTTAGCTTGACTTATTAGGTTCCTTAGTGGCTGGTATTCATGGCCAATGATTTCAATCTTGAAGTGAGGTTGAATAGAAACAAAGTCAGAACGCGCATGGAGTAAGCAGCATCACAAAAAACATGCCCATTGCTCCAACACAATAAAATATGTTCATAGCTTGCACGGCAACGAATTTTCTCCCCAATTCAAGTAAGTTGGTTTCGCTCTTTTGCCTATTTGTTCAAGACGTGTGTGCGATGAGTATTTCCACAATGAACAAACGAAGAAAGATGCTTTTATGGGAGGATATTGCATGGTGCAATTGACTAACCCCTAAATTAGCATAACTCACGTCACAATACTTGAAGATATACTTGAAATTCGACTGTTTGTTCAATACCCGGAATTCTTGATAAATTATTTCCTTTTGTTTGTTCATTTGCAAGGCGTGATGCTTACAATATTAGCAAATCATTAATAATCATCATGGTTAAGTGGCAACGTATACCCTTGCAATTATTATATTCATAGTTTTCTTCGTAGGACGAGGACGAGCATAATCACATGTTAGCCAAAGTCGTTGAGTTTGGCGAGACGGGAAAATGAAAGTAACCTTATAGCATAAAAGCTAATATTTTGTTACCTTAAATTCGATTTCTTTAAAAGTTTTGTACATTTCGCCCCTTGTTAGGAGATAAAATGCAACACCCCCATATGTGGAAGTTGGAAAAATACAAGCATTGTAAAAATTATCAATTAAAACGAATGAAAGGGGAAAACAAAAGATCGAAAGACTATATTTGAAGAATTTAAATTGGAGGACAATACTGTATTGGTCGATATTGAGATCATCAAAATTTACTGTGTCTAATTTGCCTTCTTTTCAACCAAACGGTTCTCAAGTTGCTCAAAAATAGGTATTTAACTTGAAGTCTCGAAATAGCATACAAAGACCGCAATAAATTTTGTCGCTATTTTAGGACGGTATAAACCCCAGTAGTGGGATATTTGTCTGAAATCTTAGCGCAGCATTGACACGTTGAAAACTTTTATAGATATTCGAGAGTACAGAACGAAGCAGGTCATAATAAATACCTAGAAAACACAGCGTAAACAAAATGTGTTCATTGTTCAAAGAAAGGGAGATAAAATCAAAGTTTATTGGATTGGGTATATGGCACAGCATCGATGTTAATTTTTCGCTATGTTGTTTTAGATTATCATATATATAAGATTTCTTCCGCCAATATGGCGGAGGACGAAATTAATAAATTAGGTAACAGACTGCGAGCGGAAAATAGGAAAATTGGAGAAAATTCTTCAAAAGATTTTTTCAAAGTTATAGCTCAACAAATACGCAGTGATGGTCTCTCCAAAACTATAACACGCGAGAAGATTCGCAAAAGTTGTAATGAACATTTAGAAAAAAAATTCATGAAACAAAATAACACAGAAAAATGGGAAGAGCCTCCGAACGAAGAAACGAAGGAAGAATATCTGGAAAGAATTTTCAGTCTCGATTACCGTGGCATCGATTCAAACATTATCCAAGTGAGTACTTAATTGTGGTAACTAGCTCAACATGCAATAGAACTATATATTTTTTACTATATTAAAAATCTCATTGCAGAATCAAAATATTTCTTAGTTAATCACTTATATAGCAAATGTGAAAAATTGTGATGTCAGACCGAAAGCATGTGAGTTTCCCGATGTATATGGCATGGTGCATGTTGTAGCTGATAATGTTTGACTTTTGTAGGCAACATCAAACGTATTGAAAATTCCCATCATCATTGTCACCTCATCTCCTGATCACACCCAAGCTCAACGAGTTTTTAAACCAATGAGTCATACCCAGAAAACATCTACGCTTATTATTGGTCGCACCGAAGAAATGGTTTTCCACAATACCGTTGCGTTAGAAGTCAAGTCGTCTGCTGAATTACCAAAGCAACAAGAAACGTAAGATTTTTTACCGGACAACCGAAAGTCGCTAAAGACGTACAGAAAAATCATAAATGTTCATAGTTTTACTTGCGGACCCAGGCCTTAATTTAGTTTATTAATTTTGGACGTATTGCTCAAACCAAAATGTTAGTCTCACGATTGGTTACCACTATTTAATTACAACTGGTCCTATATTAACATATATCCATATTTCAATTAAATCACATTTACTATTATCGATCACAGGTAAAGCATTCAATATCTAAATTTATGCAACATCCTATTATAATTGATACAGGTCACCAGTAAACTCTTCCTCAGTCCCTGATAATAGAAACAAAAGTCAAAAGAAACGGGTAATCAGCAGTTCAGAAGATCGACCATCTACTAGCGGAAGTTCTCAGCAAGGTTCGTTTAGCTTTATGTCAAATCTGCGGATAATATTTCTAACGAATAAAATCTGAAAATAATTCAAATGACAGTTTGCTATTTGAGCAGGGGCTAAACAACGTGATTAAACACAAAAAGTAAGCATTCAATTGCTGAATATACAATTCATTGTTGACACAAATTCAAAAAATTACCAACAGAACAATGCTCAAATATATGGACAAAAAAACTAAAACAAAATATTTTTTGTTCGTTCTCCAGAACCGTATCCTCAACTAAGCTGGAACAATGAGGGACCGAATTACCACAGCTGTGCAATTTAGTATTACAAGTATTTCTAGTGGGTGTGGCAAAGATATTTTTGCATATGCCATTCCTGACCCCACTTGACAACATCATCGAAAGATTACGTCTTTTCACTCGTCCGCTTTCCCATTGATTCACTTTTTGTCCAACTACGAGTAAAATGAACCTCATTCGAAAGGAAAATAGACATTGTTATGGCATCGGTGTTGTATTGTTATATTCATTTAGAAACATCCGAATCTTTATCAAAAGTTCTGTAGTATGCGGAAAGAATTTGCTATATTCTGTCATGGCACTATACTTCGTAACTTCGAAATGCATGAATTTAAACCTAAAAACCCACTTTTTATAACATCAGTAGAAATCTAATTGGATTCAACAGATTTATATTCTAAGATATTTGGAGGAACTATTCTACTAAGTGGAGTGATAATGAAAAAAAATGCGTGATAGCAAGAACTTGTATAAGGTCGGTCAGATGAATCGGCTCTACATCGTCTAAGAAACCTCGAGTAATATAAAAAGTCAAAAAAAGTCTTGGGCGCATTTGGGCACGTCACCGACTGATGCCCTCAAATTGAATACACTTTGTGTCTGTGCAGTGTGCAAAACCAACATGCCGTTCAATAATATGTCATGTTTCTCAAGTATTGCCCAAGTAAACTGAAAAAAATTGATATGTAATTTCATTGCTTTGACAAACTTTCACAGCTTTGACATCCTATAATTTAAAGGTAAATTTTTATTAAAACAATGCAAGGTTTCATTGACATAAATCCGATATTTCCTGTCTCTTATTTCAATCAATTACTCACTCAGTTTTTTCCATTAATAACATTGCAAACAAGTAATAAATAGGACATTTAATCAGAAAAATTCATATCAAAAAGCGCGCATGGTTAGAGGAAGAGTGCTCGTTGTGTTAACCATTAGAATATCTCCGAAACGCATTATAACTCTTACATCATCAACTGATAAGATATTCAATTAATAATTTAATTGTTGATTCGTATTTGTACGTGACATAAATGTTTACCAAATACAAAACGACTCCCTCTTAAAGTCTTAGGCACACGCAACTGTTTAACTTTTTCATCGTTTTAGTTTGAACAGGAATATTAATTAATAAGCCACTTTCATTTTAGAGAGCTTTTACGAGTGCTTTCGTTTTTGCTTTGGCTGCAGAAATACAAAATCTTTTCCATAACACGTCTAGAAATTAAATAATTATCGAGCAATAAAGTTCTAAAATCTGACGACTTCGTTATGAATATAAAATGTAGGTTTTTATTCAAACTTATATATTCACTAAAATGAACAATTTTTATTAGGCATTTACTTGCTTATTTCAGCAAATTTTACAAACTCAATGTGAGGTCCCAAGTTTTCAGTCGACTGTATTCTTAAGTGAAACTGTCATGATCCCAAGTGGTGCATGGATTTTTAACTACTTACAGACCCATCGGAGGAGTGGTTCAAAAACAACGAATATATAAACATATTTTTTAAAAAGAGTCTCTAATGTTTAGTATTATGCTTTCACTACAAATAATTGTTCAAATGCATTTATTTTACAGGTTATATGGGAACTACGGATGAAGCTGAAAATGCCCAAGCAAATAACGGGTTAGTAATTGTATAGTCAAAACGCTGTCCATTCATCGCGGTATCAATGAAGTGCTTGTCGCTAGCTTCCCTTGGGCTGTCGTATGCGGTATTACAATATAATATAGCAATAGATACATATACATTAGTAGGAGTATAATAATTAAATGAGCACTTGGTGTTTCATTTAGAATGTGCAAATATGCTCTTGATCGGGCAGCTTGCGCTCAAGAAGTCGATTAATCTGGGATCAAATTTTATGGTTCGTTTACTCTAATAAATACATGTTCAGAGCTTTTCTAGTTTGTCTCGTTTGCTGTATATTCAGTAAGTACAAACAACATTGGTCCCGCAAAGTCTAACTGCAACAAGCTGATTACGACGCAACTAATAACGTGCCAGCGTTACATAACCAACAAACTTACCTATATGATTTTGGTATTCGTGTGAATACATTTCAAAAATCTATCATTTGCAAAAGAGTCACTGTTTTCTGTGGTCGTATTTTGATTGCCTAAACAAATTATGTTTTGTTTTATCTTACATTATATAGCAAAAACAAGCCAGATGATTTCTATTTTCGCAAGATGACTGAACAAGAAGATGAGAAAAAGGAGGGTTTTTTACGACGTCTTGCAAAAAAGGTTTATATTTATTTTGTCTAACTGAGTCAAACAGATTACACCGTTTTTGCTGTGTATCATAAAGAATAAATCAAAAAAGCTTTAGTTTAAATAGTGTTTTTTTTTTAGACAAGGTTGAATTTTTAACAAAAAACCATAAATGGTATAAAACTGAAGTAAATAAAGTATCATACTGGCTATACAATTGCTTCATTCTGGTTGAAATCATCTATACAATTTGCAATGAACGTTTCTATTTTTAGGTCGCCAAATACATCAGCACAATGATAATATTTGGTATTGTTTTAACTGGAGCGTTAGTGACAAAGGTTTGGAACTAGTTTGAAATTTTATACTTGGCTTTTTAATCTCAACTCATAAATCTGAATATCTTGAATAAATTTGAATATCTTGAGAACAGACTCACAAACAAACTAGGCTTATCTCAACTGATCAACACTGAAAACAATAAAAAACAGACAATAATGAAAGATTTTAAAAAAGATAATAAAAGATCTACTCTATGTTCACTGTTTTTATTGTTTGATAGATATACGCTTGGTGGAATATTATTCTGTTTTATTGTCTCAATCTTTAGTCAAAAAAGATTTGTACTCTTGCGATATGCAATTCAGAAAAGTTGCATTCTCAGAATATGTGCTCTATAATTAATATATTTTGTTTCTCACTTCGATTTTGTTATTTTCCAGTCTACTTTATTTGTTCTCGGCAACGCCTACACACAGGACTACAGTAATAGCGAATGCCCATACGTGAGAGAAGGCAGAGGCCAACAATACAATTATCCAAAATACATGGTCATGTTGATATTGATGAGCTGTCTTTGTTTTCCTGAAGTTATAGCACTTTTTTACAGTTTGTGGAAAATTAAAAAATCTGGTAGAGCGCGAGACGAAAAATCTAGTTGGAAAAAACCAATTCTGGTAAATATTTTTAAGCTTTCATGCCTTCTTGTAAAATCTATTCAATGTTATATTTTATCAACAATAATTATTCAATAAATTATTGTTTTTCATTAAGACAGTGTTAATAACTTCGCGCTTATCAACTGTACTTTTTGTGCTTTGATCTTGAAACCAAGAAATATATATAATCGAACCGGTTTTTATGACCAGGTTACCAGTAGGTATATACTTGACTACCAGCCTTGGTATTTACAGATTACTACTACTGAAATCCTTCATGCTGTCGGACTCACTTTTCTAGTTTTCAAAGTTATTCCAAATATTGATGCGACTCTGGCAAGTTTGATGTTTTCACTGGTAGCTTTGTTCCCATCAATTATTCACATAATAGCAAATTGGCAGAAATCCAGAAACGGCAAAAAGGCAAATTTCATATTGAGCATAATTGCATTCGTAAGTAAACTTTTATTAGAAAATTATTTTGTTGTAACCCTTTATAATTATAATAATCTTATTTGCTATATGTTGTGTGCAGATTCTTTTATTGTTTGGATACTGCTTCATATGTTGGTTGGTCTATGAACAAGAACAGAACTTAGTAGTTACAATCTGCGCTGTTATAGGTGAGTTTACTTTTTTGCCTAGACAATAATGTTGCTAATGATCTTAATCGTAAGCAGTACTTGAAATGACAAAAGTGATAGACTATTTTGAATTATTCTCGGTGAAAGTTTATAAAACAGTTCTTCTGTCTGTCTGTCTGTCTGTCTGTCTGTCTGTCTGTCTGTCTGTCTGCCTGCCTGCCTGTCTGTCTGTCTGTCTGTCTGTCTGTCTGTCTGTCTGTCTGTCAAAAAGACTGTTTCCAAAACAAACAAGCTTGCGCAACCATCTAAATAATGCAATCACAAAAAAAATATTTTTCGTAGTTTAAAAATGTTCGAAGTTGATTATCAACGATTCAAAAGTGTACCTAAACCATCTTAACCCAATAAATGCAAATTTATCAAGTTTAAATGGTTTCATAAGACAGGATCTATAATCTATTGTAACTATATTTTAATGTTCAAGCGTTGCTTCTTATGTCAACTCGGTATTGGGAAAACTTCATATACCTGAAAGCAACAGAAAGAAAAATCGAGTCTTCAAGATTTGAAAATTGTGCTCTCAACGCCTTCCTTAGAATCTGTGTTATTGGTAACTATATGCATTATCATAATCAAATTATGATCTGCTGACCTTATATAAACTTTTACTAAATCTTAGTAAGCTAGGTAATTTTATAGTATAAAATCTTTTACGCGTTATGGCAACATGTGAATTACTCACGTCTTTATCGATATGATACTTTCAAAATATCCTTTTCAGTGCATCCGTATTCCTCTGACAATTGATGAATCCCATGATGTTTTTATTCAATAAAATAAGTTATTAGACTTTTATGCCGCAATTTATTGTGGTTAATTGACTTTTTCCCAACAAATTGTAAACGCAGTGAGTGATCACAAAATCGTCAAAACGTGAACGTGAATCAATAATTTAACTTACAACAAAATGAAAAGAACTTGGAAAATGAAAATAATAAATTGATTCTAATAGATTTGAATGACTTTAATGCGGCCTATTTTAACCTTATTTATAGAATAGGATTTACATATTTATCCCGGGGAGAGGAAAGTCGATAAGACGGCTTAACCATATGGCGAACCAAGGCCTCTCGTCCGGTTACCACGTCGGGATTAATAGGATTAGTTAGTTATTTGTTTTCGAAAGCATGGACTTGATGGTCGAGGAAGCCGTAACCGATCAGCGGTTACGTGAACCACCCCTCGGCGGCGGTGAGTCCAGCAATCCTCTCGCACATACCCATCCCGCATAGGATTCGAACCTGCGAACCCACAAAGTGTAATTAGAGGTGCGGTGGCGAACGTATTTCTAACGCTTGGCACGATGAGCCAGACCGCCGCGCCTGATGTGATATATATGTATAATTAGTCCAATCTAATCGACTCTAAAATTCATTGAATCACGACAGTTTCTAACTACAAACTTCTACGTTGATTCACGGGAGCCAGAGCTTCGAGACCAAAGAGTCGCATGCGGCTCAGTAGCTCCTAGCGCAGGGGTTCTCAATCTTTTTTCTGTCAAGTAACCCGAGTCACGAAACAATCAACGCGAACCTCCGGTAATCAGACACCAAACAAAGTTTTGATATACTGATATATTGATTAACAATTTGTCGCAACACCAATTTATTGACCATATGTAACTAAATTAAATCTTTTTGTTGATATTATTGCCCTTGTCGTCTGCCTAACTAATGAATTTTTAAAATCCCCCCAAAGTTTTAACATGCATAATCAAGTCTCCAATGCTCGCAGCACGCTGTCTTTAAAGATTTCACAGTTTGTACGCAAAGCCTTGAATTTCAAATTGTTGCGTCACAATCACAACAACGCAAGATCAGGGAAAATCTACGTTTCAATTGGCGTCTAGTTTCAATGGGCACGCATTTTCCAATGGTAGTGATAAAGGATAAAAACAGCACCATACAAAAATTCGATTGTCATCCAAGTACCGGTGGAAATCTTCTCGTGAACCCCCGGGGGTTCGCGAACCCCAGGTTGAGAACCCCTGTCTTAGCGTATAGAAAACTACTTAATTTTCTGTTTGAACAATAGTGAGATTTCACAGTTTTCATAATTTGACATAAATTTATTTGTTATTTTTCAGTTTTGTTTTTTTTCGTCATATATATCCTGGTGTCGATAAAAACAAATCTTTTCTCATTGTCTGTAGTTTTTGAAGATCCCACACGTCACTAGAGTATAAATAACTACTAAACTTAATTGTTCAGGCGGTGATAAAATGTATCTATATTATTCTATATTTTTTTTATTTTTTTATTTTTATAAAACTCCATTTGTTCTTTTTCAGTTTTGTTTTCTTTTGTCATTTATGCTGGCATCGATAAAAACAAATTTGTTGTGTCTGAGAAAACAAATGGCGATCCGATATTTTTCAAAGACTACAGCAGAGTTGACAGAAGATGTTCGAGGTTAATATAAGGCGTTAATATAAACAAATATTAAATCACGATCCAGTTTGATTAGTTCAGTCATAATTTTTGCTCTGTTCTTTTTTTCAATTTTTTTTATGGTATTCTATATTTTTCATGTGTGATCATTTATACCTTGAATTGAAATGAATTATTTTACTGATATATTTTAATCAATCGTTATGATATTATGATGACTAGAAACGTATTAAAAAAAAAACTTAGTTAAAAAAAATTGTTGAAGTTAAATTTTGTTTTGCAGAATAATGACTGCATTTTGGTTTGCGGCTGTAACACACTGTCTCTCAGGACTGGGTACGTTTTTCTTTGGGAGTATGGCATGCCAGACACTGATTCAAATACCCGGATTTTGGCTTCCTCTGGTACTAGCAACTCCGATTATGATTGTACTGAGTGCAGCTTTTTCAATTCCGCAATTTAATCCCGCAAGTCTGACACTGATGGATTTTTATAATTTACGTAAGTAGTGAGTAGTGATGTTAACATTTTGTAAAATATTCAACTAATCTAACATATGATTGTAGGCATGGATTGTGATTTGGTGTAAATCCATTTATGTATTGTTCGAAAAAAAGCGGCACCTGTTACATATGTTTAGTTCAGAATTGAAAATTGTTTTCAACGATAAAATAAGATCTCACACATTTGTATCTGATTTACAGCTTTGAAATATCCCGAAATTAACGATTTTATTGGTTGGAAGACCAATTATCAGTTGGATGACTGGTGGGTGCTTATAGTTGGGTTTGCAACTGCTTGGCTAGGCGTTATTTTGTTGACGTTATTTTTGTGGAAACAGAATCAAGAGAGACTGGAAAGGTGATAAATTTAATTTACTCATATTAAGTCATATTTTTACACCTATTGTTAAATTTTAGACTCTTTGTTTATAAGATAATCTGGTTTTTGAAAATTCAATTTAGCAGGATTAGTAAAAAATTTGGGGTCCACTGTATATGGTCCACCGAACTGAAAACCATTAAATTTGGGTGAAGTTTTCATTAGGAAGTATAAGAGAAAATGTTATAATTATAGAATGCAATGATTGGTATCATAAAGACTAGATATTTCGCGAGAATAAAACCCTTTGACACTTCTTAAGATTTGTTTAAGGCTTGATTTGAAGTAAGTGCATCATCACTTTGCCAATTGCCTCTATCACAATTCTGAGAAATAAATGGCAAGATTTAAATTTATGAACAGAAACGTTATAAATAATCATTGAATATAATCCTAAACTACTAATCAGAAGTGTTAGTACAAAATAAAATGAGGGAAATAGTATTTTTATATACGAATAGCAGATTTCTAATGAAATTTGAGTGTATTACATTCATTCTTATTCAAAGAAAAATTATTTAAACTCGTTTTTTTCTAGAAATGAAATTCTTTTCGTCAAACCAATCTTTGCTGGTTCTTTCATCGCCGAATCGATGCTGTTGAACAGAAGACAATATCCGATACAAGAATCAGAATACAATAAAAAGAGGTATAATACATTCACTAAGATATTGTGTGTTACTTTGAATAAACATCAAAAATATATATTACAATTGATTTATTGAATGTTTTTAGGAAAAAAGGAAACAAGGCAAAAGATGGTTCATCATCCATACCAAAAGTTTATCTATGCGCCACCTTGTGGCATGAAAATAAACAAGAAATGACACAGCTTTTGAAAAGCATAATGAGGTATAGAGCCCGAATACTAAACCGTATTAACCCGTACTATTCTAAATCATTTAGAAGTATTGCAACTAATTAGCAATGTCGCAAATTAAATTTTACTTTAAATTTAATCATTCAAAACTCAATCGAATCCTTCACTGTCTTAATACTTTTTACAGACTAAATAAGTTCCGTAACGACCCAAAGAAAGTAGCTCGTGACTATTTTGAGTTTGAGGTTAGTATTATGTGAACTCTAATTGTGTAAAATTTATACAACGTCATTTGCCAACAAAAAGCATTTGTATTAAAATTTAAATTTTAAAAACAACTTCAGTTATTTAAGTTTGCCAAAAAAAATCACAACCACGTGTTTTAGCTTCAATTAAACGCCGTTGAAAGCTTATTGTAATTATATTTAAGAATTCTATTGAAACAATTACAGTCATATGACTTCTTTATTCGTTTGATATATTTATATTTTCATTGTAAATGTTAATGGACTCTTTGATATTCCTCAGGTTCATATTTTATTTGATGACGCTTTTAATGACGGACAACTGAACGAGTATGTCACAAAGTTCCTCAAATTGATACCGGAAGCTGCAAAGTACGTATGATATTAGAAAGTTCTATGTTTTATTAACAAGTATAAATCTCCATTTTTATTCAACGACGACAATTTTGAGCATTTCGTTCATATGCAATGAAAATTCTTTTTTTTTTTTTTTCTAATCATTTGTCGTCATCCATATCATCTACTAAGAAATTTTGATCAACATCTCAACCTAACTTCATAAATAAAAAATACTTTCTGAATAATAATAAATTTCATAGAGTTCGTTTATTATTAAATTGAGTTTATGTAATTATTTAAAACATCGTTATTTAATTTTAGTAAAATTAAAAAAGATAATAGCGAAAATATTATGGACCAATTTTGTGGAACACCATACGGCGGAAGAATAGAACTGCAAATACCTGGGAATAATATAATTATACACCTGAAAGACAGTTCAAAAATCAGGTTCCTAATATTGCCTTTTTTATTTTTTATTTTAACGCTCGAAGATGAATTATACTGACTTAAGATATCTTTGTAGCGTATAATACAATGTGTAAAATTAATTGCATTTGGGTATTAATATAATTATTATTGGTAAAATTTCAAAACAATAAAAAAAGCACATCGTCAAGAAATATTATTTGTATATTCTTCTATAAAACTTCATCTTTTTTTCAATTGTACCATTTATATACCGTCAATCTTTCGTTTGCAGACATCGCAAACGTTGGTCCCAGTGTATGTACATGTACTATATATTGAAGCATTTGCACAAAGGTATAGAAGATCAGTTGAAAAATGTCTATATTCTTGCTCTGGACGGAGATGTGGACTTTCAACCAGAGTCATTGACAATGTTATTGGATCTAATGAAAAAAGATGATAATGTAGGAGCAGCGTGTGGACGAATTCACCCTATCGGTATATGTTTGTCACATAACAATTCTATCAAGCTAAGCTAATCTCTAACTGTCATTATTTTTTTCGAATTACCAACTGGTAGCTATTATCATTACTCTAAATATGAAAAATTGACACTCATTCTTCATAGTAGTCATTGATACTTTTTGATTATATATTATATTAATAAAGTACGAGCGTATTCGACAGAAGAGCAAAAACATTTATATTTAACGCAGATTTTATTGGTTTATTGCTCTAGGTAGTGGACCAATAGTCTGGTTTCAAAAATTTGAGTATGCAGTCGGACATTGGTTGCAGAAAACAACAGAAGATGTTCTTGGATGTGTTCTGTGCAGTCCAGGATGTTTCAGTTTGTTTAGAGGAACTGCTCTAATGGAACCAAATGTTGCTGGAACTTACACGGATGTAGCGGAAGGAGCTCGACAAAAAATACAATGGGATCAGGGTGTGCTCTTTAATCATAATATTTTGCCACTTTTGTTTGCCAGGAAAATAGCTTAAAAAGATATATTATTTAGCAAGTTGATATGTTAATGGACGATTTGACACATTAAATAAATATTTGTGTATTCCATCCAAATTTATTTTAAAAGGCGAAGATAGGTGGTTGTGCACGTTGCTGTTGAAAGCAGGAAAAAAGATCGAATACTGCTCAGTTTCCGATTCGTACACGTTTGCACCAGAAAGTTTTAAAGGGTTTTATGATCAAAGAAGGTTGTTTAGATTTATTTATAAATTGTAGCACACTGTGTATATACTCAATTAACTGTCTTTTTGTATATTCTTTCAGACGATGGGGGCCATCAACATTAGCAAATATATTTGACATTTTGCTCGATGCAAAAAAAGCCATCAAGAATAACGAATGTATAAGTCGTGGATATATTGCTTATCAGGTCACTTTGGGTATATATGACACAATCTCTACTTCATTTACCAATCTTCATTTTTGTACTTTTCAGATGGGTTTGATGGCGGCCTCACTTCTTGGACCTGCTACTGTCGTTCTAATTATACAAGGAGCTTTTCAATATGTATTCAACATGAGTCCAATCGGGGGATTGATGGCTGCACTAATACCAGTGATCATTTTTGTCATCATATGCTACACTACCAAATGTGACTTTCAAATACTCGTGGCTCAAATTTTATCCCTCATATATGCTCTAGTGATGATGGCCGTTTTAGTCGGAGTTATTGGACAAATGGCAGAGAGTAAGAATTAAATATTTCTTCATAGGTTGTATTTTGCAAACAGTTCATATTAATCTCATTGTCTTTTGGCATATCATTGTTGTCTGTATAAACAGCTGAATATGATATATATGAATATATGAACGTATCATATATTATCCTATATACTATTCTAATGTTTTAACAATAAACGGATACACTATTTGTAATACTTATGCATGCAAAGCCATTTTGTTTTCACAGATATTTTGAATCCTACTTCGATGTTCATGTTGATAATGATTGGAATGTTTGGACTAACCGGAATATTGCACCCAACAGAGATAACGTGCCTGTTGCATGGTTTGATGTACTACATATGTGTTCCGTCTGCTTTCATATTCCTTGTAATATACAGTTATTGCAACATGCATGATGTATCATGGGGGACAAGAGAAGACAAACCCATAAAACCTGATCCCAATGAACTGGTAAATAAGTTAGAACTGAGATGAACATTATACGAATAGAATATAGGTCTAGAATAAATATTTCGTTCTAATCAATATAAAACTATATATACTTTATCAAAGATCAATTATTAAGAAATCTCCGAAGAACAAAACAAAAGAAGATAAAACCAAGCAGGAATTGAATAAAGGAAACTACGGCGTTGGCTGGGGAAGCCTATGCAAATGTGCAATATGCCTAAACGATTATGAGCCAATTCCCATGGAAGAACCGGGAAATGACGAGACAGTGCAAGATGAACAACCAAAAAAAGAGTATCCGGGAAAACCAACTAAGGGTATTTCCTCCCACATTCAACCAATTTTTTCAGAGAACAAACCTTTCATTCATTATATTTTAAATTTAAAAAGTGTTGTTCGATGATAAAAATTGACTTACGGAGTAAGTCTAATTAAAGTAGGAATTAAAGCTTATAAAAAACTTTAAACGCCTGAACTTTGAACTCACAAACAAATGACGAATACAAAGTATTATGAGAAATGATTTGTTTATGGAAATGTGTTTTAGTATATTATCTCTTGTTCGTAATCTGTCATACAAATTGTTATTCAAGTTTATTGAGATAAAAAATATTTTTCACAAAATATCACATTTCATATATTGCAGACATTGATGAAATACGAAAAGACGCCAAAGTAAGTGGTGTATATGAGGTTTATTTTCTAAACACATCTTAAAAAACTATAAAAAGTTGAGTTACAACAATAATAGTAAAAAGTATCGTTCTGCGCATACCTTTTTGCAAAATCTTTTAGGCTACACGACATATAAACCGAATGTTTTTAAAATAAATAAAAAGCGTACATAAAACAGTTCTTTAACGATTACACCGACATAACAATATAGAAAACATATAGATTTTTGAACGATGCATTTGCTAAACCATAGAGCAACGATTCGATGTATTTGTTAATTGAATACTTGATATTTTTACCTTTTAGTACGATGAAAGATGCAAAGCCTCGGGAATTAATTGGAATCTGGCCCATCAATGGCCGTACACCAAACCTCATGTTATGTGAGTTGATTTTTATGATTTATTAGCCCCAATCAACAGTTTACAGTTTCTAACCTTTGTATAACCTTTGCATGAAGATTTTTCAAATACATCTTTCCTTTCAATGGTATTTATATAAAGGATCCGTGTAAATGAACCTAGCCTAACAAAAAAAAGGGAAAAAATATTATCTTTTTTTCTTGTATTATGTTTCATAAATTATTTCAAAAAATGTCATTTGCCTTATGCGATAAAACAGTTGAATAAAAAATGTTTTCAATAACGAATTAACAGAAAAGTACAAGACGATGAGAAAGAGTTTTGGAATAAACTGATAAGCAATCGTCTGTCTCCACTAAACAAAAGCGACCCTAAACAAAAAGATTTGAAGAAGAAGCTGGAAGGCGAATTGAAAGATTTTCGTAACCAAATGACTGCTGGATACTTTTTTATTAATAGCATTTGGATCGTTCTGACATTCTCGTTAACTCTTGTTATTCAAGACGTCAATATTACATTTTATGACAAATATGGCAATGCCATCGTGGTGAGTTATTTTGAGCAATACATTTTTAACTTGTGCATATACATATTACGAGAATATCAAGGCGTTGGCTGTTTATCAGTAGATTATAATCGTTTATTAGAAGTTACAAAAATATTAACACTTTCACTCATGTTCGATGAACTCAATGTGCTATTACATTGTGCTATCTTTTATATAAAATGGGACTGAAAGCAGCGTTAAATGGTACTATGAAATCGAAACGTTTATAATAAATGTGATCAGGTTAATTTCAAAATCATCGCAGAGTTCACATAACGGATGTGCTGCGACGTTGGAATAAAACATCAGTCTTCTGCGTACTGTCTTTAACTTTTCCAAATAAAAAGACTGAAACTTGAATTAATAAATAGGTGTCTAAATTATTAAACTAGCAATAAGGTAAAGTATTAATTTTTGTCTCACCGATTTCAACTAATCAATCCGGGGAAATCACTATAAGCCTACATGATTCCCAGTGGAATAAACAGTGAGCAGAACAATATCAATAGTTAATTAGTTCATAGTCAGGATTTCAGTAAAATTCATTCAATCAATATTATAACTGACATATAATAATTGTTTATTAAACGACATTTTACAGCTCAACCCGCTTGCTTTTCTCTTTTTGATCTTTTTTGCCGTTATCCTGATCATTCAGTTTGTGTCGATGCTTTTTCACCGATGGAATACCTTCTTACATCTCATGGCGCAAACTAGTTTTTCTTTGAAGGATTTAAAGGTAATCTAGATATAACAGTGGAAACCGAACTTTTCCTTCATTAATTCTGAAGAAACATACGTATTCTAGAGAGCACGTAATAATTGTGAAATGCGTTTAGATTACTGAAACTTTTGGGAACATACCCAAACAGAGTTCATGGGTAAACAAATTGTCTCCATAATCGTAAAAGCAATTACAAAATTTATCGTGTGCTCAATATGTTCACGTTGGTTTGCATGCACTGACACATTGATCGCATGAATATGTTTTTAGTAGTCTCGTTTATTTATTCGCTTTTCAGAATGAAAAAGGAAAAACTCATGAAAATAAAAACAAAAAGCACAAAGGAAAATCGGCAAATGGCCAATATTTCTCGAAAATAAATATGGCTTTTTCGTGAGTAAACAAATTTTATTCTTCAATGCCCATAGGCTAAACGTCTTAACACAAAATAGTTTGAGGTTGATGAATTTCAGCAATATTCAATTTGTAAATTCCAACATTCAGTTTCTAAAGATTGGGAGCAGTTTAGCGTTGTTATTCTATATGTTTTTTTGCCCAATTTCAATATTCATCAACATTTGGAAATGGCTATAAATCAATATTCCCCTTTATTGCATGAAGCGCGACATTCAGACAGAATCAGTGTAAGAAATAAGTGTGTATAGAAGAAGATGGCGTTTTAATATTTCTACGTTTTGAAGCAATTTTAAGATATCAAAAATCGTTCTAACCTAGAATTAATACAATTTAAAAATACCACTGTTGTTTCAGCCCCGAAGAGAGAACAACGAAAGAGGGAAGTGGCATTAAGTATACCACTACATCGTCCAAAAGCGAGGACAAAGTCGACGTCTGACTTTGTTTATATTCTAATGTAAATAGTTGACGAACATTGACTTTTGAAAAAATTGGAAGTTATTCTTATGAACCAGCAAACCGCGATCAACTGCAAAAAAAATTCTCCACCTTTCTAATTTATAATTTTGTGTAATTTTCTGAAATTACTGATGGATAAAAATCTTGGATTAAAATACCCAATAGCTTATAACATAAGATAAACTCTTTTGTAGAAACGCGATTCAAATTCTTATTTTCATTACAACTCTTTAATCTTAATTTATCAATACAAGCTCTGGGGTTTGAGCTTTTCTGATAGCCTTTGCCTTCCACAGTGGTTCGATTATACAGTCGTGCGAACTAGGCTTGCACGTAATTGACAAAAATCAATTCCGTAATTACGGCCAAATCGATTACGTAATGACCCCGTAATTGCGATATTTTTTCACACATTTAAACCTATCATAACAACCAATTGAATCCACTTCATTTTCGATTGGGGCGTCGAGTTTGGGTTTTCATATTCCTGGCAGTACTACACGCCGGCGACAGATGTTAAGACAAGAGTGAATTCAAATTAATTTTATTCTGATTTTTATCTTTTGTGCTAGCTTTGATTTCCTTTATCACCTTCGCAAATTAACTGTCCCAATTTTATGCGATCAATTTTATCATTACCGACACTGGTATACGGATATTTATGAAACGATAGTTGACTTTTTGAAAATCGTATTAAAAAAATGTCGGGTTTTCAATTTATCAATGCCACGACGAGCGTATTCTCTCGTTTGATTATACTTGCGCTTGCCTCGCGACGAAGACTTGTTATTGCACCGTTTTTAACATTATTCGACTTTACTCAGCATTTTATAATAATTATTGATGCCGACTTATTGACGTTATACCGATTACCATGCTTTTTACATTAAATCATTTCGCGGCCTAAATGTTGTAACATTATTTGCAACAAATTTAGATCAAATATTAATTATTTGCGCATAATTTAAATACCGTACTTATATGATATGGCTTTTCCGAAAATACAAAGTTATATCGCAAAAAATGCATATTGTGACATTTATTTTGCACTCACGAAATATTAACTTATTTTTCTAACTCAAGTCGACGATCCTATCGGCCAAGATTGACACAAATTTGGTCGAGTGTCGGTGGTTTTCAAGAATCAAAATGAGTTGCCGCATTTGGTAAAGACAGTTAATCATATTTGGCCGAAATATTGCGAGGCATTGTGAAAAATATATTGAGCAAGGACAAGTCCGGACTGATATAAAACGATAAAACCGGTAACAGAACATCAAAGTTTTGTAATTGAAAATGGTTCTCGCACAGAATAAACACACTGGCTCGTACTTGATATTTGATAGTAGTTAAATTGAGAATATTGAACTGTTAAAAACAAAAAAAACGATCGTCGAAATTCTTAAATCTCGTTGCCTTGTTAAATATAATCCAATGATCAGGACATTTTCAATTAAATACTGCACAAAGATAGTTATACATTAAACAGTTAGGCTACAATTTAGCTTTTTTTCAAAATTTCAATCATGCATTGTGATGGAGAAATCCCACTATTTAAATACGGGTAACAATAAAAATAGAATAGGATTCTGGATTCGATTTAAGTATTCTAAAACAGTGGTTCCCAACCGCCGGTCCGCGGACGGTCAACGGTCCGCTAAGGATTTTTACCGGATCGCGGGAAATCCCGTCATATTGTTGTTTCTCTGCCGTCTCAATCGCTTTACCGATGCCGAAAAGACGGAGTTGCGTTGGTTCATTACGCAATTTCTCTTCCGTCGTCATATTGCTCATTTTTACCGGATCGCGGGAAATCCCGTCATATTGTTGTTTCTCTGCCGTTTCGTCTCGATCGCTTTACCGATGCCGAAAAGACGAAGTTGCGTTGGTTCATTACGCAATTTCTCTTCCGTCGTCATATTGCTGTTTGATAAGCGCGACATTAATTATCACGGTGACGTATTGGCAAGAGAGAGAAAAGTGAGAAAAACGGCTGCGAATACCGAAGCACTACTTTTTAAACTTTCACTTTTTTACAATCGACGGAATTGACTGATTTGAAGAGAGCTCGTTTCAATCGCGAAAGCGCTCGACCAATAATTACGACTTTACGTAATTCGTAACTTCCCTTCCGTAACTCGAAATATTTCCGTAATTCCGTAAATCTGTAAATTACGTGCAAGCCTAGTGCGAACCCCATTCTGGAATGCCATTAATAATCAACAGAGACATTGTTTTAGATCTTAGACGACCACAGAAAATTGGTTACGTGTGCTGCAGCTGATAACTAAGCAATATAATATGTATTTGGAGTTTTGGCAGTTATAACTTAAGGTTATGTAAAGCTATTCATGTTGATGCATCTTACTCAATGTTAATGTAGTGATACTGTAAACATATATTTTCTTAAACGAGTTCTCTCTTGTTAGTTAGTTTCGTACAAAAGAGAAGCCGTTGTTATACTTTGGAATCACATCACTGGCCTGATCAAAATTCTTTGCAAAATAAATTTGAAGAAAAAACAAAAAGTTCGTTTGAAAAAAAATTCCATATTTTTTCATACGTCGCTAAAAATTCGATTAGTGTAATCCAATGAATTTTTCAAGAGAACCTGACTAGATTGGCTATCGCCCCATATATGTATATACTTTTTGTGTTAACAAACAGCTTGTTCAATTGACATTCGTTTACAATTTTGTTTGAATAGGGTAATACGATCAATAATTTTTCATCGTTACTCCAAACTTTAGTATATCGTTAGCATTTGTTCCAGCTATTAATGGTTTTCAATATGTTTAGTTTATGCTGTTTCGCTTATATAATTTGTTTTGATATAAACTAGTGATTTCTTTGTACGCAATCAATATATTTTATGTACATAACACGTTTCCTTAGCACATATGAAAAGATCCAGGATGGTTTTGAAAATGTTATATATTTTCCCATGCGCTGGGAATTTTGGATGCCGCAGTCGTTTTTGTGACTAAATACACGAGGTACTGGGTTGAAAGTACTAGGCCGCTGCATTCAAATTAGACATTTTGAAATGTGACCGTGATGGATACCATACCGTTTCAAACCACTTTGCAGCGCAGGGTATTGGGCAGCTGGCAAAGGCTCTCTCATATTGAGTATACATATTCATTGAGTTGGGTTACTCGATTGTCGCTTTTAGTCGGAGATTTTCCCGAAAGGCAGTATTACCTAGTGTGACTGTAACTGCTACCTAAGAAGAATTATTGCATAATGGTGGGGTGTGCAACCTTTACACAGAAGATACAAACTAGAATATCGGTTAAAAACCGAAGACTTATCGATCGAAGGTTAGGGGATCCCCCAAAACAGTGGTCTTACTCCATAGTGACATCGTGTGTCCCATCACTAATTAATAATAACTCGCTAATTGAGAGACATAATATATCCAAAATCAATAGGCTTCTGATCCGAGCTATGATGAATGCACATGCAAAATTTGGAGCAGATTCAACCTTGCTTTCGTGAGATATCGCGTGCATCTAACACACAGACATACAGACAGACAAATACCTATCAACATAATTACCGATCTTAAGTAAGTAAGTAATAACTGGGTGAAACCGCGGGCCGCAACCCTATTTAACTTAGCATTTCTAGTAGTGGTACCCCCCAAAAAATCGGTTATTGATCTCATGATCTGCTTTGTTCGCTTCGCACAAGCTAAGGCATTATACCGGCATAGACATAGCTAAAAAAATAGACTTGAGTATACACTATTCGAAAATGGCACCGATCCGCGGACCGCACAATTTTCTGATATTTTCCGCGGGGAAAATATGATCTTACCCGCGCAATGCCAATACTGTCAGTCATTCAATATTGATTTTCATATTGCGAGTGATTACAAATGATTTATTCCTTGCTTGGGTATAGATTTTTAGGAATATTTTATATATTGCTGCATTGCTATATCTTACTCTCTGAGTCGAGCATATTCTACTTTTTCTATTATAAGCAACTAAGTATGACTTGACAACATTATTATCTAATTGTAATACTGTCAGCTGCACTGCATTAAACTCAGAATTGCTTTCTATCTAGCCACAAAATGTACAGATTTGTTCTCGATATCCTTTTGCTTAATTTTCTTTGTAGGAGATATTTATTCAATGTACAAATTTTTTCGGATTTTTCCGAGGAAAAGAGGATTCCGATTAGAAAGGATTCTGATATGAGAGAAATATGCGCGGCTGGATTTAGAAGATATATATTGTTTTGGTTGACGTAATTGATGAACAAAATAAAATATTTTTTGCCACCGAGTCGCTAACATACAGTTAGTTATGTGTCCACATCGAGGAAATCATTTAAATGTGACCGAAGTGTACCGAATATTTACGCTGTCATCTCAAGCACTCGTATGACGATGATTCGTCTATTTACTCGGACGCCCATCCCACAACAATCTGTTCAGCGTATTCCAATTGTGGGCAAAGATTCATCAGGGCGCCCACCGTCTTTTCTCATTTTATCAGTTGAGTAGCATATTTGTAATGTTAGAAGGAAAAATACAAGTTTAATATTCTTCCCAGCTAGAAATATAACAAATTTTACTGCGTTATATACCGGTGTTTGGGTCACATACTCTAACACGAACTTCACTTAATACTCAAACAGGGCGCCGCGGCGCACAAGTATACGTTCCCATAATTTTACTGGTCAACGGAGTTTGGCGAACATAAGTGATTTTTAAGTAAACAAGACACTGAGCTAATCAATTACCGACTACCTTTTATTTAAATTTTTTATGTAAAAGATGGATCAATAGTAGTGTTACGGTTACTTTATTATTTGTCAATGTTTTAATGTATCTCTACTTTTAGCGCACCCTGTATATATGTATTTGTATCGTTTTTTGGATTGAGAAATCCTAAATTCTTTATTTTTTCTTTATATTTTTCTTTATTCGATATCTTACCAAGACGCGATACTGATGCTGCAATACCAAAAGCATTGCGAATTAACCGTTCACAAAGCAACACTTCTCAAAAAATACAGTGTATAAAAGCAATGTAGGCTAAATCACGGGCTTGTCCATGGGAAACGTCCCATAGGATGAGATGGAATGGGACAGCACACATTTGTATTTCCCATGGGACACGTGGGACACGAATTTTTGGGGAAATGATGTTAAAATATTTCGTTGTGGACTCCGTGTCCATATATTTGAGCATAGCTCTGTTGTTAGTTATAAAGAGCAAAATATATTCAGCATTAACAACATACTCCGTGATGAACACATGTATAATAGCTATGGATATAAAGTTAACGAAGTCCGTAAATTTTTTTGTTCTGCATTTCTCTTCCTACATCTAGTCCTATTTAGTAGACACTAAACTTAAATTTCACAATTTTTATTGAATTTTATTCTAACGGGATTCACATGGGATGGGACAGGCATAATTGCTATGGGATGGAAACGGGACAGAAAAATACGTTCCATGGACAAGCCTGCTAAATTGTAATTTAGCCTGGCCAACACGTGTGGCAATATTATAGGACAACGAAAATTGACACAAATGATTAATGAATAACGCAGCAGCGTGAACAGGTTCATATGGGTAAACGCACTCAAATCTTCAAAACGATCCTGGATATTTGCATGTGTAGTTTTCAACGAAACGTTCAATGCAGATAAAAGCACTTTATTGCTTGGATAAAAATATAAGTAGCTGACATTATAATAAAATTGTATAAGCTTAAATTTCAATACACTCGAACAGCATAGACTAAGCATATTTAAAACTGATAACAGCTGGAGCAAATGCTAACGATATAATAAACTTTGATGAAACTATAAAAATTATTTGATATATTACCCCATTCAAACAAAAATGTAAAAAAGTGTCAAATAAAACTAAGCAGTTTCAGAATTCGACACACTTTGCTACGACAAAAAATTATTTATCTGTTTTGATAGCCGATGAAAAAAAAGTAGGGATTTTTAAAACAAACTCTTTGTTTTTCCTTCGATCTTATTATTTTTGGCCCCAAGCCAGTGGTGGGATCCGAAAGTATAAAACGCGTTCACTTTTGTGTGGATTGAGTAACAACAGGTTCCTTCATTTTAGAAATTGTATGTATTTTACTATGTAAGCTGCATTAACATGGCACGCTTTACATAAATTCAAATTATTCGAATTCAAAACACCAAATATAACGTTAGTCGTCAGCTGTGACGCGCAAAACTCTTTTTCTGCGGTCGTCCAAAACAAGGACGCGTTGGCGCAAACCCCACGATTCCCACCACTGTCCGAAGCAAGTGGTTTGAATGGAAAAAGCGTTATAAAAAGAATACTATAGCCTTAGTTTGTATTAATAAATTAAAATTCAAGGGATTGTAATTGAAAAAAAGTGTAAATCGCGTTTCTTTGAAAAAGTTTATCTTATGGTATAGTGCTATTGGGTATTTCAATACAAGGTTTCTATTCATCATTCATTGTAGCGGAAGACACAAAATTAGTAAAAATTAGAAAGATGGAAAATATTATTTGCAGTCAGTTGATAGCTATTTGATGATTCAAAAAAGTGAGTTCAAAATTCATCATCTTCGCCAACTATTTACATTGTATTACTTTCAAGCTCGGACGTTGGTTTTCTTCTGGCTATTGACCAATGTGGTGGTATGCTTAATGTCACTTCCATTTTCCAATGTTTCCCTGAAACAAAAACAGTGATTTATTAGTTATCTTTTTCAAATTGTATTGAATTAAATTATAATAATTCTCGGTTAGAACGAATTTCGAAGTTCTAAAATTTCTTTGAAGCCTAATATTAAACAGTTTTCCTTTCTGTTACACACTACTTACAAAAAATATTTATTTTCAGTAAGATTTTGTTTCACTGTCACACCTCAAGCGATAGGGAAAATAGGGACTGATTCATAGCTGTCTCAAAATGATTGTGAGTATTATAATTTCGCAATAAAAAGTTTGAATGAATACGCTGAAACTGCATCGCATATCACACTTTCAAATTTGAATAACTTCATGCATCTTAAATTCATCTTATTGCCTTTTCATCAATTTTAAATTTGTGTTAATATGTTTAGCCTATGTGCTTTGCAGAATAACTTTTGTATACTCACGAAAAAGCCATATTTTTGAAATTTGGAAATTGTTCTTGGTTCTTATTGTTGGTATATTCATCCATTTTAGCTTTTTGATCCTAAACAGACAATAATAATCAAGATTACTGAAATAATGCTCAAACAATCAATGTGTCAGTGGATGCAAACCAACGCACAAATGGCTCACACATATATTATTGGCTCATACAAAGAAAGATACAGAGTGATTCCAGATCCTCTTTGAAATAGAGAATTTTCTAATTATCCTCATCGTAATGAAGAAAATTCATTTCTTAACTTCTGTTTTTGTATGGTTATAACAGAACGTTTCAGTAATCTGAACGCTTTGCATGAAAGGTATGTTTTTCCTATATTGGCTCCGAATAATGTTTTCTTAAGTACTTCTCTTCTGTGATGTTAAGTTTCTTCAATTTTAATGAGGAAAAAGTTTGGTTTCCACTGATAAACCTAGATTACCTGCACATCGTTCCAAGAAAAACTAGTTTGCGCCATGAGATGTAAGAAGGTAATCCATCGGTGAAAAAGCATCGACACAAACTGAATGATCAGGATAACGGCAAAGAAGATCAAAAAGAGAAAAGCAAGCGGATTGAGCTGTAAAATGTGGTTTGATAAAGATTATTATGCGTCAGCATTTAAATTGATTGAATGAATTTTACTGAAATTGTTAATATAAACTAGTTAACTATAAGCAGGGATTCCATACCGTCCTTATTTCTAAGGTTTGTCCTTATTTTTGGCTTATTTTCAGCTTGTGTCCTTATTTTTGGCTTGCGTGTCTTTATTTTGTCTTATTTGGACTTTATAAAGGAAGCTTTGTGTTGCTTATCTTATCGCCAAAGCTTTATTGTGGCATCATAAAAGCAACACAATCTTATTTGGAACACGAAAGAGCAAGGCACAGATAGGCATGAAGCATTGTTAGTGTGCCAATCTTTAGGTTTTGTCGTGGTGGTGATTATTTTAGCCTAAATTTAAAAATGAGCAACCGTAAGAACGTTTTTTGTGAGTACGAGAAGGAATTCAAAGTTAAACGAAGCTTGAAGGGTGAGTGCTTCGCACACTGTGACGTCTGTAGTTGTGACATTAACCTGGAGCCCATAGGAAAGCCAGCTATTTCTGCTCACAATGCAGAAATTTTGCCAGTCGTCATTATTTTGGGTTCCAGATCGATGGAATCCCTGACTATAAGTATTTTGTTGGTAAAACCGGTAAAGCAAAATAAATATTTCAGCTAGTTAGTGAAATCCAGTTTAAAAGCAAAGCGCACTATCATCGGAGATAACAATTTGAATCATTCAGACACTTAATTTATAAATCAAGTTTCACTTTTTGTTTTACTTGGGAAAGTTGAAAACTGCATACAGAAAAGCCTGGAGTTTTATTCCAACGCTGATGCACATCCGTTATATGGACTACGCAATAATTTTGAAACTAACCAGATCGCATTTATTATAATTATTTTGTTTTCATATTAACATTCAACGATGCTTCCAGTCAAATTTTATATTAAAGATAGCACAATGTGAAAGCGCATTGAGTTTATCGAACAGGAGTGAAAGTGCTAATATTTGCTAGTGCAAAAACTCCGAATAAACGATTCTAGTATACTGATAAACGGCCAACGCCTTGATATTTTCGTTATATGTATATGCACAAGTTAAACATGTACCTATTGCAGAAATACAATTAAACATAACTCACCACGATGACATTGCCATATTTGTCATAAAATGTAATATTGACGTCTTGAATAACCATTGTCAGCGAGAATGTCAAAACGATCCAAATGCTATTAATGAAAAAGTATCCGGCAGTCATTTGGTTACGAAGATCCTTTAATTGATTTTCTAGCTCTTCTTTCAATTCTTGTTGTTCAGGATCGCTTTTGTTAAGTGGAGACAAATACATTTCTATCAGATCATTCCAAAACTTTTTCTCATCCTCCTTTATTATCCTGTCGATTTGTTATAAAACATTTTTTCATTCAACTCTTTCGCCGTATGAGACAAATGATATCCGTTTTTAATAGGAGACAATAAGATAATTTTATTTGCAATTTTTCGTTCTATAATAGGTTTAGTTCAGATCATTTTTCCGTATTTACACACGATTTATTTAAAAAAGCTTCTTAAAAAGGTTGTATCAAGGTTAGAAATGATGACCGAGTCTGATAAAAAGGAAAATTAACTCACATAACATGAGGTTTGGTGTACGGCCATTGGTGAGCCAGATTCCAATTAATTCCTGAGGCTTTGCATTTTTCATCATACTTTAAGGTAAAAAAAATAAATAGGTCAAATAAATAAAACGTTGTGCTATGATTAAGCAAATGCATCGTATTGGAAATACTTTTTATCATATTGTTTTTATGGCGCAACTGACAAAGAAATGTTGTTTGTATATGTTGTTGTTCTTATTTGTTTTGAGGTCGGTACATCATGTAAACGTCCTTGCAAAATGCTTCTGCCTAGGACGATAATTTTAACGTTTATTCATTTCATGTTTTATTGTTTTAGGAGTATGTATTTCAAAATTAAACTTTAATACTCCGTGAAGCTGAAACAACTTACTTTCTTTCGGGTTTCATCAGATTCTGCAATAGATGAAAAGTAATAGGTTGTTAACAACGAATATAATTTAATTTCACCTAAGTAAACTTTATCGTTTGATTTGGGCTGAGAATAGTTAATCGGGTAACCGTCTCTATATTGCTAACGTTACAAGCAACTTTGGCTGTTAACTCTCATCCAAGGTATTCGAAGTTCATTTCTCATTTTTATTTATCCGAATTATAATTTATTTATACCTGTTTTATCTCGTGATATTTATATTCATAAAATCACTTATTAGCTTGCGCCACGCAAAATTCAACCAATTGCTTTATAAACTGTGAAACTGTGACAATTGAAATCTGGCGATATAAAGTTCATGCACAGTTACGGATCAGAATTCAGTTTCCATGATTTAATAAAAATTGAACGACAGTAATTTCAAGAATGGCATTGTAATGAAATTCAACTAATGCGAATTCTGTTTATGGGATATAATCAAAAAACTATTTGTGCCGATCAAACTAATAAAAAGTTGGATCTCTGAAAATGTTCAATAAATGTAGTAAGAAATACCTGGAGTTGAATTTTTGGGATTTTGTTTTTTCGGTTGTTGATCTTGCACTGGCTTGTCATTTCGCGGTTCTTCGGTAGGAAGTGGATCATAATCGTTTATGCATATTGCACATTTGCACAGGCTTCCCCAGCCAACGCTGTAATTTCCTTTTTTCATTTCCCGCGTGGTTTTACCTTCATTTGTTTTGTTCGTCAGCGATTTCTTAATTAATAGCATATTTCACACATTTGTTCTTTGATAAAGTATAGTTAGTTTCATATTAATTGTAACGAAATATTTACTCTTAATCTCTATTAGGATGTTTATCAGAGTTCTTATATATTCACCTGTTCAGTAGAGGCAGATTTTATGGGTTTGTCTTCTCTTGTCCCCCATGATACATCATGCATGTTGCAATAACTGTATATGACAAGAAATATGAAAGCGGACGGAACACATATGTAGTACATCACACCATGTAACAAGCACGTCATCTCTGATGGGTGCAATAGGCCAGTTAGTCCAAACATTCCAATCATTATCAACATAAACATCGAAGTAGGATTTAAAATATCTGGAATACAAGATTGTTTTGCATGCATAAGATTTACGAATAGTGTAATATTTCTATTTCTATATTTCTAATATGTAAACATTAACAGCGAGAAACTTCAAAATTATATTTAATATAAAAGATGATACGTCATTCAAATAAACCATTTTCATACCGACAACAATGCACTCCTAATCCAATTTATCAGTTATAAGACAGCTACAACTAAGTAAATAACAATGAAGAATGAAGAAATATTTCTTACTCTCAGCCATTTGTCCAATAACTCCGACCAAAACGGCCATCATCACAAGTGCATAGATGAGAGATAAAATTTGAGCCACGAGTATTTGAAAGTTAAGTTTGGTAGTATAGCATATGATGACAAAAAATATCACTGGTATTAGTGCTGCCATCAATCCCCCAATTGGACTCATGTTGAATACATATTGAAAAGCTCCTTGTATAATTAGAACGACAGTTGCAGGTCCGAGAAGGGAGGCCGCCATCAAACCCATCTGTAAAATACGAAATCAAGTTGTTTATAAATATCGGTAAATAAGAAGAGTTTGTGTATAAATCATATATTTACAAAATCACCTGATAAGCGATATATCCACGACTTATACATTCGTTATTTGTGATAGCTTTTTTAGAATCCAGCAAAATGTCTAATATATTTGCTAATGTTGATGGCCCCCATCGCCTTCGTTGATCATAAAACTCTTTAAACTCTTCTGGTGCAAAGGTGTAGGAATCGGAAACTGAACAGTATTCGATCTTTTGTCCTGCTTTCAACAGCAACGTGCACAGCCACCTATCTTCACCTTTAACATAAATTTGAATAAAATGCATATATAAAATTTTCATTGACTTTGTTGGATTGTTAATAAACATATCAAAATGCTAAATAATTGGACACGAGTGTACATATTGATCGTAATGTTATTGTGATGTCTTTGTTGTTCTTTTTCCTGTTGTTGTTATAAAAAATCGCTTTACTCATTACCTACAGGACCAATTGCTTTAAAATTTTAGTGGTTTAAGATTCTATCTTTCTCTACGACGCTTTATTGATTATTTCTGTAGGCGCTTTGGAATTCGTTTTTGGTGTGCGATGGCGTCATCAAAATGCAAACTGCCCACCTTGTGGCGGTTCCGCCACAGGAACTCAGTCTGACCGCATTCGAAGGTAGTCTACTGACAGATTACATACCCGTACTGCTTTGATTGGCCTCCATGTTCGTATATTTGAGCATAGCTTTATTGTTTGTATTCATAAACTATTTTGTGAGAAAATAAAAACGATAAAATGATTATACTCATAAAGCACACCTTGATCCCATTGTATTTTCTGCCGAGCTCCTTTCGCTACATCAGTGTAAGTTCCTGCAACATTTGGTTCCATTAGAGCAGTTCCTCTGAACAAACTGAAACATCCTGGACTACACAGAACACATCCAAGAACATCTTCTGTTGTTTTCTGCAACCAATGTCCAACTGCATACTCAAATTTTTGAAACCATACAACAGGTCCACTTCCTAGAAAAATAAACCAATAAAATCCGCTTAAATTTTAAATGTTTATTGCTCTTCTGTAAAATATGCTAATATTCACTTTAGGCTCATAACATATTAATAATTGCTTATGTTATAGATTCTTTATGATTTTTTGGTTACAAAATAAAGGTGTGATTGATGAATTTTTTGAAATCTTCCCCGACTCAAATATGGTAATATTGTAAATGAAAGCTTTGTTCGGGAATGTATATGCATTCCTCATATTTAGGCTACAGTGGTGAAAAGAAGCTGGCAGGTAATATTTACACACAAAAAAATAAAACGGCACATTTAGAGACTAGCTTAGTTTGATAGTATTATTATTTGATAAACATATACCGATAGGATGAATTCGTCCACACGCTGCTCCTACATTATCATCTCTTTTCATTAGATCCAATAACATTGTCAAAGACTTTGGTTGAAAGTCCACATCTCCGTCCAGAGCAAGAAGATAGGCGTTTTGTAACTCATCCTCTTTACCTTTGTGCAAATGTTTCAAGATGTAATACATGTACATGCATTGCGACCAACGTTTACGATGTCTAAAAGAAAAAAAAATTGATGAAGGTTAATAGAATATATATATAATAATCAAATATTACCACGATGGATAATTTTAGTATTTTTAATTTTCACCCTTAACAATTATATAAGTGCGCGGATGCAATTGAGTATACATTGGGCATCACAAGCAACTCAGTATAAATATGTTCAAGCGTTAAAATAAATCAATATTGGTTACCTGATTTTCGAGCTGTCTTTCAGATGTATAATAAAATTATTGCCCCCGGGTAATTCCAGTTCTATTCTTCCACCGTATGGTGTTCCGCATGTTTTGTCCATAATACGTTCGCTATAATCTTTTTCAATTTTTCTAACAATAAAAAAAGAGATATTTGATATTTCTGTATACTTTATTTTAAAAGAAAAGAATTCTATGAACAATGCTATTATTCGAAAAATATTTTTGCATAAAAATAGATTGGGAACATTGGTTGAAATTTTTCAATAGACAAGATGGATGACGACGAATAATTGAAGAGGAAAAATAGTAAGTTTGATTGCAAATGGAAAAATGCTCAAAATTGTCCTGTCTGCATATTAATACAGATTTACATTTAAATATATAAATATAGAACTTTTTAGTATCATACGTACTCTGCAGCAAACGGTATCAGTTCGAGAAGAAGTCTGACATATTCGTTCAATTGTCCATCTTTGAAAGCGTCATCAAATAAAACATGAACCTATTGTTTTTGAAAAAATGTTTACAAACACTCGCAATTCAAACCCAATTCTTCTACAGACAATAAAGTCGCTCACACCAGTGCAACTATATTAATAGAATATTTTGTCTGAATATATTCAAAATATTTTTTTAACAGCTAAACATATATGCGAGGCGTTACATGATAGCTGAAACACCTGGAAATTTTACGACGTGGAGAACAGTACCTCATTTTACAAACCTGATTGAAAAAAAATTGGAAAACTGGTAGTGCTTTTTACAAATTCAAATAACTGAAGTTTTTAGCACCTTCAATTTTCATTACAAATGCTTTCTTATATTTTCCCATCGGGTGAGTGCTTGTAGCCTGATTGTAGATAAATTTGTATTAATTAGTTTAATTTATATATAATTAGCTTTTACTAACCTCAAACTCAAAATAGTCTCGATCGCTTATCTCTAGGTTTTCACGGAAATGATTTAGTCTGCAAAAAAGTATCAACCAGGAAATTTGAGTGAGTTTTTGATATGTAAAAAATCAATTAAATGTAAAACTGTATATCAGACTTCGCTAACCAGTAATTTTAGTATTTCAGTGTGATTCAGTATTTAATAGCATTCACAATCTTTACCTCATTATACTTTTCAAAATCTGTGTCATTTCTTGTCTGTTTTCATGCCACATGGTGGCGCACAGATAAACTTTCGGAATAGGGGTAGAACCATCTCTTGATTTATTCCTTTTGTTCCTAAAATCATTCAATAAATTAATTTTATTAAATATTCGATGTATATTCATTGTTCAAGTATACATTGCTTTAGTAAATGTATTTGCCTCTTTTTATTGTATTCGGATTCCTGGATCGGATATTGTCTTCTGTTCAACATCATTGACTCGGTGATGAAAGGACCAGCAAAGATAGATTTTACGAAGAGAATTTCATTTCTAGATATAAAGGAAAGTGGTTGTGTTAACTTTTCTTTAATACAATTAAAAGATATATATCACACCCAAATATTAATAAACAAAATATGCTATTCATATTAAAGTTACTATTTTCCTCATTTTAAAGTTTGCTAATACTAACACGGTTTTAATTTTTGCTATTAGTATTTTAGGTTAATACTCAATGATTATATATCATGTTTCGAATTATGAATTTGAATCTTGCCTCGCATCTATTACTTAGAATTGTTCTAGAAGCAATGAAGCAACCTCACTCATGTGGGGTCTTAATTCTTCTCGTCGAAACAGTGTTATGTCGTTGTTCCTATTTGACAAATATTTTATTTGAATCTTTCGAAATTTCATGAATCTTTGAAACTTTCGAAAGTTGTCCCTTCAAACAATTTTCCATCCGTTAAACTAGATTGACTGTGATCTCTCACGCGTCAATTATCGACAAAAGTATGATCAACTTTTTTCAATAGCTTCGGTTATGTGGAATTCACTAACTCATAACTGTTTTTATTTGACTATATTGGCATGAAATGTTTTAGTTAAATATCGCGTCTATCGCTGTTTAATTACACGCGATTCAAGGCTGAAATTTATAATAGACTCAGTAGTTTTTGGTACTCCAGTGGTTGCCCGTAAGTTTGTTCAGTTATTAATTCTTTATTTCTGAGTGAGTGCATGTAACCTTCTTTTAATCAAATTTACTTAAAAAATGATATATATAACAACATCAGAGAATATGAATTTAATAAATATAATTGAATACTTTTCTAGTCTCTTTTGCGTTCCTTGCAACAAAAAAGACGTCAACAAAACAAGGCCAGCCCAAGCAGTTGCACATGCGATTACAACTATTAGCATCATCTTCCACCAATCATCCAACTGATAATTTGTCTTCCAACCAATGAAATCGTTGATTTCGGGATATTTTAAAGCTACAATTCAGATAAAAATGTGTGAGATCTTTTCTATTAATTTAGATATTGGATATATGCTATACAGTTTCGCAAACCGCTGGTGTTCAAACTATACAAAAAACGAACCCACACAAAACCACAGCAAACTACACATAAATATTTTTTAATACCGTAATGTTATTACTTACGTAAATGAAAAAAGTCCATCAGTGTCGGACTTGCGGAATTGAGTTGCTCCATTGAGAAAGTTGCACTCATCGCACTCATAATCGGAGTTGCCAATACCAGAGGAAGCCAAAACCCGGGTATTTGAATCAATGTTTGGCACGCTATACTTCCGAACAAAAACGTCCCCAGCCCAGATAGACAGTGTGTTATTGCCGCAAACCAGAATGCTGTCATTATTCTGTGAAGTAAAATTTGCATTTGAGGCTAATTTCGTAAAGTTGACTCGCGAACTTTATACGGTCGACTTGCGGAAAGGGTGCTACAATAATAAAAGGTAGAACTATGACTAAAGAATTCAGAAATTTTGTAAAACATTTCGAGTTAACAGGAATGTTCAAATTGCTTTGAAGGTGAAAAAATAATTGCTTCGTTATGGAATTTAAATAGATTAGGAATGAATCAAAAAACCAAATCTTGTCAATTTCATATTCAACTGATTTAAATATTTCAGTAAAACATGCAAAATAAAGATTAATAATATAAAAAAACAATGTCACAAACAACTATCAATACTTTATAATTCGTTACTCCTTGGTTTGATATTTTTTGTATAATGTGCTGTGGTACACTAACCTTATGATAAAAATAATGTAAACAAGTATTTTTGTACCTGGAGCATTTTCTATCAACTCTGTTGTAGTCTTTGAAAAATATAGGATCGCCATTTGTTTTCTCGGCCACATCAAATCTGTTATTATCGACACCAGCATAAATGACAAAAGAAAACACAACTGAAAAAGAACAAATAAACTTTTCAAATATATGAAAACTGTATACATTTTATTACTGCCTGAACAGATAATTCAGTATTTATTTGTAGTTGAGGGGAATTCTAGACAATGGAAAGAAAATGAGGATATTTATGAAGTTCTCCTCTGTGTAGTGAATATACTGAAATTAAAATCTAAAAGCTTCAACAAAAACAAACCCTTACTGACAGCTCGATTTTGTATTTTTTTTTTAAGTCTAGTGTTTTATCATACTGTGCAACCCTTAAGTTATATTTTGTTCAAAAAATCTAGTCGTTTCAACTATTGGATTAAGTTTTTAATTTAATTCGTATTTTCAGACAATTCGTGGGACCGAATCGTGAGTGTTTCACATGTTTCCACATTGTGTGAAAGATTTTTAGACGACAAACTTACCTAGCTTGCTAAGCCAAAGTAAAGTTTGAACCAGTCGTTAGCAGCCTGAATATCAGAAACCCAGACTTCAATTTGAATATGATCATGCATATACCTACCAATGAAGAAGGTTCTTAGGAAGGCGTTGAGAGCACAGTATCGAAATTTTGATGCCTCAATTCTGTGTCTTTCTTCGGATTTTCGATGTATAAAGTTCTCCCAATACCGAGTTGACATAAGAAGCAACGCTTAAATATTGAATCATAGTTATAATAGATGGTTGACTACGTTTTATGGAACTATATAATTTAATCTAATGAATTTGCACTAGATCAAGATGGTTTGGGTACACTTTTATTCGCAGATAATTAGCTTCAAATATTTTTGAACTACGAGTAAGCGTTTTTTGCTGATTTGCAGTATATATTTGGATTGGCTGTACAAGATTGTTCGACAGACAGGCAGACTGACAAACAAGCATGCAGGTAGACATACATATAGTGTTGCATAAACCTTCATCTAAAAAGGTTTTTGATTACTTTTGTCATTCCATGAACTGTTGGTGATTAGTAGTAATTATTAAGCAAAAAGTACACTCACATAGAGCAGCGCAGATTGTAACTCCCACGTTCTGTTCCTGTTCATAAACCAACCAACATATCAAGCCGTATCCAACATAAGAAAGAAACTGTAAACAACATAATATAGAAAATAGAAATTGTTTTAATGGATACACAAATAATTTGAAACTTGAGTTTACTTACCACTGCAATAATGCTCGTTATGAAAGTTGCCGTGTTAGGGGGTTCTCCGGAATTCATTTCGCCGTTTCCGACTTTCCGCGAATCAATCTTTGTTTTCAAGTGAAAAACTGACGGAACCACAGCTACCAGTGAAAACATCAAACTTGCCAAAGTCGCATCGATATTTGGAATAACTTTGAAAACTAAAAAAGTGAGTCCAACAGCATGAAGGATTTCGGTAGCAGTAATCTGTAAATATCAATACTAATTGTAATCAATACTGGTGAGTTGACTATAAAAATATGTGGGATAAATCATTTAGATTCCAACCATATTTCTAGGTTTCAAGATAAAATACAGGTACAGTTGTTAACTTCGTCTCTTAAATGAATGACTATATCATTTCCTTTAATAAAGTAATTATTTTTGATAAAATATAATATTCAATAAGTTTTGCAAAAAGGTAAAAAGCATGAAATCTTAACAATATTTACCGGAATCTGATTTTGCCAACTAGATTTCTCATGGCCGTATTTTGTCCTTTGCGAGCTATTATCTTTTTTTCCTTTTCGCCCAGATTTCACAGTTTTCCACAAACTGTGAGAAAGTGCTAAAACTTCAGGGAAACAAAGACAGCTCATCAATATTAGCATGACCATATATCTTGGATAATTGTATTGTTGGACTCGACCTTCTCTCACGTATGGGCATCTGCTATCACTGTAGTCTTGCGTGTAAGCATTGCAGAGAACAAAAAGTGTAGACTGAAAAAAGCCGAAATAAGAAGAAACATAGTCAAATATAGTACATATCTAACTGAATTACAAACATTTCAAATTGCAAATCGCAAGACTACAAAATCGAGTTATAAAATATTATTTTTTGACTAAATATTGACAAAATATATTATTTAAGAAGATTATGATGTTAGGATTTCCTTATAAGTCTGTTTTCAAGATATTCGCAGATAAGCTCATGCCAAAAGTTTTCTATTTTCTGCTGATTTTGCGGACCGTGACACATTTCATTTCATCAGATTCCCAGTTCAGATTCAAAAGTCGAACATAAAATTTTAAAAATTTCCAAACCTTGGTCACTAACGATCCAGTTAAAACAAGACCAAATACAATCAGAGTGCTGATGTATTTTGTGACCTGAAAATAGAAACGTCCATTGCAAATTGTATAAATGATTTCAATTACAATGAAACTACGAATATTTAGTTCACTTTATTTCTGTTATTATTTTCTGTTTCAAATATGACTTTTGACGGGTCGTTGAGACTATCCTAAATATTTAAATGAAATTTGCTGATTTATTTTATACAGTATACAGAAAAAACGGTATGATTTATTTGACTCGGGGATAATAAATAAAATGAAACCTTTTCAGCAAGGCGTCGTAAAAATTCATCCCTCTTCTCATCTTCTTGTTCAGTTACCGTGACAAAAGAAAACTCCTTTTTTTTTCTATATTGAGTAAAATTAGAAAACTACGTTGTTTATGGAATTAAAAATGCTAATACAAAATTTTTTTTTTGCAACTCATAAATTTTTTAATGTATTCACACTAATATCAATTCTGTAGCTATTTCGTCGGTTACGTAACGCTGGAATGTTAATAACAAAAAATTTAGCTGAAATGTTTACGTTAAAATTTTTGATAAAAAATTCACCAACTTCTTGAGCACAAGATGCTAGTTGTCGCCCGATTAAGAGTAATGTGTCCATTTATGAATACAAGAGATCTATGCTCAAATATATGGACACGTAGCGTCACCTAATGGCAATAATTTTGATGACGTCATAGCAAAAAAAAAATAGCCTTCTGAAAAACTTTTTTATCTTTAACCACTGAAAATTTCAAAGCAATTGGTCCAGTAATCAAAGAGAAAAGCGACTTTTTAAAAACGTGTCAAAGAACAAGAACAAGAACAACAACATAATATTGAAACGATCTTCTATTTAATTACTATACTAATTTGACTAATTTGTTAACGCAATGAAAATATCCATGCCAGAAGACCACCATCGCCAGCCAAGTGCACGACCAGCTATTGATACAACCATAAATGGACAGCGTATTCACTACAATCACTAACTTGTCTTTTGCTTTAGCATTTTTAGGTTCATCAGTAATTTCCATGTAATCTGTAAAAAATAAATTATATATCAATAACGCTAGTTGGAGCATAATACTAAATTTGAAATTTCTAACGAAATAAAAAATTAAACGTTAAATATTAATAATATATATTAATATTTAATTATTGATATTTTTACAAATAAAATATGCTTTTATTGTTGTCGGATCATCCCCTCAAAGTTTTCCCCTCGGGACCTTTGAAATTATATTTGGATTTACAGTTGACTAAAAAAGCGTAACCTTACATTGAGTTTGCGCAGTTTTCTAAATTAAGCAGATAATTGCCTATAATAAAGACCCCTATAGTATCTATTTCACGACCATAATTAGATCGCGGTTTCGCCCATATATAATGCGCACTGGGTTGCTGGACGCAACCGTTGTAAGTACTAACTTTGATGTAGGCAATACAGCATACAGCACTACTTGAAATATACTTTAGGTTCATCAGTTTACAAACGGCAGGATTGATTTTTAGAAATTATAAAGAATTTATTAATGTGCGCTTTATGGTAACTACAGTAAAATACGGTACGATTTATATTTCATATAACATTTTAACATAACATAACATATCTCATTTTAAACTGAGATATTTGGAATTTTTCACAATTTCATTGTCCGATAATTATTCAATTCCTAGAGATCTTTGACGTGTTAAAGTTATGATTTAATTTTGTTAGTTATTTGTTTTGATTTATTGCTGTAACCAAGGCAAAAACGAAAGTACTCGTGAAAAGTCTTGACAAAGATAAAAAAATTGTTAATTACAATCACTGATCAAACTAAAAAGTTACATAAGGTAAACAGTTGCTTGGGCCTAAGAGAGCGTCGTTATGTATTCGGTAAGCATTTATATCACATACAAACATGAATACTGATTCCTCCTCGTGTATCTCAAATAGTTTAAAGCAAACATGTTCAAACTCGCTCCAAGGTAAACAATCGTGATACCGGTTTGTGATATTGTGTCCTTACGAATTGGTATTTAACGAGTTCTATTGTTTTTCGGAGATATTCTATTGATTAACACATCTGCCCTTTCAATAAAATGTGACTTTTCCTGAATGAAATATTTATTCTTTGCGCGCAATTTTGTCCGGCAAAAAAACTGAGTAAATAGTTGAAATACAATGTAGAAAATATAAATTTTTATATCGACGAAACCTTTAATTGTTTTCCAATTTACACTTTTTCTTTCATTAGAAATTAAGAAGAAGATGCAAAATCTTTTAGAATCAATAAAATTACATAGCAATTTGTGCAGGTTACTTTGCTTCAGCAATACTTGAGAGACAAAACAAATATTTGATGTTTGTTTTGCACAGACATAAAGTGTTGTTGCTTCGAGTGTGTCAGCCGATGGTGAGAAGGCAAATTTAAAATGAGCTCAAGACATGTTCTGACTCGTACTATTATACATGGTTACTTAGACGATGGATTGAGAGAGATAACGATTTATTTGGCAGACACAATTGTTTTGAAATTACGAACTTTTGTTTCATTATCACTCAACTTAACAAACAATTCCACCATATATCGTGAAATGCAAAACTGTTGAAATTTTATAGTTTTCTATTGTGGTCATCATGTTATAACAAGCGGGTTTTTAAGTTTAAATTTACGCCGTAATAAGTTTCGAAGTATAATGCCGTGGCATAATGAGGGAAACAATGCAACACAGATTCGACAACAACGCCTATTCTCTTCTTAAATGAGGTTCATCTAACCCTTAGTTCATTCCCGACTTTGTGTCAAAAATAAGTTATATAATTAGTAATTAAATGCTTCATTTGGCGTATGTTAGCGTATAAAGTATGTTGAGAACTGTCCTTATACTCAAAGAGCTGATTTTATTAGCACTTCAGTCAAAAAGCTAAACTAACCGTGCTGAGAACTTCCGCTGGTTGATGGTCGATCTTCTGTACTGCTGATTGAAATGCTCTGATGTACGACTCCTTGTTTTCGTTGGCGACTATTGTTTTCAGTAACAGAGAATGAGACAGAGTTCGCTGGTGACCTGCATCAATAGTAATTAGACATTGTATAAATCGGGATGTTAAATGCTAGTATATGTGTGGTCGGTAATAGTAATTATAATTTAGATGCAATATATCTATATGAATATATATATATATATATTAGCATTTGATGGACGTTTATGAGACTAACATCTTATGTCATTAAACCAATATATCCAAAACTGATGAACAAATAAGTCCTAGGCGAGCAATCAAAACCACGAACATTCTCCTTTTTTTTCGTACGTTGTAGCGACTTTCGGTAGTTGTCTCTCCTCGTTTATTAAACACGTCTACCTGCTATTAGGCTACTAATTTTTGAAATATTTCACTTTTCATGTTGTTGTGGTATTTCAACAGACGGCTTGGTTACTAATGCATCGGTATTGTAGAAAACCATTTCTCCGGTGCGACCAATGACGAGCGTAGGTTTTCCCTCGACATGACGTTTTGGTTCAAAAATGCGTTCAGACGATGTTTCATCGAGAGATGGTGTGACAATGATGATGGATGTTTTTAATGCATTTGATGTTGCCTACAAAAGTCAAAGAACATTATCAGCCACGTCGTTTACATCATCCATTCAGGCTAACCAGCAATCATTGTCGTGCCTGTCACGCACTATATGATGAAATTAATCAACTGATGGCAGATTGAAATTGTTCATAGAAGGCACATTTAATGATGACAGCAAAAAATTCGCATCAAAACATTGGATTTTATGAATTGTGAGCAAGGTATTTTCAAATAATGCCTAAATACGTATGACTTGAATGCCACAGTAAAGCAAACGTCCAAAATTACATGAAAGCCAGAGAAATTAAGTAGAAGTCGCGGGGGACTCCCATCCCTTCGATTTGTCATCGCAATGTGTTACATTCGCAAAATAAGTGATTACCTGAGAAATGTTTTGATTCCATAATGATATCGTTAATATAGCATAACGGATGACACATTCGAAGTTTGAGATATACTCTCATTAACCACTTACTTGGATCATGTTTGAATCGATGCCACGGTAATCGGGACTGAAAATTCTTTCCAGATATTCTTCCTTTGTTTCTCCGTTCGGTGGCTCTTCCCATTTTTCAGTGTTATTTTGTTTGATGAAGTCTTTTTCTAAATTCTTTTTACAACTTCCGCTAATCGCCTCGCTTGTTCTAGTTTTGTTGGAAACATGCAGTATCTGCTTAGCTACTACTTCAAAGAAATCATTCGAAGGATTTCCTCGAATTCTTAGATTTTTCGATTCTAGTATGTTAGCTAATTTATTACCCTCCTCCGCCATACTGACCGAGAAGGTGAATATTATATGATGTGATACTATAACCTAAAAAACATAAAAACAAATTGCAATCAATGTTGTGCCATGCATCCAATAAGTTTAAATCTTAATTTATTTCACTTTCATGCAACAATGAACACTTTCTGTTCTACTCTGTATTTTCAGAAAATGTAATGATGTATGTTACCTCCAGACCTGGGATTAATTACGTAAATTTTGAACAACTTCGTAAACGTTTAGTACAGCACAGTTAATGTTCAGAAATAATCATGTTTCTTTTCACAGATTCTATTTACCACTCTCTGATATAATTTCTTAGTCATTTGGTTTAATTAATGAAGCAGTAATAACTGTGGTTTTCCGATTTTCACATATGCGGGCATTTTATTTTCTAACAAGGGGCGAATTGAAAAACCTGTTTGAATTACATAATTTAAATACTTCCATAAATTGGAAATTCACACCAACTGATGCATACCCAGTTGTCTCGTCGAACTCGAGAACTCTGCCTATCATGTCACGTGCTTTACCGTAGTATGCACATCAAAGGTGAAAAGTTTTATTACTATTTCGCATTGGGTATACCAGGGGTGGCCAACCTTTTTGCGACCGCGATCGACTATAATCGTCAAATGAGCTCGCGATCGACTGATCGGTAATAAGGTCATGCACAAAAACAGATGAGTACTGAATATGCTGATAACTGCACACATGTATATAAAATATTCCACCGCTGCCAATAAGCTCGGTTCTTTGTGCGCATTCTTAATGAAATCGCCATAATTTTTTTTATTTTTCATGTTCCATTTAATTTGGTACTTTGATTATGTAATTGTACCCGGAGTAAATGCTTCATTCATAATTTAGGAATTATTCAAATCATACAATTCTGATTCAACACCTGCCGAATATTTAGTCGTGAGTATTGAAAATTCCTCAAAAAACCTTGTCAAGTATCCATGTATTATCTAAACATTGAAAAATTGATATTCCCAAACCGTAATTGTTACATGACTCAAACTTCCGATTCTTCGCTCGCTTGGAATCAAAAAAATTAGCATTCTGATGCCACTACTCACTACTCTTGGAGTGAGACAATTACCCTCAAACAGTGCAAAAGATATTGTACGATCGTACGTCAAGGCACACGATATTCGGCATATTCATTTCTTAACATCGGCAGCGGCGAAACTTTCATTTTTTCTTAAAATAAAAGGCTATATCGGTCTCGATCTCGTCTCGTGTATATCGTATTTTGCGCGTGCGCAGTGCTGTATTATTTGTATTTTGTAACACACAACATGCGCTGCATGAAACTGGTTCAAGGCAATTTTTTGAGGTATATTATCATATTTTCTCAACATCAGACGCAATAGACTACTCAAGACGTGGCGATCGACCGGTCGATCACGATCGACGTGTTGGTCACCCCTGGTATATACTATTCATTTTCGTCTACGTTTACGACTTCCTATGAGTACAAACATCGTCCTGTGAATAGTATCATGCGAATAATACTTGAAAAGATACCTGCACATACTTTGTCCTCAGACCATGATGAATATTAATAATTTACCTACTTCAATAAACAAATACAACGGTGTAATTTATCAGGCAGTCCGGGTATTAAACAAACAATCGCATCTCAAGAACTTAAACATTGTTTTATACATCAGTTTTGTAAAATCGTCCCAAATATATGTATGACAATTTATTTAGTATTATCTACCTTTATTGGATATTTCCATTGTAGGCTGAACAAACAATCCGTTTAGTAGCAATAGATCTTCCTCTGTTGTACTTTTTTGACTGTAAAATTATATTTTTCTACAAATCTGCTCCAATTTATTTGAAATTTTACAGTAAATAGCAATACTTTCGGTGCGAGAATTTCTGCACCATTCATAAATGAAGGAATTGTTTTTTAAATTCTAAATTTGAATCAAAAATGAAACTTCAGTTACATAAACTGCTGGAAAAAATAACGGGGTTATTAATAGATTGCTAATATGCACTAACGGGTCTGAGATTGCATACCGATATTGTTTTAAGCGTGATTCAGTCTGAATACTGAGACATCTAAATCAGGGTTTCCCAAACTGGGGGGCGAGAGGTCGAGCGACGAATTTTAAGGGTCGCGAACGGCACACAAATTTCACACAAAGTTCGGTATTTATTGAAACTAGTGCAAAACATAAATCTCATGATTTCGAATATGATCGAGTAGCGGCGCTAACAATGCCAGCGTTGATTGTTAGACCAGAGAAGTGGCGTGTTTCCAAATCACCCGCGGGCCGCACATAGGTATCTAGCGGGCCGCATGAGGCCCACGGGCCTATGTTGTGCAGGTCTGATATCGTATAAGGTTTCAGATATTTTACTTGATCTAATGTATGTTAAATAATTTAAATACGAGATTCATCATGGAATTATGTTGTTTTCTGTTGTCACGCATATAAGAATCAAGATCCAGTCGGAACACATGGAGATGTATTCTACAGGATGCAAAATATCAAGTTGCTAGTGAAAATTTATGAGGAAATTGAACGAAATTCCGTGTATATGCAGAATTCAAAACTAACAGTATTTTTGCATGTACAACGTTTTCAAAATCATACGATTTAAAATTCCGTAATACACACACCATACATACAGCAGGCACAATAAATCTGATGGATGCAAAATGCCATTCAAAAAATATTTCACAACATAAACAACGAAGTTGATTTCAGGATGTCAGAAGAGTCAAATAAAACTTATCTACACAAAACGATTTCTAGTAATGCTACAATTTATTGTTGTTCTACATGATATTTTGACCTTCTTCTGAAATAGATTCGGCTTGCTCCACCATTATCGATATATGAAATTTCTAAAATAAATGTATGTAATTATGTCCAGCGAAAAAAAAGTTTCAGCAGTTTTACTTTTAGAGAATTCGGCGTGGAATTGTTTGAAATTATTTTATGTTATTATTTCAGAAATTTATCATTGTTATAAGTTTTAATGCAATTTTAGCTGAATGAACAAATTATCCTTGAAATGGTGAATAAATGATAAATTATATTCTGCATTTCAATAAAAAACAGTATACCGATAAGATGAATTATGTCAAAAGAAACTGCAACATTTTTGTCACTAAGTCCAATAAAGTTGTCAATGAAGTTGGTTTAAAATTTACATCGCGTTCCAGAACGAGAAAGTATGTATGTTTCAAATCTGATTTAATTACCTTTGTGAATAATATGTATTGCATATATATGAATGGTTAGCACTAAATAGTATCATAATGTAATATACCATGTAGATCTTTATAGTTATAATTTGTGTAGAGAAAACATCATGTCCGGTCACACTAGTAGTTAGCCTCACTTAATAGCATTGTGAACGCTAAAGCGCGGGTATATAATGTTGTATGACTGCTAATATTAAATGTTAAAACAGTGGAAATGTACATAGCAGATGATTGGAATGGTCAAAATATAGGTTTGTACCTGTAGAGCAGAAATATTCCATAATTTTTGTTTAATCTCCATCCTGGTAATCAAATCATAGGCCGTGGTTTGTCATATAATAAGAGTCGTGTTGTTGGTTTCCTCTTCTCTTCATTAGTTGCAAACGTACGGTATGAACAACTCCAGCATCGGTGCAATTGTGAAAGTCATTTACGAAAATCCTTAACCTCTAATAATTCGATATAAATAGTGGCAAAGATTCTCATTCTGACTTTTCTATTTTCGGGTTAGAATGGCTTTGTTAGTAATGTGATATACAAATGTGTTCTAAAATAAACACAATGTCAAATGCACATACAGTAATTCGAGTGATGTACAAACGAGAATATCAGTCAGAGACCGAAGACTTATCTATCGAAAGTTAGTGGTCCCCCCAAAACAGCGCTCTTACTCCATAGTGACACCTTGTGTCCAATCACTAATTAATTAATAACCTGCTAATTATACGACATAATTCGCCCAAAATCAATTGGCTTCTGGTCCGACATATGATGAATGCATATGCAAAATCTGAAGCAGATTCAATCTTGCTTTCGTGAGATATCGCGTGCATCTAACAGACATACAGACAGACAAATACCTATCAACATACTTACCGATTAAAATCGATAAGTAACAATGCGTATACATTCTACTCAATATATATTCAGTCTTAAAATAGAGCAATTGGTACTTGTCATGACTAAATGTTTTAGCCTGTTTAGCAAATTTTTCATTAGAGGCCACAGAAGTGGTCCTAAATAGTCCCGGATAACTATTCTCGCTGAAAATAAGATCCTTGACGTGTACCTATACCGTTTAGAAATTTCAAATATCTACAGATGAATAATATTTAATCTGATTATATTTATGTTGTAACTTATCGATTTTAATCGGTAAGTATGTTGATGGGTATTTGTCTGTCTGTCTGTCTGTCTGTCTGTCTGTCTGTCTGTCTGTCTGTCTGTCTGTCTGTCTGTCTGTCTGTCTGTCTGTCTGTCTGTCTGTTAGATGCACGCGATATCTCACGAAAGCGAGATTAAATCTGCTCCAGATTCCGCATGCGCATTCATCATATGTCGTACCAGAAGCCTATTAATTTTGGATGAATTATGTCGTATAATTAGCGAGTTGTTAATTAATTAGTGATGGGACACAAGGTGTCACTAGGGAGTAAAAGCGCTGTTTTGGGGGATCCCCTAACTTTCGATCGATAAGTCTTCGGTCTCGTTCGAATCGATTCATATTCTCGTTTCATTTTTGTGACTTCTAGCTGATAAACCAAACGGTTATCGTTACAATAACCTATCGTTACAAGTCACAAACAAGTCACGAAGTAGGATTTAAAATCTCTGTAAGAATACCAGCATGAAAAATATTTCGAATTTTCTAATTTTACAAACAATTGTTGTTCGCAATGTACTTATTATGGAGTGCTCTTTATGGATGGAACACTTGTCCCATTTGCAAACATTTGTCCCGCTGTTCCAAGACGAGGTAAATATATATTTCGTCGCAAATGATTGAAGTATAAGCATATGGACTAAATTTCAAGCAATGTTCATGAGTTAAAATAGACACTCGCGAGTACTTCAGCAGCAGGGTTGAGTACTTTCATGAAGTGAGATTCATAAAAGTGGGACAAGCGTGTGGCAAGTGGGACTTGAACGTTTCACCTCTCAGCGCGTATTAATTTGAATTCAAACTACTTACTACAGTATAGGAAGGTGTGCACTTGTGATATTCACTGTCCAAGTCCAATTCAGCTTGGTTGGCTTTTATATTAGGTGCATTGCTGTTTTATTCTTTATATTTAATCTTAGTCTTATTTCGGTGGGTGTGCAGAACGTGTTATATTGATGAAATATATATTTTTAAACATAAAAAATAATGTAATTGAAACTGATTAGCTATTTTGGGGATTAGACATTGTAGATACTGAGAATTACTTTCGTTTTTGGAATGATTAGTTTCCAGGACTGGTGCATATAGTAAAGTTGCAAAATTGCGTATATCCCCAAGTCATAGACACATTTCTGCCTAAGTCACAGTGCGCCATTATGACTTCACTTAACAGCGTCATACAAATTAACTTAAATCCGGCTACGATCAAAAAAATGAACCATGGCAAATTATTGACTCTCAATGGCATAACAATATCATTCGGAAGTTTTTTACGTTTTTCTCAAAACTGCTAAAAATGACTTACGCAATTCGGTTATTAGTGTGACGATATGTATATACAGCCAAACCATAAACATATACAGTCAAATAGCTGTATTTGCATATTTAGTCGGCTCTATTTGTATATGAGTTAATTGTAGATACCGACGGTGGTCAAACCACGGCTTAGAGTTTCTATGCGGCTTTTCTCGCTGGCAATAAATTCATATTATCCATTTTAACTAAGAGAAACTGTAGCGCAACCGGTTTTTTAATTCATTTAAGAGGTTGAAGAATATATACTTTGCAATATTGTTATTATACGTTTGTGTAAAGTTCTTTCAGTTAACGGTAATATAATATTATTTTTTCCAAAAATTATGCGGTTCTCACATTTTTCTTACTTGCTGCCTACAGCTCTTATACTAAAAGAATCTGCCCATCCCTGGTATATGAATATAACATTTGCTGTATAATATTAGATGTATATGCATGTGGCATTGGCTGTGTATGCATATTTGAATGGTTCTATATGTATATGAGTAAACTGTATATGCACATTGAGTTCAATTTCAATGAAGCTAGGATTCTATGAACATCACTTTAATGACTGTATATGTATATTAGGTTCAATATATATGCATATCACATACTCAAATAATTGAGTATTTTCATCAGAAATTAAGTCATTCCACCTCGTGTTTTTATATTTGGGTATTGGTGTTCTGTTTTCATAAAAATTTTAGATGATCGCACAAACACGCACAGTCCTACAACAGAACATTTTGAACAACATTGAAGTAAATAGTGCTGAAAGTGGGCATAACTTTTTGAGTACAATTTGTGGGGGCGTGCTTCGCAATAAAGTTTCAATCAAGAATCTGCGAATATATTACATAACACTGACAAATAAATAAAATTCATTTCTTACTGTCAGCCATCTGTCTAATAACTCCGACTAAAACGGCCATCATTACCAGTGCATAGATGAGAGACAAAATTTGAGCCACAAGAATTTGAAAATCGCGATTGGTAGTATAGCATATGATGACAAAAAATATCACTGGTATTAGTGCAGCCATCATTCCCCTAATTGGACTCATGCCGAATACATATTGAAAAGCTCCTTGTATAATTAGAACGACAGTAACAGGTCCAAGAAGTGAGGCGGCCATCAAACTCATCCTAAAAAATACGAAAATAAGTTGAGTATGTCGCCAAATAAAGGTAATAAAAACATGTATTTAAAACATCACCTGATAAGCAATATATCTACGATTTATGCATTCGTTGTTTTTGATAGCTTTTTTTACGTCGAGCAAAATGTCTAATATGTTTGCTAATGTTGACGGACCCCATCTCCTGCAAAGAATGAAGAGAAGTTCAGCGTTGTATAATAATTCTGTACATAGGTGAAGCTAGGATTTTCAATAAAGGGGGCGCTGCGCTAAAATTATAATGGTGCGTCAGCGTGCTAAGACTTCATACGTTTTTGAGTTTGAAAAATTGCACGTTGCTAATGGCGAAACATCGTTGAATAAATCTGAGTTTTGAGTCCCACGCGCCTCTATTTGACAGACGTGGTTGGGAATCTGTTTTCCAATGTAATGTATGAAAAACGAACACAACACCTTCTTTGGTTATAGAACTCCCCAAATTTTTCTGGAGCGAAGGTGTAGGAATCGGAGACTGCACAGTATTCAACCTTTTTCCTGCTTTTAACAGCAAGGTGCACAACCACCTATCTTCACCTTTAACATAAATTTGAGAAATTATAGTAGTTGTTAACCATTGCAAATGTGCCTAACCCCTACATTACTCTGGGAGCACTCCTCGAAACCAAAACAAACGTTTGAACAGTTGAAACCTAGAGCGCAACCGGATCTTTTTAAAAGTGGAACTATTTTTTTGGGAGATTATAGAAAATGAAACGTCTCCAATTGATAGAGTATAAATTTAGGAAGGGATTGCCAATACACAAACTGGAACTTTTGGCATCCGAAAACGGAAATTGTGTATTTTGTTGATTGAGGGCTCAAGTTATTCATTCATTTTTCAGACTTCAAACTGCAGTTAGTTGCTAATAAAATCATATGACCCTTGTATTACGGAGATACTATATGACACGGCACGGTCTCCATGATGAGTGATGAAAATTTTGATTAAAGCCTTTCTACGAAATATTCTTTGCTGCAAATTCTACCATTCAGTTTATATATAGTAATTATATTATATCTATGAAATTTAGGTTTATACTTCATTTCATCGATGAATGAAAATTACGTAGCTGAAGCTAAAATTACATGATCAAAGCAGACCTTGATCCCATTGTATTTTTTAGCGCGCTCCACTAGCTACTTTTTTTGTAAGTGCCAGCAACATTTGGTTCCATTAGAGCAGTTCCTCTGAACAAACTGAAACATCCTGGACTGCACAGAACACATCCAAGAACATCTTCTGTTGTTTTTTGCAACCAATGTCCAACTGCATACTCAAATTTTTGAAACCAGACAACAGGTCCACTTCCTAGAAAAAAACAATTAAAACAAATCTGCCTACAATCCAAAAGTTATTTGCAAAGCTGTCGATTACGTTACTATTGTTTTCAAGGAAAATCGATATTTGCTCGAATCACAGAAACACAATATCTTCTATTGTGATTTATTATATGAATCTCTATGTACGTATGTTATATTTCTTCTATATTCTACTAATTATCGGATTGCAAAAAAACAATTGTGGAATTTATTGATGGTATGCTATCACGACTTTTTTTCTATCTATCTGTCAATTCGAAAGTATTCAATTCAATATGAAAGAAATGATTGGGTATGCATTCTTCATATTTAGAGTGGTAAAAGAAGCTGTCAGCTACACACAAACTATGAAAGCATAAAAGTGGAAAATAGGCGTAGTATATATAAATTATTTTTTAACAAACATATATATACCATAGGATGACTTCGTCCACACGCTGCTCCTACATTATCATCTCTTTCCATTAGATCCAATAGCATTGTCAAAGACTTGGGTTGGAAGTCAACATCCCCATCGAGAGCAAGAAGATAAGTTCTAATTAACTCATCCTTCTTGTCTTTATGCAAATGCTTCAATATATAATACATGTACATGCACTGAGACCATCGCTTGCCTTGTCTTAAAGAGACATTTTGATTTTAGTTTAAAGAATATATATAAGTGAATTGTTTCGACGATATGGTATTTTGTAGTGTAATAAATTTTAGAAGTACTACAAATATCCAAATTCAGTTAATTAAGTATTGATTTTTGTTGTTATCTTTCAATGTTTTGTTTTAGTGCACAAGACCGGGAATCGTTAAAAAAATTGCAAGGGGTCCGCCATAGAATTTTATTCAAAAAGTTTGGGAACCACTGCTCTAGACTTTCTATGATTACTATGCTCGCCTGACGCGAAAGTCATCAGTGAGCATTTGCACATTTTCAAATATACTTGCGCTTATATCTTACCCTTCAATCATAATGAATATCAATAATTTACCTAATTTAACTGCAATGTAGGCATAACGCATATTCTGGAGTAATTTATCAAACTCTTCAAGTATTAATCAAACAAATATCTGATTTCACAATCAAGTTTGTGACGTGATCTAATCTAGCGTGTTTAAATGCAACTTGAAGTTGTTATGTATCAATTACTCCTCTGTTCCCAAATACACAACCTTGCGCTTGCTGGACACGAAGTACCTATAGATCGTTTTATTATTATTATTATTATTATGTTGTTGTTGTGAAACAAATCGCTTTGCTCTTCAACTTCTGAACTAATTGCTCTGTAATTTTTAGGGGTTTAAGCTTGCTGTTGTCACTAGAAGGCTATTACTCTTGTTTAATTTAAAAGTATCTGCGGGCTCTATATGAGATTCGTTTTTCACATTAAACTTTTGTGTGATTACGTCAATAAAATTAAAAATTGCGTGCCAGAATTTTCATGAAGTTCAAACTTTTTCCTGGTTCAATGCGAGCCAAGTCTCAAATAGAAACAAAGGAGAGCGCAACTGAAGTGATTGAGTAAAATGAGCACTGGTATGCAAGTATTTGGCACACAGAATTAAACCATTGTACTTGTAACTATCTCATTCACAATTTTGAGTCATAATATACGAATGGGCTGTAAAGTGAAATCGCTCTTGAGACGCTTTTTCACCTTCCCTCGAAAAAAAGCTCCAGCCAACTGACCACCTATATATACATGAGGATCTTCTTATCGCAACCGCTGCAGTTTTTAAAGTACATAGTAGGACTTTGAAGCATTACATTCGTTATAAATCTAATAAAATTAGAATATTTTAAATGAAAGTCTAAAATGCTCAGTTTATGAGTTGTTCTTGCACTTTCACTCAAAACTAGGCTCTTGATAGACATATACTTATCGGAGTTGAACTATTTAGTATTGCAATAATAACCGTTTTAAGGCAATGATGAAATTTGTGTATTCTTTTTGATCTCTTTCAATTTGTCCGAAGAAACAACCCTCGATACTTTAAATTATTATATCTAGGTGGCATACCTGCGGGTCATGTGACGAATTTTGAAATTTACATCAGTCAATGTGCAGCCAAAGGTATTACCATATTGTATATAAACTTAGAATACTATGCATTGTCGTGTATTTTGAAATATCAATACAATTATTTTATGCGCTCGAGATAGCCAGTGTGCTGTTTTGTAATCCAGCATTACCATACGAAGATATTCTTCGAAGCGATTGACCCAGAAGTCGACCGCCGGCGGGTTCAAGCATTGGCTTAAGTGCAAATGAATACTAATAAAATGTAGGATACAGTGATGGGCGCCACAACTGTAAGAACAGGTTGGTTTTGTATTGAACTCACTCAGATTAACAAATATCGCTTTCCGTTCATTTGTGTATTATTTTAAAAGTACATAAAGTACACAAACATGGCAAAAATTGATTCTACAAATTAATAGGGAAAAAAAGCAATAGCACACCAGTTTTCATGACTTCATCAGATTATCCGATCTCAAAACCGTTATTAAACGTCGGGAGCTGTAGTTCCAGGAAATATCAACTAATTTGACCGATTGGTGATGTATTTCATAAAGCGTTGCTCGGCTATAAATACTGAGAACAAATATTGAAATCGATCTTTATTTACTTAAGAACTAATTTCACTCAGTTCTTACTAATTACTCATATTTCGGGACATCGATATGGAAAAAGCTGTACATATAGTTACTGTAATCGACAATATATAAAATGGTACACACGAGATGAAATGAGCTATTTTGTGCCTCAAGTTTTAGAATAGAGTAGCTTTAATCTCTGTAGTCTTTCTTTTTGGAACTTATTTGTTTCAGTGCATTTATATTCGGTGTGTAATAATTTTTCGAATATTCGTACATTTTTTTTCCTTTTCTATAAAAAAGAGTTTTTATATGAAAATATACCATAGTAGACAGTAGGAAAATTTTGTATGAATGTAAGACTTCCATAATGGAATTGGATGGAAGCATTGAAATGCCAGAACAAAGGTAATTAATTGCGCTTTTTGTTTGTGAAAACTTGTACTGCGTACAGTAAAGCGTAGAATAGAATATAGTTTTCTTTAGAGAAAAAGTCTTATATTTATGAGATTTTTTTTACTCACTGACAAGAACATGTTATATCCAATTCAAATTCATCTTATAACAGCCAAACAACATTGACTTCTTCTACTACGAACGACGAAGAAACGAATGAACAGCAAAGTGAGTTTTTCAATTCAATATTATATAAAAGATAAACCATAGACACTATAGGGATGTTTATTCGTTTACATTTACATTACATTTGTAGACTGAAAAACATTGGAAATGGCATATATGTGCCTTTAACTGGTCGGTAACAAGATATTCATGAAAAATGAGTACATAATAAATTTATTACGAAACTGTCGTTAGATCTTTATTATTGATCGAAAAGCGTCGTATTCTAAAGTATTTGACTTTATTAGAGTGCGGTTGAATTTGTATTGAAACTGTTGTGCTATGCTATGTATTCAGACTGTAATGATTTTAGTCTCAATGATAAATGCAAGAAAACGGGCTATTGTTCACATATATTCTTAGCCAGCACTAACCGAGGTGTTTAATAAATCATAAAACTTGATAAAAACTTTTGTTTTCTCTCGATAATTATTTAATGCCGAATCTAATTACGTTCTTTTAAATTAATGTTTTTAAAACCGTTCAACTTAATGTTAATTCTACTAATTTACGTGATTAAATTTTTCGCGCGATTAATAGCTATTTTTTCTTTAAAAATTCAGACTCTTTTGAAAGTGTTGATAATGTAAGAGAAGTCGCACAAGAACCCGCGGGGTAAGTATTTAAATCAGCATCTATTCAATCCTAAGTGATTCAAGAATCTTGCTGCACACTAACACAAATATATTTCTGTAAGGTTTTGTCTGACAAAGGTCAGACTTCTTCAGACATACATAGTTCAACTATAACACGAAAAGCAGTTACATGCATATTTAAACAATCAGTTTAAAATTATGGAAGTCACGCATGTTAAATATTCAATATAATCGGTGAATTTCTTGATTAAATAACAGCGGGTGGCCGAAATAAATGTCGTATTCAGAGTAATTAACTTTTTTAATAAATTTAAAAAATTGAATCTTTTTAGTGAATCTGAATTGACGTTTCCAACGCATATGGATGAAGATTTGCCCAGAACTGAAAGTTGTTTATTACGAAAGTCAAAAAAGGTGACCTTGGCATTTCTAACTTTCAGCAAATACAATTTTTGATAGATATTGTATTTTTATTTTTCGTTATAAGAATATGCATTGAAATTTTTATAAAATGTAGTTATGTAAAAGATACAACGTAAAATGATGTTATATTTTACATATTTCTAGGTAGCAAAATACATCAGCGCTTTGATCATTTTCGGGATTATGCTTCTGGGACCTGTTGTATCAGAGGTTTGCGTATAATATCGTTACAATTTAAACATAGTTAAAACATGACGTATTACAAAGTCAGGATATCTGCAATAGACGTTTTCAATATCAAATATTTGATATGTCATCAGACTGCTAATTTGAAGAAAAAATAGACTTATATATTGACATCATTTGACAATTTTCTAAAAATATAGTTATCACAACAGGGCGCCATATCATAATGAATAATAACGTCATTACAAATAATTTATATTTAGTTTGATACTTGTTTCACGAATTGGCGCTTCCAGACTGACTAATCGCTCGCCATGCACTACCCCAGATTTTTGCAGCCGTGTTTTAATCAAACTAAAATTTAGTCATTTAAATAACGTGAAGCAAATTTTACACTGCATGTGATTTCGTAGCAATGTCAACCATCCATCTTGATTTTATTTTACCTTCGAACATCTTCTTTCAACTTTCAGTTTACACTTCTTGTTCTTGGCAACGCATATACACAAGACTACAGCGATAGCAGATGCCCATACGTGAAAGAAGGTCGAGATCAACAATACAATTATCCTAGGTATATGGTCATGTTGATATTAATGAGCTGTCTCTGTTTTGCTGATGTGCTATCACTTCTGTACAGCTTGTGGAACGTTATAAAGACGAGAAAAACAAGAAAATGCATCAAATGGAAGATTTGTTTTCTAGTGAGTTTGGCCTTTGAGGCTTTTTCCGTTTCCGGATGTGATAAATTTTAAAACCACATTGCAATAATCTAGTGATTTAGCTGACATTTATATAAAAAAAAATTTATAATTATATCATTTATTCCAAATTTTTTTTTATCTTCAGGGGTTGCTGCCAGAAATACTAAATGCCGTCGGTTTGACATTCTTTGTTCTAGAAATAATCCCCAATGTTGACGCAACTTTAGTAAGCTTGATGTTCCCAATTGTTTCACTAGTGCCAGCTTTTATACAAGTCATAACGGAAAATTGGGAAGAGCCTGATATTATACAAGGAAACGATGAAGGAGCAGGCAGACGAAACAGACGCAATTTTATTATTGGCATTGTTGCTGTAGTGAGTCTTACTATTTTCAATGAAGCTATATTTAAGTTGTATACATGGCAAATGATGCCATTCGTCGATTTTTCAAATTTTCTATATCCAGTAGAAGTATTCTTATAGCTTTTTCGTACAAACATACTTATCGAATACTGAAAAACAGTATCAAATGTGAATATTCAACATTTATGTAAATTGTCTTATCTGCCGATGACTCGAATGAAAATAACCTGGATATGGAGCGTGTGAAACAATTAGTTCCGTATTTCATATTAATTTTAATTTTGTTGATCCCAACTGGTCGGTTACAAATGGAATTCAATATTTTTAGTGCCATCAAGAATATAAAATACAAAATAAATTTAAAAATTTCAGATTTTACTTCTTATTGGTTACGTTGTTATATGCTATTTGGTATATCAACAACAGAAACTCAACGGAGACGTACATAATACACTCGCTTATACAGCTTTATGTAAGTAAATATGTATAATATTTTTCAGTGGCCGCTTTGGCTAAATTGAAGTATAATATTATAGAGAACAGCGTATATTTCGTTGTTCTCACACGTAAATTAATACGGACTGCAGTTTTGCCATTTTACTGAAAACACTCAAAGCGCATAGCTGAGCTTTTACGTTAATGGAAATTCGTTTTTCAGCATTGCCACTAATTTCTTGTCGATACTGGCAAAATTTCACTACGAAGAGCACAAGAAGCACGATGCACAAAATGACCTTTGAAGCATCTTCAATTTACTCGCTTGTTAGGATTTGCTTTTTTGGTAGGTATTTTAAAATAGATTTTCTCTAAAACTTATTTTTTATCTGAAAAAATCCTAATTTATTGAGATATTATATTCGAATGAATTAAAATTATACACATTCAATTTAAACGATATTGACTACCACAGTGCTACTGCCACTGGTTGGTTTATTATTATTTAAATTTTTGGTATAATATAATAATATAATTTTTTTCATTTTCAGTTTTATTCTCATTTATTATTTACTTTGGAATTGATGGGAACGGTTCGGTTGCTGCTGTCACAAGCCACCAAAATCCAATTTATTTCGTTCAATATGATAGACTTGATAGAAAATGCTCCAGGTAATGTAACAGATATAACAATTTTTAAATTAATTTGATCTTCATCATGATATCTATGAAAGCTTTACCAAAACTAAAATCGTATGTACTCCGTCGTGAACATAGTTCATGAAAAGTACAACATTCATCTGTAATCCTAAAAAATTCTTTATTCGAGTGTCTACATTTTATCATTTAGAATCATGACAGCGTACTGGCTTGTTGGCGTCACGCATTGTCTCACTTCATTTGCTACGTTTTTATTTGGAAGCATTGCTTGCCAAATATTGTTGCAACATTGGTGTTTCTGGTTGCCATTGTCTTTGACTTTTCCAATCATTAGTTTTTTAACTGCCGCGTTTGATTTACAACAATCACATTCATCAACCTTAAACCTAATGGATTTTTTCAATATTCGTAAGTAAACTGATTTTTATATATTATTAAACATAAATAACATGGGTTAAAGATTTAGGGTTTAAATTACAAGCCAGCCCATTCCGAGAACAATAAACTGACTAAGCATCGTTAAACCAAGCGCATTAATGTCATTACAAAATAGAAACATTTTTCAAGCTGTTGATGTTGTTCAGGGTATTATTTCGAGTGATATCCTTGAAATACTTTCACTTCAAGTAGTGAGTGCAATAACATAAATCTAACACTATATACAACTAAAATGAGAAACAAACCAAATCTGAATTATTTCATTGTTACCTTTAGCTGCGAAATATCCTGAGATAAAGGCGTTTATCAACTGGAAAACAACTTATCAATCAGTTTACTGGTATCAGATGCTCGGAATTGTTGTCATTGGATTCCTTCCAGGATTCTTTGGCTTCATATTTGTTACTCGTCATTTGAGAAAAGCAAACGATATTAAACTGAAAATGTAAGTAGTTTTGAATAATTTCAATAATATGATTTGTTTTCAAAGTAATACAAAGCGCACTGTTACTCGGATGCAAAAGCTTAAAAGTTCTATAGGTAATCATCCCAGCCTCTATATTACCTGAATCTTTGTGTTTTTAGAATTGACGAACTGTTTGAGAAACCAATCTTTTCCGGGTCGTTCATTAATGTGGATTTGATGATAAACAGAAAACGAAAATACAAGAGGTTGTTCATGTTTCCTGATCACTAATATAAAATAAATATAACATTTTACATTTTGATTTCTAGAAAGATCAGTTGGAATTTAATTAATGAATATTCAAAATTATTTACTGGATTACTATCTGGAAGTTAGTACAAATTGAAAAACAAGATTGTTATGTATACGTTATAAAACACCATTATAGTATTTTATTAGTAATGATGGTTATGTGGATGAACTTGTTGTATTACGCAGTGAATTTACAGGCCGTAGCCCTAGTTAATGTTACTGTCGTCACACTAGCTTTTTTAATGTATATTTCAGAACATATAATTTCTTAGAAATAACATTCAAATATATTTAATAGTGTCCGGATAAATAACACTCCACAACAACACACTGTTCCATATGTGTTTCTGTGCGCTACTATGTGGCATGAAACGGAGAAAGAAATGCTGCAATTGTTAAAGAGCATTTTCAGGTACTCATCATTTTTAATTCTACATTATAAGCTTTCTGCAAATAAAACAAAGTAACGTTTCCTGATAAATACAGTTCAAACTAATTAATATTTACCAATAAATAAACATCTTTTAAACAGACTCCATGAGTATCATAAAAAGCTTGGTGAACAAGACAACGAATCAAGAAATAAAAGAGACATTTTTGAATACGAGGTAACACACTTACTTAGCTATGTCTATTTAGACTTGGGCTTGTAACCAAGTTTTGTAAATTATATATTACATCACGTGAAATACTATAATAAAACGGTATTTTGTGTTATAAGGTTCATATTTTCTTCGATGACGCCCTGGATCAAAGTGGAGAAATAAACAGTTACGTTAAATGTCTATTGGAATCAATTTCTAAAGCTGCAAGGTATTTCATTACATTTTAGAAGAATACAATACACCATGCAATAAACTAAATTAGTATTATTTAAAACAGCACAGAGGTAATTTATTTGAAAGGGAGTTTGCCCAAATCAAAATTAACAAAGACTTATCTCTGAGCAACATATCACAGGACAACTGGCTTGAAACAATGAAACTACAAGCTGGTCGCTAGAAAAGCAGAAAATTTGTAGATGAGATGAGATACGAATAAAATGCGTATAGGTTGAATTGGAACGATATCCCACAAATTAACCTTCAAAACTCTACACGAGCTCAGACTTATAGGTTAAAGCACTGCTTTGAAGTGCACGGACGACATTTTGAGTATCTATGAGTATAATATAACATATGCCTGTAAAAAACTTTGTAAAAGTTATTCATTGTAAAAATAAATTACTCTTTGTCAAATTTTCTTTTTTTCTAGCGACCCTTGTATATAAGATAATGAAGTTGCGTGACCTCCAGTAAATACCCACGATTCTTAACTTGAAACATTTCTAAGCAATACAAACAGCAAAAAATAACTATATGTCTTGTCCTATTTGTGTTCAAGGTGCAATATTGGAAACATTATTAAAATGTGTGCGATCATGTGCATTGTTTACTCAACTATGGTGGCCCATCGTTGTCACGCGTAAAATTAAAAAAAAAATGAAAAAATAAAATGAAAAAGCGAAAATAAAAAAATAGTTGTGAAAAAACATAAAAATAATTGAAAAAAAAAGAAATGAAAAAAAAAAATTAAAATTAAAAAAAAAAATTTAAAATAAAACGAATAAAAAAATAAAAAAAAAAAAAAAAATAAAAAAAAAAAAAATTAAAAAAAAAAATTGGATAAAAAGAAAATAAAAAGGTTGACAACGATGGTCCGCCTTGTGGCCCATCGTTGTCACGCGTTTTAATTTTCAGAAAATTTGATGTTGCTTGGGACCAACGTTGTCAGGCTTAATCCTACACGCACAAATGTGTTTCCTGGGTTTCTAACTCACTACTGATTTTCATGAGCAATATTCAATAAATTCAACATGAAAATGTTCTATAAATTCTCCATGCTACAAGTTCAACCACAAGCAATATATTTATTATAATGATAAGAGAATATAGAATTGAATACGAAAATTTGTTTTTACGTGTAGAAGGTAATTTAGGTAATTGGAAAATGCTGCTTAACTGCTCAGTTGGCTGGACACTCGTGCGATGCCGGTACGGTACCGTCTGACCGTACCGGTACCCATGCAATCACTCATGAAAGAATGGGAGATACGGATAGTCTAGTAGAATATAGAAATATAAAATATAGAAATATAAAATATAGAAATATAAAATATAGAATATAGAAAATAGAATATAGAAAATAGAAATATAAAATATAGAAACACTCTCTGCGCTTGCCCCATACCGTACAGCCGTAACGTACCGATCCAGACAAATGATAAATCGCCCGTGCTCAACCATTTATTTCAATCCATACCTCGACTCACTATATTCTACTAGGATCGAGGTATAGATTGAAATAAATGGTTGAGCACGGGCGATTTATCATTTGTCTGGATCGGTACGTTACGGCTGTACGGTATGGGGCAGGCGCAGAGAGTGTCTCAGTAGTCTATATTCTACGAGACTATCCGTATCTCCCATTATTTCATGAGTGATTGCATGGCTACCGGTACGGTCAGACGCAAAGGGACTATAACCGACTACCGGTATTTGGTAAGACGGTACGGTACCGGCATCGCGAGTGTCCAGACAACTGAGTAGTTAAGCAGCATTCTCCAATTAAATTACCTTCTACACGTAAAAACAAATTTTCCGAATTTTCGTATTCAATTCTATATTCTCTTATCATTGTTATAAATATATTACTTCTTGTTGAACTTGTAGCATGGAAAATTTATAGAACATTTTCATATTGAATATTGCTCAAGAAAAATCAGTAGTGAGTTGGAAACCCAGGGAACACATTTGTGCGCGTAGGATTATGCCTGACAACGTTGGTCCCAAGCAGAAGCAAATTTTCTAAAAATAAAAACGCGTGACAACGATGGGCCACGAGGCGGACCACCGTTGTCAACTTTTTTATTTTCTTTTCATTCAATTTTTTTTTTTTTTTTTTTTTTTAATTTTTTTTTTCGAATTTTAATTTTTTTTATCATTTTATTTTTCAATTATTTTTATGTTTTTTCACAACTATTTTTTTATTTTCGGTTTTTTATTTTATTTTTATTTTCAATTTTACGCGTGACAACGATGGGCCACCATACTCAACGCTTTATATAAATCATTTAATTTCATCAGGTAATATATTTGAATTATTCAATTTACACATGGTAAACAGTAGCAATTTATTTTCAGTAAAATCAGAAGATTAGAAAACAATCTACGTTCGAAAATACTCGATACACCATACGGAGGTCGCATAAAAGTATTCAACAACAGTACCAATACTGAGCTTATTACCATCCACTTGAAAGATAAATCCAGAATAAGGTATGGACGATATTTTTTAAAATATCTTGTAAACAAACCTATATAAAACCTATAAATAATTTATGTTTACTGTATTTTTAGAAACGGCAAGCGATGGTCGCAGTGCATGTACATGTCATATCTGTTGAAGTATTTGCCCATAACTACTCCAAGCGCTCACCCCAAAGAAGATACATTTATACTTGCACTTGACGGAGACGTCGACTTTCAACCAGATTCTTTAACATATTTACTAGATCAAATGAAAATAGGTGGAAATGTAGGGGCTGCGTGTGGTAGAATACATCCTATTGGTAAGTCGACCTAACATGCATAATTCCAGAATGCATTTTTCAATATGCGTTCTTTATTGATCGCAGCTGGATTTTACAAATAGTAAAAATAGAATTTATTGCTTCAAAACTTAATTATTCTTTTTAAATGATATAGGCAGCGGTCCTGTCGTATGGTTTCAAAAATTTGAGTACGCCGTTGGCCACTGGTTGCAGAAAACTACTGAAGATGTTCTTGGATGCGTTTTATGTAGTCCTGGATGTTTTAGTTTAATAAGATCTTCGGCACTATTGACATCAAATGTTGCTGGTAGTTACACGGAGATTTCGAAAAACGCCAAGCAAAAGTTACAACGGGATCAAGGTATTAGAGACAAAACATTCTGTTGCTGTAAATCCTGTAATGCATATTATGATTAATATTTGAACTAGAGCGCAATGCGCAAATATAACCACACAAAATTCAAGCACTAATCGTAGCCTAGCCTTTGACGAATTACACTGAAAACCGTTATTTAATTTATTACAAATTTGTGGTACGGACGCAAAATGGTCGCAGAAAATCAGTGAGCATCAACTTTTTTAAAAATGTCGGATTAGCATGACATAATCTTACACGCTGGCGAGATATTGGTAAAAATAGCAATATTTTGTTGAAATGTTGGCATCCGAATGCGAAAATTAAAATTAAAATAAAAAGCTTTCTGGTGACTTTAAAACATCTTCAAAATCCGAAAATTGAAAATACAATTGATATTGATTTTTTAGTAACGTAGAAAAGCACTTTTTCTCCAGTTTATCTAAAGTTAAACTTTTGTGTACTTTAATTTAGGTGAAGACAGATGGTTGTGTACATTGTTGCTGAAAGCTGGATACAAGATAGTATATTGTGCTGCGTCAGATTCTTTCACATACGCCCCGACTACCCTTAAAGAATTATTCAGACAGAGGAGGTGAAAAGGATTTTATAGTTTCAACTAGCTTGTTATTGCACGCAGACACTAATTTGCATTTTTATCAAGTTTGAAAAAAAGTTGTTTAAACAATTACGTATATATATGGATATGAAATGGAAGCACAAAACATTTTTTAAATTTTTCCAAGAAGTTGAACCTTTTTATGAATGTGTTTCCATGTTTTTAATTCTAATTTTGTCTTAACTATTGATGAAAACTAAAATCAATAACACGGAAAAAATTACGACAATTTCTTGTTTTCAGACGGTGGGGTCCGTCGACAATGGCAAATGTTCTTGATGTTTTGCTGTGTGCAAAATTAGTTATAAGAAAGAATAATTCCATAACCATGGTGTATATCATTTATCAGGTAAATATACAATAATCTGCAATAATTTTAAACGCTTGTTACGTTCGTTATATTTTTAATTTTATATTTCAGCTGCTTCTAATGGCTGCCACTCTCTTGGGCCCAGCAACCGTGATTCTAGTTATTCAGGGAGCATTTCAATTTGTATTTGGAATGAGCGAAGTTGGAGGATTATTATTGGCCTTGATACCAGTGATAATCTACGTGATTATCTGTTATACAACAAGCTGTGATTTTCAAATCATTGTTGCACAAATATTAACCGTTTTGTATGCTTTTGTAATGATGTCTGTTCTAGTTGGAGTTGTAGCACAAATGGTTGACAGTGAGTCTTCAATATTTAAAATTCAGGCTAGGTTCTATTTTCAGGGTAGGTCTTATTTTCGGGAAACACGGTATGTGCAATTTTACATGTACTGTATATATGCTAATTGAATTTGAGTGACATATTTTCTTTTTATTTCTCCTTTCAATAAGAAAAAAAAATGTATCCAATATTATTGACTTTCTATGAAATTTCTGTTTAGATAAAAATTATTCTCAAGATCTACACTTTTCAATTTAGATATTTGGAATCCAACGTCGTTATTCTTTCTGGCAATGGTGATGGTTTATTCTGTCACGGGTATTCTACATCCAACAGAAATGCTATGCTTATTATCCGGGATTCTTTATTACATTTGTTTACCGTCTGCTTTCATTTTGCTTATGATATACAGTTATTGCAACATGCATGATGAATCGTGGGGAACGAGAGAAAACAAGGTGGGCTGCTTTGTATAGTTTTGGTCAAGATTTAAGATAAGTTAAAACGCTGAATCTAATGAGTTTGATTTTAAAGAAAACCGGACAATCTTTATAGGTTTTTTGGGAAACACATCAATAAAAAATAAAAGTTTTTGTACATTGCCTTTGGGATGAAACTTTGATGGTCCACAAGTCAATCTTAGGTTGACGACTGAACCAAGTATACGCATAATTTGAACGCAGTAACATCGAATTCTAATTAGATGGCATAGAAATTATTCCTTTGCCAATAATACTTGTCAAGTTATGACATTATTTTGAAAATTAAATTTGATATAATTCAGGTGAATAGTCAGAACAACGTAGATAAAGGCCAATGCGGAAATAGCTGCATGAAAAAAATTGCATCGTTTTTTAATCAAAGGAATAAATATACCGAAGTACCAACATCCGAACCAGAAGGCGCGCCACAATTGCGTAAGTATATTTAACCTAAACCTGCCTTTTTCTATGCCAATACGATTAACGGGACTATGGATAATTTTTACCGGACATTCACGGCGATGCACCTGTTAAATATGTAATTGTATTTTTCTATTCTAGATGAAACTTCTCAAGAAACGACCGAAAACACGACACAGGTATATAGATTATCGGTAACTAAAATCATGTTCTTTCCAAATATTCTTAAATAAATACGGTACGGTAAATACGGTAAATGCTTTCTGAATTTTCCCAGCACAAACCTGTCTGTGAATACAATTATAAAATCAACATTTAATAATTTTCTACGCTTTCATATTTCAAATTACTTTTAATATGAACAACAAGCGTGTACCGGTTTATAGAACTACTATTAACTGCAAGAGGTGTTATATTTACTCGCGAAACCTTTTTAGAGTATTTCTTTACCAAGAAAAGGGGTGGATTGGAAAACTGACAAAATATTTAAGGACCATACGCAAGGGTGGGTAAAGTATATTTGTTTTATTCTAACGTTCTGATAATTTTTTTCTGAAAAAAAATAGACGATATTTTAAAATATATCAACATTCATATTGCAGAGTGATTGATGAAAACGAACGAAAATACTGGAAACAATTGATCCAAATATATTTAATGCCAATTGACAAAAACGATTCTGACGAAAAAGATAAATCCAAGAAGTTGAGCTTTGATCTCAAAGAGATGAGAAATAATATGAGTGGAGTCTTTTTCTTTATAAACAGTATATGGATATTTTTGACGTTTTCTTTGACAATGGTGATTGATGACGTCAACATTACGTTGTACGATCGGTATGGAGATGCGATTGTGGTGAGTTGCAATAGTGTGACGGATATTTGAAAAAAATCTATTTTCAGGAAACGGCTTAAAGCAAGGTCACACGCTATCACTCTAGAGCAGGGGTCGCCAACCTACGGCCTAAAGTAATCTCAGGCCCTCAGGCCCTCAGCGCTTTACTTCTTCACGTAACAGAATTTATTATAAAAAGTATCATCCGATCGGTTTTCAACTTTCTAAAAATATGTGTGGCCGCCAATGACTTGCAACTACTAATTTTGGCCCGCGAGATACAGAAGGTTGCCGACCCCTGCTCTAGACGTCTAGAGTAAAATATATTTATATTCCAGCAAAAGTTACGGAGGGCCATTGAAAATTCAAAAGCTTAACAGATAGCCAGCCATGAACATAAATATAATCAATGAAAAATTCAATCGATACTAACTCTTTAAAATTATTTTTTCAGCTCAATCCGCTGGCGTTCATGTTCTTGATATTTTTTATGATTATTTTGGTGATTCAGTTTATAGCAATGATTTTTCATCGGTGGAATACATTCTTGCATTTAATGGCGGACACAGACTGCGTATTTACTGATGGCGGCAGCAAACAACAAGTAAATTTGATTTTCAATTAACTTTATACCACCAATGCTTCAGTTAACGCCCACAGTAAATTTTCAAATTTTCTGTCATTTATAATGTGAATATTAGTTGTGCATTAAAAAAAAAATTATGTGTACGAAAATGAAAAGATATACGTAAAATAACTCAACACATTGTATTGTCATAAAATTGATTGTTACTTATCGATCTTAAGATCGGTAAGTATGTTAATAGGTATTTGTCTGTTTGTTTGTTTGTTTGTTTGTTTGTCTGTTAGATACACGCGATATCTCACGAAAACGAGGTTGAATCTGCTCTAAATTTTGCATGTGCATTCATCATAGTTCGGAACAGGAGCCTATCGTTTTTGGATGGATTATGCCGTATAATTAGCGAGTTATTAATTAATTAGTAATGGGACACACGGTGTTACTATGGAGTAAGACCACTGTTTTGGGGGATCCCCTAACCTCCTATCGATAAGTCCTCGGTTTCCAACCGAATTCTAGTTATCTTATCAGGAAGTTCAAACTTCGTACATTGTATGATACGTTGAATTTATTCGTTGACATTAAAAATGTCTGTGTTCCCTATTTTTAAGTACCTTTACTTTACAGGATATTGGTGAGGGCAATGAATCTAGTGGAAACAGGTACTTTTGTATTAATTCTGCTTTTCATCTGATTCATTATATTAATTTATTCACACGAGTGCTTATATAACGTTCTGAGTAGCATATTCAGAAAGATATGGCATTTTCATGTAAGTAAAAACATTTAAATACCAATTTCACCATATTTCTTTGATAACATGTGTATTTAGATGATATATCGTACGTTTAATCAAATCACTAATCCAATGTAGTACAAAAATGATAATTCTTCGGAGAGCATTTTCTCACTATTTTCAGTCCAAAATAGTGCAAAGTAACTTATTATACTAAATTTAAAAATTACGAATTAATATAAAAAAAATTGTGCATTTCAATATTTAAGTTTTTTCGGTATAAAAAAAATACAATAAATGAAAATGTAATTTAAAACATATAAAATATAAAAATGCATCATTTTTTATATTTAGTGAAACAGATGGAAGTCAGCCTGGAACATTGGAATTCAATAATTTAGGATTTGACACACAAGAGAGTATTGTATGATCTCTGCATTTATAGATGTTAACCACCATGACAAGATGCCGACATTAATTCGGCAAGGATCAAGTGACATCATTGCCCATGATGAAGTCGAACTCGCATTAATAAAGCATTTTGTAGAAACAATATAAATTGCAATTCTATTGTGATCATGTATATTATTAAATTCAACAAGTTCTATATTAATCTAAGAGTGTGTATCGATTAATTTCAATAATATTAATAAGTTTGCATTTGTTACTTATTAAAGCACTCTCAAACTTGGGTACAACTTAGCATGGGCATCTCATTGATACCGCACATCAGCGTATTTACTTGGAGTTGAGATTCCCAGGCGTATTTGTAAGAAGATAACAACAAAAATTGCATTATTTTACAATAATTAAATCCTTTTTGAACCATTAAAATTTGACCTACTCACTTGGGCCTTTATCGACATTAGCACTTAAGTAACTAGACATATTACATTTGGGATGGAGTCGATTTAATGACTTTGAAAAGCAGCTGAGATTTAACGAAATATTTTCATAGCATAATACGCACACCCACAACACACCCATTATATCATATACAAAATGTTACAATAGAATTCTTTCGTGCGCGTAACGCGTGAGGAGAGTCAAAATATGTTTGTTTTCATAGCATTACTTCAATTCTATTGTGAAAGTATTAGATTGGAAACACTTTAAAAAACTATTTGACAACTATGATATGATCGAAAGTCCAATAATGATGAGTATTTACACTTTTGTTCATATTCATATTCATGACATTATTGCTTTCATGCTCACAAATATACGTATTGTTATATATTTTTAGTTTCACAAAAAGGAACAAAGAACACCATCGTGTTTATATCACAGTACTGACGTCTAACGTCACAATGGTCTTACCGAAATAATTCCCCCGATTTTTTGTTAAATTAAACTCGTACGTGTGAGATCAGGCATGTGACTGTTGAAGCGATCGATTAGTTCTTCTTCTTATTACATTAAAGTACTTTCACGGCAGAATAAAGCTGAGAGATTGAAAATAACTATTGTCTATATGTGGTTTTGTAAATTCATCACCAAATTTTCTGATTAAGTTATATCAAAACACAGGAACTCGTTTTCTCGCAACAGTAACATGAGGATTTATTAATTTTAAGGTACAATTAGTAACCCAATAGAGAGTATTAGACATGTTTTTGAGGGTTTTAGACAATGTCCAAGGTTGAGATTAAAACTGTAAGAAAAAAATAAGGACTATGCCATTTACAACTAGTTCTTGTAGACAAATAATTTGTGTTACAATGCATTGGACAGACAGCAGACAGACCTGGTAGTAATCGGTACATACATGATTGCATAAATTTTTCTTGTGACAAGTTGCGATTAGAATAATAGTTTGTTTTGCCTTTAATAGAGTACATATTATAAAGCTAAATATTTGGTTTTATTTTTATCTAAACCGGTTCAGGGACATCACGATGAGCGACGTAAAAGCCAATTTGCCGCAGGTAAGTTTAAACAAGTTTTAAAGAGTATTCACATAGAATTTTTCAAAATGAAGTTTTTGCTTGTGAAAAGTCGATATTATTAAACACAGAAAGTAGTGTAATGGTTGATACAAAATAAACTTATTAATTAATTAAGGTTTACTTGATTATTCATAAATCTTATTTCAAGTTAAATTTTGTTGAAGAGGTACATAAAACATTCACTTGGGATAATATCTTAAGTACAATACATTACGTATATCAATATCACACAATATTTTTATTATAGACATTTAGCCAAAAAGCGGCTGAATGCGTACCTCGTTACGTCGGGCATTCAATCGGGGGAAGTGTATTCTTTCTTGCATATGCAATGGCAAACACTGGAATCGTGACATTCAGGCAAGTATATATATGAAATATTTGGTAGCAATTTAGTGTGTCTTCTAAAAATACAATCCATTCGTTATATTTAAATCAGACGAGTAACTTCGAGATCCAATCGTCACCCATACGAGTTTCTTACACGTTTACCTATAGGCGGTATCCATCTAGTAGAACACGAACATTATTATCAATGCAATCAAAGGACAATTTTGACGAACTCGAAACTTCAATAGTCTGTTGTTCGTCACAAGGTTTACGTGTTTACTTGTGATCTGATGCATAACCGATGACGTCAATTGTAGCAAACCGTTTTTTATTTATTTTATGGATTCATCAGATTTGTGGTCGGTCATGTATAACTAACTGGTGGCTCAGAGGTAGTAAAAAATAAAGTATTAACATCGAGTCAGCGTGTATATATATATATATATATATTCATCTTCAATTTATGAGCCATATTAAGCTTGAAATAACACAAATAACATTTTTAAATATACAATATATTTGGGTTAATAAAGCTATATATGATAATATAACTTTTTGAGTAAAATGAATTTAAAACTAGATTAAGAGAATACATCAGCAGGCTTCATTCAAAGTTACTAACTTATTCCAGATTGAGATAATGTTTTAATTACACGATAATAATATCTTTATTAATGTTTTCATCAACTAAAAATTTGACACCGTAAATAACGTATACAGCAGTTCGTTGTTATTGTTAACCAAATTCATTAACAAGAACCCAATTCAGACCTCTTAATTTGAAAAGTATAAATATCATAAATGACTATTCAGTCAAGATATTTCAACAGTCATTTGCCATTATATTCTGAAGAATGGTGAGGTATACCCTCTATTTCAATTCAATTAAAATGATTTATTACTGACTATACGAGTGACTAGTGATACAGGAGCTTGATAAAAACCTATTTTTGTACACGGTCAAATATAAGTAGTACGAGATGAACCTCATTTGTATAAATTTTTGTAACTTATTGCTGCCATATTCTTTGCATTCCAAATCATATGAATCGAAAAAATATTGATTTTATTATTCAAAAGGAACAATTGGTGACTTTCTAACCTTTAAACGTACCTCATTCAATGAAAGATAAACATTCATCAGGCGAACAACGCGTGATTAGATAACTACATCAATGTGTTCCTGTTTTCGATAAATGAGAGATAACTGTCTCGTATACAAATCATTTCGCAATCATCGCCAGATTATATGATTGTAATCTATGAAAGTTAAACTGAATAAAAAAAACTATCAAAAAAATTACCGAATACTAATAATTTACAAAACGACTATTCAAATAATAATTATATACCAAGCGACGGAGTCCCGAATGGTTAGTTCGATGTTGTATATAATTCTGACTGTAATTCTGAAGATCTCAAAATGTTTTTTGGCAGAGCTTTTTGGTCAGTGGGATTCTCTGAAATAAACAAACTTATACTACTGTAATGTTTGGACATGCTTATCAATTATAGTGGAAAATAAAATTTTATTCGGTTTAACTCAATTTTAGTATCATTGAGAACTAGTTATTTTTGTAGACTCGGTCGGTTAGCAAAAAATAACATGTATATACAAATATACCAGGATCCAAGTTTTGACAAAATGATATAAAAACCACCTCTAAATATCCATTAAACTTGTATCATTATTTCAGCGTTGTCATAGCAATGGAAGCATATTTTACTGGCTGTTCTCTTCTTCACATACAAGAGATGGTGCAGGGACAGAATCATGGAGAAGAACGCATAAATTACTTTGTACGCTTTTAATTTATTTTTTCTAGCTGTCATTTTTTAAATTGTGTTAATCTCTTAATATTTTCCCCTCATCGACCAAATTCAAAAATGCCCTATTACTGGATCATTGGCAAGAAAGATGAAATTATGCAAAGAGCATTCAATTCTAAATTGTTGTCAAAGATATTAAATTGCGTTTTAAATTTTCTCCATTTCATCTACACCTGATGTCTCATCTCATTTGAAGATACGAAAAATTGGGTCTAAAATAGTTTTATATTAGGTTTCAAACACTTGGATGCTCCATTTAATCTTGCCCTAAAATCCCACTCACAAATATAGGCGTCACGGCGATGGCTCTATATTGCTTCCAAGTCTTTGGCATATTAATGGGAAACTTTCTTCCGGCCAACGTAGAATTGATCGCCTGGCTAATGTCAGCACTATGTAATAAAATAATAGCAGTTTTTCCTGAGCCCGACGACGTAAATTTTTTTTTTCGATTAATACTCGGCGGTAAAACGTCGAATTTGAAAGAAAGAAACGGTTTATACATTTATCTGGTTACATATTTTGGTACTCCCGAAGTATGTGAACCAAGATGGCCAACTCCCGGTACTCCCGGTACCGTGTTAGGGTTAGGACATAATTTCGGGTACAATACGGGAGTCGTCACTTGGCTAGTCCCAGAACTAGATAGAACTAAAATAGGGAAAATTGGAGTAAAATTATGGTCTGAGCCTAACCTGTACACATACTACGTTGCGGTGTCCGCCATCTTGGTTCACATACTTCGAGAATACCCATATTTTGTACATACCTGTAAACGTATAATATTTACTTTCTATATTCCAACATTTCAGCTTGCCATTGAAAAGCATTTGTGCAAGAAAACACGTCAATTTATCAGATTCTTGTTTCTCATTGACGTGATCAACTGTGAGTACCATTACGTACTTTTAACAGTTAATTCTAAACTACAAAGTTGAATCAACCGTTCCATGAAACTTTATGGGTTTCCGAATTTTGGGTCAACTTGCCATCGACTATTGAAGATAGATTTGCTCTTTTTAACTGCTAAAAATTCGGAGTTTACAACGTTTATTTAATATTATGATATATGTAAAAAAAGGCTGTTTCCATTTTCCAAGCATCTATAAAATATAGAATATAAAATATGGAGTGGAGACAAGAAAAGCCGGTTTGGATTGTTAATTGCCCATAATTCAGCAGTGATAATTAACCTATTTATCTTATACAAGTTGTGCACCTCAAGCAACATTACTGGAAAACTGGATCGCAAGTAATATGGCAGCATCGGTGTGATAAAAATATTAGTGCTGATTTTTTTTTTATATTCATTCAATCCCTTTTTCATGTAGGCACCGCTTTCTACTACAAAATTTGCCAATCATTATTTGAGTCTCTTGTGTTTGAAAACCATGTTCAAGTTAAATACAGGTAATATTTTCTGACACTATTTTTTTCTTCAATAGAAAGCACACAATTATATTCACTGTCATAGTTTTTCTTAGCGCATAATACTTAGGGATCGATTGTGCGTAATCAACGAAATCGTAATAATCAGTTTCATCAATAGATTTATGAATAAGTTACATAAAGCAAAATTTAACGTTCATTTCGATAGCTCAAATCTGGCTTTCCGTGGTATAATTTGGTTTATCATTGTACTCCGGGCTCACAATATATATTTTTATTTAGCAATATATTGAATTTTATGTAGCTTTGTTGCATTATCAATTGTCTGTGTGTTGACCTTTTGTTATTACGACTAAAGAATCTCAAAACGCTCATGGTCACGAATTGCGCTTATGACAATATGACACATTTATAGGCAGCTGAACTTGTTTATGAGAATCGAGTGATTACTTTAAATGATTTCCAACATATGCTAATTTATAGCATGTTGTTTAAAAATCATTTAAAATCTATATTGAATTATGTATACAGAACTGGAACAACAATTATTGCCTGTACTCTGACCACAGTATTTCTCATCGGAATGGAATATGGTAAGATTTATATATATTTCGCAAAGAAATTGAAGGTGATATGTTATCCCCACTTTAAAAATTTTGTTCAAACGTAATGACTTTTTAAACTATATTTTCTGCAACGCATGACAGATCTATAATACCATTCAGTAGCGTACAACATATGAATGTTTTGATATCATATTGTGGTTTTATTTAAATAAGGGTTGTTTAAATATAACTTATGCTAAACGTATTCAATGTTTTAGGTCAAAAATATTGGCTGAAGTCTCACAGATCTTCACAGGTAATAATGTATCTTAATGTATTGTAACTGACAGTTGGGGTTACGTGAAACTAACTATATTTCCTTGCTCTATGCCTTTGCGCAGGTGGATCCGTATGCGTATAACGCAAGGATGCTATAGCAAGAGTGAAATGACTATTCTATTCAATTCAACAGTTTTGCTGCACACTAACACAAATGTATTTCTGTAACGTTTTGTCTGACCGACGTTCAACCGTATTTCTGTAACGTTCGTCTGACCGAAAAGCTTAAAAGCAACTGTGGCAAGAAATGCAATGGCATGACATGTACATAAATTATGGTATCAGATGTTGGGTCTGTTTACGATACAGAAATACATTTGTGTTAGTGTGCGGCAAGACTCTTGAATTGAATACATTAATTTATTTTTATGGCCTAATTTGTAACAGTAATTATTATCAATCATTTTCAAACTAACTTCTTGAGATTTGAAGCAGTATCGAGTTCTGAAATCGGTAATTTCAAAGAAGTTTTTCGGAATTTATAGGTAATTCATTCAATACAAAAATCAGAATTGGTATTTTTATCCTTAATAAAAACTAGTTGCTAGTATAATAACACCAAAGAAAGCAAATAATGAGAGTTGGGCAATGGCAAGTTCATAACTTCTATAGTAATGAGTACAAATATGTGATTATACCAAACTATCACTACTAAATCATTGTATTCATGATGTACTTTTCAATGGCAGAAATTGATTACAAGTATCAATATGTCCCGAGTTCAAGCTGATGTCATTCACCTCGATCAAAGTGAGTAAAATTTGCACACTTTACTGACCTAAAAAGAAAACTTGCTCAATGAAACAAAAAGAACTGAAAAAAAAAAAAGTTTAATTCGCATTTGACAAAAGCTATTGAGATAGACTAAATGTTCATTATGAGCATGTTTATTAATTTTAAAACTTACGTCGTGTTTTTCATTTAATTTTACGCAAAATATGATTTTTGATATTACGATATTTTGACGGTTTTAGTGAGTTGTGTTATGTTTTGGAGGGTTTTTGAAATTTTTTACTCAAGATGTGTACTTTGGGGAACCACACGGGAAGACGACATCCATTATTCTCTTAATATTTATACTTTGAACATAGGCTTAGTTTTTAATTTTGACAGAAGATGAAAATTGGCTATTTGGTTTAACTCGAATCAATGGTGAGTTATAACGAACATTTTACTACTTATATCCCAATTTACCAATGCATGATTTTTTTTTTGCAAAGCAGTTCCGAATGTATGAACTTATGAACTGAAAATATGAACTACAATGTATGAATATAAAATATGAAAGTATTATTGCTTCATAGGTAACAGTCACAGAATACAGCCTGAAAAGGAAAAAAGAATAAACTTGGAAGGTAAATGTATATACAACATATTTATCTGCGAATTATTATCAAAAAATGTTAGTGTGACGTAACCAGGCAAAAAAAAAAAACTACAGCGTATTTTAAATATTTCAGCCGTTGAAAGAGAAATGAACAACTACAATAGTAAAAGACCAATATTACTCCTTCTATTTATGCTTTTGTTATTTTCAACAATTACCGTCAGTTACGACACAGTCAGCTCGGAGGAGTTGAAAATAATATTCAATGCAAGCACTCAATGCTCCGGATTGTCGCAACCGATTGCTTTTGCAAATTTCGACATCAGGGTCAGTCCATTACTTATCAGTTTCTCACTTTTTCGCTTTATTTCTTGGTATTAGAAAATAAAATAAAAAATTGGTGAAACGATGATTTTTAATATTACAGATTTTCAGTGCAACAGCTATTGTAATCTTTGCACTAAAGAATTATACTTTGATGCTGCCTGTCTGCGTGGAGGAATTGAAGTAATGCCTTTGTCTTGTCTTTCTACTATCAAAAATGATTTTTATTTAAATCATTTTTTCAAACGCATGAACCTATACTAATGTAATCATTTATATTCCTATCCTAGCCATGTATTTCTCTAAATTTATGAAATAGTCCAACAAAGCAAAATTGTTTCTGATATTGCATCAATTGTGCTCCGTACAAAATTATGGATAATAAAACTGAATCAAGTCAAGCTGAATAAGAAATAAATTTGATCTGTTATTATTTTAAATCTAGATATCCAAAAAAAGAATTTACAACTCTTGTGTTTTGGTCAGAAGCAACCCTGGTTCTAATTTATACATTGTTCGCAATGTCAGTCTATATGACATTCGGAGGTAAATATCAAAATGTATACTATGCAATATTATATTACTTTAAATATTTTAACTGTATAAATTTGAACGTTCTATATGAAACGCAACAATAATTTCCGATTTAATAGGGTCTGACATGCCACGCCCACTGGAAATACTTGCGGTACCATACAATATTAGACCCGATTAATGTACAGTATATCGCACTGAGATACAATTAAATAAAGTTTATTTGGAGAAGAAAAAAGTGAAAAAAAAATCAATTTTAGAAATACTTCCAACAAAACCAATAAAAGTTATATTTGGAATATTTCAAAAAATGTAGATTTTGATTACTAGTATTAGCTTTATAATTGTTCATTTCAATTCTTAGCAGTTAATTTTTGTTATTAAGAATCTGTTTCACCAATGTTTTTGACAAGCTACGGGAAAAATATTGTCGGATTTCCTTTGGTTTGCATCGCTCTTGCCATGACTTTAAATGCGATGCTTCTCAGAATTATTGGGGTGAGCAGCTGCAATTTTTTTTTATTTTAATTCTTATTTTTTGATCAGTTTATCTATATAAACAAGACCCTTTAGTTGCATCTAGAACAAAATTTATGAATATTACTCCTATACAAACTTTTACATTCATGATTGTCAAGGTTTATTCTTTAATTTTTTGATGTTTAAATAAATACTTTTCAAAGCCAGAGTTTGCTAGTCAAGGAGCTGTATAGTGACTGTGAATGATTTTGTTTTAGAAACAGATTGAAAGGCAATAGTAACTATTAACTATTCACAAATTTTATTTGTATCCATACGTGCCATGTAATTTGTAATAATTAAAACAAACAAAAGCAGTCAGTGAATGGATAAATCACAAAAAATCGCCATTGAGGGAAGAAGGTTCAAAAAAACGCGTATAGAAGCCATTATATTAAAAATTTATTCAAATGCATTTTGGAATTAATTGTTTGTGTTTGGATTTTAAGTTACATCAAATATAACGTTAGTCGTCAACTGTGGTGCACGTTACTGATTTGCTGCAGTCGTCTGAAGTCAAAAACAATAAACAAGAATTACACATTCCAAGAACAGATTCGCGCGAACCCCGTGAATCCCACGCCACTGGTAATAACTATTGTGTCGTATTTTATTGGAACCTATTTGTATACAGTGCGTCAAGCTGATGCAAGTTTTATTCATTGACAACGACACAGAAAATGTTTTCTGGCTTGTTGTAATATCTTCAATATTTGGATCTCTTCTGTTGGCACTAGTTGTAAAAGACACGTTATACCTTGTGGTACTTGCAGGTAATCCGAATTTTAAAATTATTCATCATATCTTTTATTAAAGTTAAATAATTAAAATAAATACCATTTCGGGGCAAAGTACGGCCCGCGGACCAAATCCGGCCCACTAGGTAATTCAATCTGGCCCGCCTGATGCTGCCACAACCTAACAGAAACCAAATTTTCATATTTTAGTTAAAAATAGCTCAATGAATTTGTTGAGATTGCGGTTAAATTTAGTTTTGGCACGAGTTTTATTGTTATCCACTATTGCTTTTGTACACTGTGAACATTGTTCATAAAATGTAACTTTTTACGTCATACTTACATGGCCCGCCAGTCTAGATGGGCAAAATTTTTGACCCCTGGTTTCAAAAATCTTGCTAACCCCTGTTATAAGATGTTTTCAAAAATCAGTTCAGCACGTTGACGATATGTAAACAGATAATTATTGTTTTTTTACCATTATTGATCTCATGTATTAACGTTGTGGGTTGTACAAAGTAAAGTCGTGAACATGAGATCTTTTGTAGTTATGCAAGAATGTGAGATTTGTGAAACAGACCCCTGCCATGTTTAAGTGTCACTTGGCTGTCACGGGAGTCACTTGGCTAGTCCCCGAACTCGTAATAGAACTAAAATAAGGGAAATTGAAATAAAATTATGGCCTAACCCTAACCTGGTACACATACTATGTTCCGGTGTCCGCCATCTTGGTTCTCATACTACAGGAGTGCCCTATTTAGTTACATTCACTTTGTCTGGTTATTTCCAGTTTTTATTTCCCAGGTTCGGTGACTTGCAACCTGCTTATTATAATCTTCCCTTGTATCTCCTACCTGAAGTTTAAGAAATCCAGAAGTGAATTTAGTTTTGACATTATACCGGTATGTTAACTGCTTGTCATAATATAGTTAAAATAACAACTGTAATGTTTCTTCAATTTATTATTTGATAAATTATTATTAATTTGATCTCAATATGGATGGAAATGGTCAAAAAGTATAAAATCAAACAAATACAGAACATATACAAAAGATAATTGTAAATCAGTGTTACAGTTCAATTGATTAATTCATATTAGGTACAATAGTTTGATTGATTTAACTTTTTGTTACTGATTTCAACAGTTTATTTTTTTCATTTTTTTTATTCTATTTATTCCAGGCTTTCTGCAGCCTTCTATGGCATAGCGTATTGCTGATTTCTGCACCGTTCGCTCTCTACATGCTTGATCCTAGTATAGGTATAGGTTGTAGAAAAGTTTTCAACATTTACTGGAAATGATCCATCCAACTTTATTTTGAACTACATTTTTGTACAAAGTATACATATTGAGGAAAAAGTTTGATAATTCAATCAGAGCCATGTATTATAGTATGATTATCCCTGCTGAACTTGATAAAAATTTAATATTGAAAACATACAACTGGGTTAAAATTCGAGAATATAAAACACCATAATCAAAAATTGAACCTATTTCATAAGATTTTATTTTCATCGCGAATATTAGTACTATTTTTACATAGTTGATATTTATATCTCAAATATATATATCAACATATTGTCGAAATGATTGTATAGATATATTTTCAATTCAATTTGCTTAAATCTGCCCAAAGTGGACATTTTATACCTTTTACTGCTGTGGAGCAAACTTGAAAGTTTTTATTTTGCCTTTTAGTTAGCTTTTAGTTATTTGCTATACATATTCCACCACGCTTAAACAATAAGGAAATGCTTGACAAAGTGGCAAATTATAGAACTGCTTAGGGATTAATATTATCTTACATATAGAAAATGTTACTGGATTTTAACATTATTATTTTACAACATGCGCCGTATTGTTAAATTCATATACACAAATCAAAGATTTATTATTGGAAGAACAATCGTTTAATATCATATGAAGGCGTCTTCAATCGATCTTCAACTAAAAGTAAAAATGCACTTTTATTTTATACAATTTATTACTATTTTAATTGTATTGTGACCTTTATATTAAAAATTCGATCCAGATAATATGTGATAAAAAAGGCTGACAATTTTATTTAACGTTAATTCATTCGTTGAACTAAACAAAGTATTGTGTCACAGAGCCCTATCTTACCAAATTATCTCTAGGCTCATGTCAAAAAGAACGCATGGTAGCGCAATAAAAGACACTGATAAAGTTAAAGTCTAATGGCGAGTATACAGAGATATTACTGTCTATTAGAATACTTTCATCAATTAAAACTGAAACAAGAAGATGTGAGAAGATGTGAATTGTACAAGGTTGAAACTGATGAAATCACATTATTCCGAAGACTCGACTTAACTGAAATAAATTTTTTTAAAACTAATAATTACACCACTCGATTCAATCTTTTGTGAAATTTAAAAATGTAAATACAACTAAAACGCCACTGGTCGCACTCTTATAATATACAGTTATTATTATTCATTGGTCAAGAGCTTTTTACCTTTTGTTAAGCACTTTTGCATAACAAATACAATCTTATGATAATTTGATTGACATTCTAAGGTCAGGTAAACGGTTAGTCATCTTTATACTCTATTGTTCATATTCTGAATATATTTTGCGATTTTTAAATTTTTTAGAAGTTTCTGACCATAAACAACTTTAATGAAAGAACTATTTACAATACAATACATATAGTTAACCTATTTGCAAAATGTGTATGCCATTTCTGATCCAGGATTGCAGAACTTTTGAATTTTTGGCGACAAGAATGTTAATTTGAATGAACTTTCTATACTACTACGATATATACTATACTTTTACTACAATACTAGCGAGGACAAAATATAACAAGCCGGTAGGAGCCCAGGATCTCCGCTGATACTCAGCCCCACGTCTGTATTGTGCTACCGCGATGATCCAATTTGTTTCAGTCCTTGTAGCACACTAGTGGTCACCCGTAACTTAACTCTTTTATTTCCGCGACCTTTTATGAATGCAAAAGCGGTCACTGAAATTGCCTGTTACTGATATTTTCTGTTCATTTTGAACGCTGTACGTCTGCTTTTCATCGTTGCGTGAAGTATAAAATGTGGCTAAATATTGAAACATGTTCACTAAAATTCTTAAGGCTTCACTAGTTTATAGAGTACCAAGTTGAATGGTGACTGTTAGAGAAAGCATTTTGTTTCGCGAAGGGTACCAATCTCAGAATTTTAGTTTTCGACTTAATTTACAAAAAAATTGCAACAGAATGTCAAAAAATTAGTAATTTCTTCACGATCGGAAGTTTTGTGGTTGCTGCCGTGGAAACGAAACACTAATCCAGTCTTTCGAGGAAACGCATAATACTAGGATGACAGGTTAACCCACATGAGAAATTTCATCTAAATTGATCCAGCCGTTTAGAGGCTACAACTGAGAATAAGGGTCTCCTATAGTGCGGAGATCCAACAGTTAGTCAAGATAGGGAAGAATAACCAACGCGATGTCAGTCGTTATTCAACGGAAGTTCTGATTGATTTTGTGGAGTCGGTATGATATCAAAGGTACACCAGGATCAGTTCAACCGGTTGACCCAACCCCTCGGGCTATGACACATACTTCACGAACCGGTATAGCCGATATGGCTGGTTATGAGATCGGCAAGGTGGCTGATATTCCCAGAATAATCAATTGGTAGGTTAAGAAACAGCAACCTCACGAAGAAATCCTACAAGGAAAAACACCAAATCATAACTTAAATTTTGAACGCCAGATTAGAATAACACATTTCAAAACATATTTGACCTAAAATTTATAATATCGTTATGTTATCTCTTATCGAAATAAACTCTACAATTTTTGTGTGCTTGATTTTTTGAATAAATAATAACCAAACTTTTTAATTGGAACATCGTTTACAGGCATAGAATTAGGAATATCAACGTTGGTCGCCAACAATTTTTTTTTAATGAAATTGTTTGACAAAGATGAACATCGAAACTTATTCAATTCATTTTCGTTTATGGTCACGAAGGAAACAGAAAGATCGTTCACGCGCCCGACAATTCACCTCACATTTTTCTGTTTTTGTAATTCATGGGCTCGTCATATAATAATCTTTTAACATATTCTGACATTTCGGTGCCCATATTGGTCCTTTCATCTTAGCGTGCACAAATTTAAATGTATTGCTGTTATTTTACAATAAGTGCGTATACGATTGAATCGTTTTGCAAAATAGTATTTATCATTCTTGTTGGAGTCGTCTTGTGAGAAAATCGTCTCCTCCCGCAAGTAATGAACCAATCGATTTGAACTTATTAAATTGTGGTATTTTTCTTTTAACTTGAGTTTCCTCGGTATCCAAAGTTTGTAATACTTTATTCTGCTTTTAGGACACAATGTGTACATATATATATAGATCGTTTCAAGTTGTTGTTCTTGTTGGTATTTTTCCCATTATTTGAAAAAATGGTCCTTCTCATTAACCACTTAACTATTTGCCTTGGAAATTTCAGTTATTAAAGATTGTATTTTTTGCTAGAAGGCTATCAATATTATTTATTTCAAAGAATTCTTTGGGCTTTATGGGGTTGGTTTTTTGTGTGTGGTGACGTCATCAAAAATTTCTCATCTCGTGGATGTTCGGGGTTCGCGTTAGTCGTGAAGACTGCTATACCGGTAGTCTACTCTGACAGATTGCATATTCCGTACTACTTCGTTTTAACATTGTGAACATCGTCTCTTGTTTAATTCGACAATAGTAAAAAGGTTCAAATGTATGTTTGAAAATATCTATATCATGCCAGGTCAAAAATTTAGCAAATATCATAAAAGATTTCTTTATAATGAAATAGGGTAAAATAATGGATGCCTTCATAAGAGAGTTTTATAATATCCTGACATCAAAGACTGCTTTTCATCGAGTTATGCTGTGATTAGATGATGAAGTCGGGTACAGTTTCATTTTTAAATTCAATTATTCCTCATTTGAAGCAAAAGTGAAACAAATGCACGTCCAGTGCAAAATTATCAAAATGTTCTTTACAATCATCTGGTCATTAAAATTACTATGTGCCCATTAAACGCCGTTAGTTTCAAAATGAGACTCTTCCAGCAGCTTTGATGACTGTAATGGGTTTAAAATTTCAGATTTACCGTCAATAAAAATGTGCTTTTTAGTTTTCATGTACAATTTACACAGGTATGTATATATGGAGATTGTCACATGGAAATATTTTGCCAGCATTCCAGATATTCATACGTCTGTCAGGGAGGAAAATAAATTCGAAATAGTTAAGCAAAAGGATATAATCCTTAATTGAGCAAGCATTTAAAGTATATATATGGTGATTATGTGTGTTTATTGATAAAGAGAATATTTCATCTATTGAAATTCATAACTAAATATCAAAGTAAATCGACTGTATTAAAAATCGACCGTACATTAAGCCCCTACTACTATTATGAAGAATTATATGTCATAGGAATCGTAATGCTGAGACTACGTTATCACGTTTCAACTTAACTTTTAGTAGCAGCTTGAAATTTAATATTTTATTTTTTCATTTTGTAGCAATAGATAATATTTTCCGCACAACTACAATATTTTCTAGTATGTTTAAATACTATATAATTGTTACCTTAGCCTTGCTATCGTTTCTTGCAAATATTTCGATGGGAGCCTTTAAAAATCCAGGCAAGTAAATATATCCCAAATTTTATTTAAAGTGAATAAAGGGACTTTACATAAACACAAAATTATTTATAATGAAACTAAGTTATCTTATGCACATATGATGGCTATTGCTGCAAGATTAAAATAATACTTTTAAAAATACGCCATTAAAAATGATGAATTTTAACATTTATGCACAATAAAAATATATTGAAACCGTTTAGACAAATTTAAATTACTATTTCCCCCTCATATATTTTTCTCCATTGGTAAATATCATATTCTTAAAAATTATTTATATAGTTTCTATGTAAAAGGTTAGTTTATGTTGTTTATATGGCGTATATATATGTATGTGGCTTTATTTTCAGATTGTTTCGACATAATGTTCGCATGTTTGGATGGAAAACAGTGCCTTTACCATAAGATGGTATTCTGTGATAAGAAACAGGACTGCAGGCAAGTATTTTCTGATTGTTCTTAGGAATAGAATTAACAGACTTTACCCATACGTACATGTAATAAATAATTTATTTTCAGTTTTCAGTAATAATATTTGACAAGGCCAGTTTCATTACTATTTTGAATTTTAATATTGTTAAGAAGCCAGGCATGGATATGCTTTTCAATTTTTTTTTTTATCTTATGACCATTCATATTATATGCTGCTTCATTTTAATAATTTCTCACAATGCTTCATTTTCATGCTTTACGAAAATGTCTACGTGTGATTTAGTAAAACTTAATAAACTATGCAATGCATAAATGTCTGTTTCATTTTCTCACAATGTTGCATCTGAAGTCTTTTTATCTGACAATATACAGTGACGGGAGTGACGAACGTGACAACATAAAACAGCGCATTGGAAATGAAATATTTTGCGATGGCTTGGACATTGCATCATTTGATAAAAAGTGTATATTACCCGAATACTATATGTGCGATGGATTGGATCATTGTTCTGAAGGTAATATCATCAAATGTATGAAGATGTACAAATAATATTTTTTTATAAAAGCAGCTAAAGGCTGACAGATACATTCAGTTCCATTCTCAAAACTTGTTTGAGCAACCTAGCTTTGACCCAAACTGTTTGATGACAGCCAGTTTTACTTGTATAGACCAGGGGTCACCAACCCGTTGCCCGCGGGAACAAAGTCGCCCATGAAGACCGCATGAGTCACCCGCAGGTTTTTCCCGAAATAAGCTCAATAACGGCGCTTATTAGTAAGCTACGTAAATTAATTTTTTTCATGCTATTCTTGTATAAATCACGCTTATACCTGACACTATATTAACTATTGCAACTATCAACCTGATTTGAATTTGAACTCAGTAATGTGACGGGCCATTCAATACTCTACAGTTTATGATATCACACTGATGTCACCTTCCACGAACCCACGTTTTTTCTTGTCCGTTGATTTGTGGAGCAGCAATAATACAATAATTGATCTCAAAGAAATAAGGCAGAAAATCGAAAAAAGGTCTACCATTTTCACGATGATTGTGAAGTGGATTTCCTTTTACCCCCGTGAAAACAGCCTGTGTATGTCTCACTTGCGGGGCGATTATAGCGACTACTAAGCGGAGAGATATTTCACATCTTGTCACTCTATCCATTGGTCAGTGCAGTACGGGCAGAAAAACCTCGCTTTTTAAATCAAACAGCTATCCTATTTTACAAGACCAGTGTTTAGTTTAACCTATCTTTGTGGATCAACATTTCTGACATGAACTTCACCAGGAACTAAACACAGAATACGCCACACTGATGAAAATCTGCAAGACTTACTCAGAGTTACAGTGCCAAGTTACATGACCGAGTACAACACTCTGGTGGAGAGCATTAGACCACATTTTTTTTTTTTTGGTTCGCTCCTAGTTGAAAATAGAATATTCATGATTTGTTGATTAAATGTGTTTGTAAATGTAACATTTGACAGTACAACTGTTAATTTTAATATATCTTAGGCTTGTGCAGGGTGTTTGTAAAAAAGCACGTACTTGTGGACCTGTGGTTTCCGAGGATATTATTGTAGTGATAACTAATTTAAATAACACTTAGTATGAAAATGGAAGTGCCATAGATAGTAATTTATTTGCTACGTTGTGATAATCGTTAGATTTCCTGAAGAATCTTATGGTTTATCAGGGTTTTTACTTGACTAAATACCAGTGATTATCAATAATTGAAGCCTAATCGAGCAAATTGACTTTTTGGAAGTGTGCATTGAACTGAAAGCCTTCAGCTTAATCGGTACCCAGAAAGTAGCCCTTGGCTTCGAAAAGGTTGGCGACCCCTGGTATAGACGTACCCTTAATTAATATTACACAAAGTATTAACTTTTACCCAGTGTTATTATTGTGTTATTTTTTAATGATATTTTGGTTATGATTACCTATTTATTCAAATATTTGTTAAACTGATTTGCTATATAATCGAGGTAATTTTTTTTTTCGATTATCAGCCATATAAGGAAATATTATAAACAATGACCTCAAACGAAAATTTTTTATTTCAAAAAATAAATAAACAGGAGTAAATAAATGAAGCACTCAGTTTTATCGAACTGTATTAGGATATACTTTTTTTAATGCAGGAGTGGATGAGTGTTTATGTTTTTCTCACAACTCAAAGCGGGAAAAAAGTAAGCTAAAATAAATTAATAATTTTCCTTGTTTGACTACCAGACAACACTGTCTCAAAAACTCAAATTGTATGCTTGCCAGAGCCCCTATATTACCTGAAAATTGAATTTGTGACATGCAGATCCATGCGATTGCGAACATATATATATAATATACAAGAGAATAATTAAAAATATAAAAGATTGCACTACTGCAAAAGTGAGATATAGCTTGGCCTAAACATGACAGCCACTAACTTGAGGCGAATCAATCAATTGAATGGTTCGTTTCGATTTAAAATAAATTTTATCTATCAAGGTTTTTTGGATGACAAGTGCTTTCGTTGTCTGGGTCACCCAACTGTAATTTCCCTCGGTAGACTATGCGATGGTACAATAGACTGTCCAGATCTTTCTGACGAATGCTTGTGCAGCAAAAGAGAAAAACCAAGTGTTTGCAGCAAAATTATCTGGGGTTAGTATATTCAAGTGTGTACATAGTCCCGTAATAAAAAAAAAATCTATTTTAGTTGTATTTTAATTGTTTTCCATACTCATCTTATTTGATCCTATCTTGCTGGCAGACTTGGGACATCATATTCGGATTGTAACACTAACATAGGGCTAACTGTCACAACCATTTAAAAGCTTTAAATAAAAACGTTCATTTCTAAAGAAGATGTTGAATATGGTTCATGGTTTTATGCGAAATTGATGAACACAGGATTATGTTTTCTTTTTTTAATCGGTATCAACAAACAACTCAGACAAATTTAGGGAAATGTAGCAGATTTTGCTTTAGAACTAGCTGTTTTATCTTCTATGTTACTTTGTTTATTTTTAGTTCCTCTTGTGGTTTTTGTGATGTATTTTACTAATCCTGTTTCATTTTAAATATCCCGTAGAACGAAGTTTTATCCAGTTTTTTTTTTTATATAGTAATCCGTATTTCAAATTCATATTGTCACGATGAAATTTGTTTATATAGAAAGTCAAAATGTTGCTAAACTGTATTCCGTTCTTTTTAATAGTTGTTCATGTTATACTTCAGAAAATGGACTTTATAATTTTAATTCTATTTACACAGGATATCTGTTAAATATCTTCAATATTTTAAACAGATAAAGAAAGTGAATTAGAGCAGAAATTTTTATGTGCATCATACAACAATTCCATTGAAATTTCTAAAACGAACATTTGTGATGGAAAGTAAGCGAACTCAATGTAATATAGATTAGGCGAGATATTTTTTTTTTGTTGTTTTTCTTTTCAAAATACATATACACGGAATTGAACAAGTATCTACACATAAGTTGAACAAGTATCATACATTTGATTTGAGGTAGAAATCCTGAATATTAAACTGGGGCCTGCTTTCGTGATTTTGCAAATAAAATCTACACCAGATTTCTCATTAAAACCCAACACCGTCGTATATAGCATATACTCAGTATTATTTAGCCTAGTTCAACTCCCAAAGGTATTAATGGTGTTTTACAGTCAATGTTCTGTAGTAGAGTCGTATATTTCACGAAAATGAGACCTCATCTCTGACGCAAACTGCGAATCGTATAAATACCATCGATTTCAAAATCGCCAGTCATATGTGCGAAATTGTTTACGCGATTCAGACAGGAAATGAATAACATTAACTTCTTTATAATGACATATTATTGGTTTAGCATGTATTTTAAGTCATTCATATCATCCCTGGCGCTGTGATGTTTTGATAAATAAGATTTCGACTGCACCATACTTAGCAGAGGTATCGCGCGCATTAGAATGTTTACGTCTTCCTACGCGCATTTCCGTCGGAAAAAGTAACATTTTTTGCATTGAGGGGGGCTTGTGCACTAATAATTAATTAGAGGTGTGACGTCATCAAAATTTTCAATTGAAGCCTTGAACTTAAAAAATCTGTAAATACAGTCGTTAGTTTTAGAGTAAACATTCGTGCTTTATTAGTGGTTTTAGAGTTGTTCTGTTGAAAAATAACTCAAGAAAACGTTGAAATAAAAATTGATTAATTAGGAATAATTATTAACCCTCTACTGGACACAAAATCACGCAAATTCAATAGAAATTTTGGAATTTTTAGGGACTAATGGTTGACAAAAAAATAACCAATGTAAAATGGCACCAGACCAACCGGCTTGGTAGGGTTTTAATACTATAATTTCAGTTTCAAATTTTTGCTCAATGATTTTTATACATCTATATTTCCTTTTCCTCTATCTCTTGGAAGCTATGTAAATTTGTTATAACATATATAGAAAAACATGCGTTATAATTATGTAACACAAGTTAAAATTAAATATGTGAGTAATTAATGATAAAAATTTATTTTTTTAATAAAAAATTTCATTGATAAAAATTTCCATTTTTACAGCCATAGTTTATAGTTGGTTTATTTAAATTGTCATATTTGATCGCTTGAAGCTTATAATTTATTTATTTATTTTAAATCTTTTATTTATATAGGTTTGACTGTAAAGATAAAATTGACGAAAATAACTGTCCAGAAGTCAAATGTAATAATATAGGTAAGTTCAACCTGAATAAACATTTGTGTTTATAAAATATATCCAACAATCATCTGATGGAATCTGAATTTTTCAATCCTTCTCTTAATAACCAAACTTTATCCATAACCATGTCCACAATTACATGTCATGAATATTTCTGATGTAATTTTTGTTTTAATAGTATGATTACTGATAATTCTTAATTTTGTGTAATCATGTATAACGTGCAAAATATACTGAAATGTCGTGTAAAATGCTGATTCGAAATTGAATTTGAAACACAAATAAAATAAATCGGTATTTCATCTTAGCGTATACTGTAGTTTCCCGATACTTGATGTGAGGTTTGTTGACGTTATGTTTTAGAAAGACAAATGACCCGTAGAATAGTCTTCATGCACACACTAAAAGTTCGTTGTAATGTTTGAACTAGCCTTGGCGCACGATTGTGAATTCCTTAAAACGACGATCGTAATGAAATGATTTATTTAGGAAAGTTGACTGAAAAATGCAACTACAAATGTCAAAATGAACGGACACAAGGTGAGCTGTTACCTAGGGCAAGTTGTTTCATTGAAATTGTTTACATTGCGTATTTTCTTTCAGACGTTTATGCAACAAAATGTGACGAGAAAATCGAATGCTCAAGTGATATGTACTGGGAAGAATGCCATTGTGAATCTGAATCTGAAATTTGGGGGATGCCTAAATGCCCACTTATGATGGACGGGTATAGGTAAAATTGAACTATATTTGTAGAAGCTGCATTAAGGAAAAGTTTACAATCAATCAGGCAGACCACTTATTTTAGTTGGATCTGTCGTGATAGCGCGCCAGCAACATAGAAAGTTTGTGATATCGTTGTTTTTTGCAATGTAGCTATGCCAGCATTGTCAGTTACTGCAACGAGTTCTCGTAGGTCTTGTCTGCTACCTTTTTCTTTCTGTTAGCTTTATCGATACATTGAGACCAGACTGGGGCCGGGAACCACCGTGTGTTAGGATATGAACCATATTCTTTCTTCTTTATCGTAGACATCTACCAACTATTCAGTATCAGAATGCATCAGGTGGTATATCGTAGATTATCTGGACGCGGATTGATACGAGATTTTCAGTTCCTGCAAAGAATATTTTTAAAAGGATTCAAAGTTTAGAACAGAGCTATTTCGAAATACTGGCGTTTCTAAATCAAAACAACATTTGTCATCATAACTAACAACATTTACCCCTATTCGGTTTTTCACTCACATTCCAAACCATCCATTACAAAATTAAATTCGCCGGCGCGTTTGATAGCTCCCAAGCAACACGCTTATCAAACACAATTGAATCTTCGCATTTTTATTATTTTGAAACATCAAAGATTGCACAATGTTTTTTTTACACTTATGTCGATTTATCATGTGATACTGGGTCAAAGGTAAGAAGAGTTTTTTTTTTTTTGTACAAAGTCCCCGTCAACGCACAAACAAAATTTGGATAGATAATTTTTGTTCAAATATAAATGTAATATTGGTATAATTTTGTTCAATGAAAATCTCAGATTTTTCAATTGCGAGTCTTACAATCCTGTTCCCGCCAACGCCGTTTGCGATGGAGTAAAAGATTGTAATAATGGCGAAGAAGAAGAAGATTGTGCAAACAGGTAACAGTAGTTCATTTAATGGTATTAATATGAAGCCTACCTGATATATGATAACATATCTTCTCCGACGATATTGTATCACATTTTTTTGCAGTTGTCTCACAAAAGTGATAATTTTTTTTCTTGCTAATATTGGACGCGAACTGTATCTATGGATCATTTTTTTATTATGTTGTTGTTGTTTGTATTTTTCTTCTTCTTGTGAAAAATTTATTTTCTTTTTAATCATTGAACCAATTGTTTTGAAATTTCCACCGGTGAAAGATTGTTGTTGTCGTCTCCTATTTTTCTTTCAGATTTTTGCATTTTTTTTTGCGTTGAGAAGAATAACATAAATCTAAAATTAGTTCTCAATACAAAGACTACAAAATCTACAATAAAATATAATCATTTGGCGTTAAATACTTTACGTAACTTAAAAAATAAAAGTAGTCTGACCGCTGTGACGCCCAACAAAATAAATAATCGTTCGTTAGCCATTAATTATTTTATTCAACCTATCTTAATTTCATACATGGTGTAACAGTAACCGAGTATTTTATCTAAATATTTCTAAAATTTTCTATTAATCACCAATTGTTTTAAGATTTTACTGCGCCAACCCATCACCAATACATATAGACGAGAGAAAAGTTTGCGATGGACTAAAAGTATTATATATATATATTTGATAGATATTAGGAAAATTTTATTATCAATATTTAAATACTATTTTTGCAATTGTTTTTGCTAAGGATTGTAACGATTTCAGCGATGAACTTGGCTGCAGCGATGAAACACATTTTTATTGTCAAGATAATGGAGAAAAATTATTTATAAATCCAAAGCAGGTATTTGACGCATCTTGGCATATAGATATATATATCGATCGGCCTGATTGATACTAATGTGTAGATTTAGTTTCTGGATTAAAATTGATTCCAGAAAAAATAACATAAGCATAAGTCATATGACGACAAACATCTAAACCCCAGTTTTCCAGCTTGTGTGCCGCGACCAGGGCTGGGCATTTCGAATCGAATAGTAAATTATTTGAATCGGTTCAGACAAAAATTTCGAATCGCCGCCATCCTTTTTTGTCCGCCAACGATTTGATTAAATCTCACATATTTGTTATAGAAGTCGTATTATTAAAATGCAATTCTGATATACGACTCAAATATGTTTCTCATTGTGTGTGAACACTCAGGGAACTGTCTAAGTAATAGATTCTTTAAGTTTTCAGTAATTTATGTGCCCGGAGGTTTCATTACAATGAAAATTACATAAAATTACATTACTTACAACAATTCGAGATTTGATTCGAGAAAATATTCGATTCGGTTTATTCAAAAATGTCCAGTTTTAGTCGAGACACCTCAATGCGTTGCTTGTAGGAAGTTTGTGTATCGCAAACTGGGCATAGAAAAATACATGACGCTAGCTGTTCGCATTTCAATAATTTTTTTCTTACTTATCGGCTTGAAATTAAAATTACTGAATTTACATGTTCGTACATAAACATGAGAACAATCGACTCACATAGTGGAACTAAATTCACCAAATGCTGCTCATTGAAAACAAAGTTGCCTCAGATTTACCTTATTCCATATTGTAATATGCATCTCGTTGTTATGCATCATTTAAATGCTCAAATCGGATAGGCGAAAACAGCAAAACCCTGTGCAGTTATGATTAGCATGCTTGTCCACCTCTCCTTCTTTTTTTATTTGTGACTATTGAACTGACAATACTATGATGCTAGCCATTGTAAGATATAGTATACCTGCCATAACACACACATCAATATTCTACTTTGTCAGAGCAATGTAATACAGTTTGTACTTAATTAGGGGCCAGTGCTGGGGTCCTACTGATTGAATTTGACAACTTTTCAACCCTAACATCATGCCAGTCTATAAGTGTCGTAGAGTTAACGGGTGTATCTTCTTAATCTTGCATTCAGCCAAATATTAAAATGCTGTTTTTAACCAATCAAGCTCATTGAAATTGGAAGTTGTGATTTTTCTTAACAAGTCTGTTTCTTAAAATCAAAAAAATATAACGTGCCCGATATAATTTGCATTTTAAGTCAACTACATCAAAAGTTCACCGATCACAGATAACCCAGAAAGTATCAAAACATAATTCACATACAGTATGAAATTTCAATTCCTGATTATAAATTTTATTTTATTTTAATGATATTAAATAATATTAATAATAAAATTAACTACTTTAATTTAATAATTACTTAATAATTTAAAAATAATTATGCATAATAGATATGTGACGGGACTGAAGACTGCGGAAGTGGAAAAGATGAATGTTTCGAAAAATGCATCACTAGCGTTTTTGCTGATGTACACTCGATGATAAAAAGTGACAGTTTGGTTGCTGCTACGTGGATTATGGGTGAAACATATTTTCACGTTCTGGATTTTCATTATTATAATAATTAGAACGGCTAAAATTCTTGTCAGTAATTCATTTAAAAAATGTTCGATTTATCAGTGCTATCTATGATTCGTAGGGTTCATATATTTATTTGAATCTTTTTCACATGACTGAGGCCCGATTTATTCCAAATGCCCAAGTTGGCCGAGTATAAGTAAGTAACTCTCTAACAATGAATTCTCTACTTACATCGTATTTTATTGCGTGTAACGCAATGTTCTGAATGTTTATTTGAATATTATCTTCAACAAATTCTAAACAATCTTCTTTGCCTTGACATTCTTTTTGTTCTATTCCCGAGAATCTTCGGTGTTTATATGATGACGACGATTGTTGTGTTTTGATTCCAGTTAATTGCATCTTTGGTGCTGAAAATATTGAATACATTTGTTCTTTTTACTTTTTAAGCTATCGTCGCTATATTTGGGAATCTCATTTTGATGGGAATCTTTTTCCGACTATTTTGCCTACAAAATCGGAGATTTAAGTCACTGAAGAAAAACGCAAAGCAAAATAGATTATTTCTGTGTAATCTTGCAATAGCAGATTTTTTTGTCGGGGTATGCATTTGTATTATTCAAATTGTAACTGTTGGGAATTTCCCGGTAGACAATACAAAACTTATTTAATTTTCGGTGCACTAGTAGAATTATATTAGGCTCAAATCAGTATTATGCCAGATAAACAGCATTATGGTATGCAGCAAGCCATTTCTCTCTAGCTAACCATCGTAATAATATCAAGAAACATGCAACTTGAAAGAAGAGTGCCATCCTCCTGCCCCTTCATTTCTCATTTTACAGTCGGAAATGCCGCAATTGAATATAAAAAATTAATTCTTTCACTGTTTTCATTTGATTAATGTGGATTCGATTAAAAGAAGGGATAGGCAAAAAATATGTCATTCGTTAAACATTTTCCTGTTTATGAATTGTTTTTCCACTTAGTTTTGCCTTCAAATGAGTAGATATTCCATTGTAACATTATACTCATAGATCTACACTTATGCCATCTGCTTACGAGCCGCATCGACTAGAGGAGAATATTGCCAAGTCGATAAAGAATGGAGAAGTGGAACGACCTGCTATATCCTTGGAGTGATATTTGTGATTGGATCAGAGACCTCGGTGGTTACCCTTGTATTAATCAATGGATTTCGTCTCCACTCACTTTTGAGGTATTTATAAAATGTTTACTTTTCTCGCTCGAATATTGTTATGAAACCTCATATAATTGTTTATTCAAATTATAGACCGTTCGCTGAAATCCCCATGAAGTGGGTTGTGTGTCTAATAGCAATATCTTGGACTATTCCAACTGTTATTGCTGTATTTCCGTTATTACCTTTCGTTGAAGATTATTTCGTCGACAGCATCTGGTAAGATTTCTTCTAATATACTGTTAATATCATGTCTAAAATAATAAGCTATAATAATACGACCTTTTGGTATCGAATGCTTGTGTATTTTTACTTATCTTTGATTATATCTATTTGAAAAAAATAATAGGAATTGCAAAAAGCTACGGCATAAAACCGGAATTAGTGCAAGTTAAAAAAAAATTGAAGCATGTTCGTTATTGTTATGATATTTATAATTTTATATATATATACTCTTATTTTTTTATTTTCGTTTTCGATTATAATTTCTCTTGTGTTATTATAGTGATGTAGGCAAGGCAAAAATAAGGTTGGTTTATGTGGTAAAATGTGATAGATTGTTAAAAATTATTCACTGATAATTGGTGAAATTATCTCGTAAAAATCTATAAATTTGGGGATTTTTGTTTTTACTAATTTTTTAAAACTTTGTTTTATAACATTATATCGTCGAAAATCGTACCTTTCGGGAAAAAAATACGATATTTGATATGACTTGATTTTTTGTTTCATTACTAAATTTAACATTAAAAGTATATTAATATAATTTTTTCAGGGTCAGCAACAATCCATTTGCGGCCACAATCACGAAACACGAGTTGGTAGAAATCAATGAATGGCTTCTTACCACAGCAAAGTACTCAAATTACCCAACGTTAGTGTATTTACTGCTCACACATTGCTGAAAATAACTGCAAAGTATAAATCTCAATAAAAATGCCTGTTTATTTTTAGAGAATCTCTTCCAACTGATTCGTGGTCGACACTCGAAAAGTCATTTATTAGAATTATCCCAGAATTTGAGATTAAACAGAAGTTTGGATATTACTCGACTCATAGCATTTGTCTTCCAACCTTACTTCCGGATCGAAATAATGACACTGCATGGGCATATGCTATGCTGATAATCATATTGAATTTCCTATTTTTCTTCTTTATTTTGGTTGCCAATATAATCCTTTACAGGTGAAATTTGTATTTTATTGAAATCAAAAGTTCTGCCGCACATTGTAACACAAATTTATTCCTGTAACGTTTTGTTTGGACTAAGTTCTTGTTCACTCCCTTGCTCAGATAATCACTATTTAAAATATGCTTACTATGATAGTTTGTCTGTCTGTCTAAAAAAGTATGACCTATAGGCCAGACGAAACCTTATTGAAATACATCTGTATTAGTGTGCAGCAAGACTGTTGAATTAAATAGAACAGTCATCTTATTTCTCGCTGCAGCATACTTGCGTTGTACACATACATATCCACTTGCGAAAGAGCGAATAGAGCAAGGAAAGGTAGTTAGTTTTGCGTAACTCCAACTGATAGTTGCATACTCCATTTTTTGCTATGTCGAAACTGAATGACACGAAGAAAGTTGTTTTGTTTTTACGTATTTTACTTATAGCTCATTTAGGTTTTGTTTGGACAGGGTTTCTCTAGCAATAAATGTTTGCAACCAACTCTAGACGAATATTTATGTTTATATACAAAGTGATTAAGTGTTTAAGCATCGCCAACTGCAAGTATATTGTTTGTGACTTACACAAATGTTTTTGTGACAACAACGCAAACTCGATTTAATAAAACAGTCTTAGCTGTTTGTTAGAAAGAAAGTCACACGTAATGTGAGTTCTCTTTCCGTTGATACTAACCATGTCAAATGTGGTTTGTAATAAACATTGAAAGCTCAATAACTCATTTTTTGCATAAAAGGACATCTACGAAAAAGAATAAAGTTATCAGTGACAAAGAACGCAAAAAAGAGTCAGAAGTTTGCAACGAAAAGTCACTGTTATTGTGGTGACTGACTTCTTATGCTGGATGCCCGTCTGCGTAATGGGATTTTTGCAAATCATAGGTGAGAAATATTGACGAAAAATTAAATAAAACTCGATTTAAAATTTATAGAAAAAAATAATACTAACTTCAACCCAATAATTTATATTTTAGGTATTGACATTCCAACGGACGCTTACCTTCCAATTGGCTTGATAATTCTTCCAATCAATAGCGCGTTGAATCCTATACTTTACTCCCCATATCCTGAATACATTATAAAATATATTCTAGATATTTTCAAGAAAATATTTAAAAAGAAATGAATAAGTTTCTTGTTTAATGTAAAAAATACTTGTGCTATGCCATTATGCCACGAGTTTGTCTCGTTTAATAATCTATGTCTGGTAAATTTAAATTTTTTTTTATCTCCATGATTCAGTGAATAAATATTTCATATTTTTTGACAACGAAAATGGGTACAATAATTTTGGTAGTTTTGCATGGGCAACCATAGCACACTCATGGCTACTCTTCTTCTATCAGATTTTTTTCGATATCTTACGTATAGAGTTGCTTCATTTTTGTTTTCTTTTAAAAGTGTTCAATTACAGATATTTATTTTAAATAAAGATTGACATTTTTAGAAGAATAATGTTTTTTTTAGATAGTTGTTCGCTCATTCTATTTTCTAAATGTATCATAATAATCATAATCATTATTGTCGTTTCTTTACAGCGATGTTTTAAATTGCGTATTGACGTTGCATGCGGGCATTATAAGATAATAGCGTAATTATGTTTGCCATTTCTTGTTTTAATCTTTTGGTATAAAAATATTTTAAAAGAACCTACAATTTATAACAAATTCGTTTCCAAAATTTTAAATTTTATGAGATAGAATCTCTGCAAAATTTTTAATAACCTGGTGCTTTTTTTCTAATATTTTATGATATATATTGATATATAAAAGGAGTTTTCCTCAACTTTGTGATTAATAACTTACGAAGATGGTAATACAGTTCATGATGCTATTGATCTAGACCTTTTATTTATTTTTTTGCAATCTTCCACTGTTTGCCTTAAGTTCAGATGATTTAAAAAATTGCGTCGTCACAAAGAAACTCAACTATTCAGCAGTCATTTTGTCATAAAATTAAGAAGGGTGAAAGTAACAATAAAAACATTGACTCCTTCGGTTCTTTATCAACTACTAAAATCTCGGGCAGCAACAATTACACGAGGTTGAGGCGGCCTAATCGTTTTAACGACAAAGGACGCTACGTGACTTTCACTGCTGTCTTTGTCACCTCACTAATGTGGATTCCATGCTGTAAAATTCGATTCGAAGTTCGATCTTGCGGTGAATATTTGCCGATGACTAACTAATAAAATTCAAGTATTTCATTGCTACTTGAAAAAAAGTTTTTCTCAACATAATGCGTAATTTTTGACGTTGTAATACTTTTCATTACGATAGAATTACTTCCCTGCCAATAAAGCCATATACTTTATATACAGTGTAAGGCACAATAACTCACCCATGTATTGATCTCACTCTCACGTTTTGAAATGGAGATAACAATAATAATTGTTCTTCAATCCACAAAATTAATGGACTATTCATTGTATTTTGGCATATTGTTCTGGAATATTTAATGATTTTATTCAAACATTCTAACATTATAATGACTTGTCTTGTCTCGAGATATGAAATTAGGCCTGATTACATGTCCATCAAAACCAGTACAGCAAACCAGTTCGGTCAAAGTGGTCTCGGAGACTACTTATTGGCCTCGATTACATGTCCAAACCAACAAGCTGAAAACAGTTTTGGAGTTGCCGGATTAAATCAAATATGTCATGATTTGCAAACAATGCATATATTTTATTTTCAATAAATTCAATACAAATGTTATTTAAAGTATCAAAAGTAAATGCACGTTCTTGATTTAAGTTCTTTGAAGTTATTTGCAGAATATGATGAGGGGTTGTTTTCCCGTTGAAATTTGCCCACAATCTAAGAACAAAACGACAAATTTATTGGGGGCATAAAAGATAGACGATTTAGATCATTTTGGACGACCATCCAGCGTTCAACGCTGCAGACTACTGACACCTTACGCCAAACGATCCATTCGAGAATCACAGTAGGCCTACAGTTACCAGTAGTTTACTGGCAACCAAATCAAAACAATTACATTTTATCAACCAAACACTTGTGTGAAGTGGGCTCATCATATGTAAACAGAAGCACTTTCATTATTTAATATCGCCTTACTACTGCGACGTTACCGACACTGAAGCTTTGTATTTATGCTGGTACCGGTACCGTATGTACAGTAAGGGTACCGGTACCAGCTAGGATGCGGTATGGTGCAATTCCAAAAGAATTCTGGATGCATACTGAAGTCGTACTGCGCTCAATTTATACCAATAAATCTTTAGACGCCAAGATTTGATTCTCTGTTTCAAAACAACAACCTATCATGCCAATATGCCGCACCGGGATCCCGCCAGTACCGGCATTTCAAATTTGTGTTCAACAGCGACACAATAGATGCGGAAGATGTTTAAATTAAACTTGCCCTAACTAGATGAATTTTTATTGGTTTACAAAAGCAACTCACTTACCAGAGATGAAAAAGAAAACAACTTCCGTAGGAGGTCTGATGTTCTGGACCGATAGCACGGATTTGAAACGCAGGCGAACCACTGAAGCGTGAATATGTGGTCTGCTAGACCGGTTCCAGCGGACTACTTGATTCGATGGATTATTGAGAGTTAGTGGCTAGAGTCATAAAATTACCGTCATTGAAAAATATTTCAATTTTTGAAATAAATTTAAAAATTTTTATTGTACAGTCTAATTAGATTATAATAGTATACACAAAGTTATGAAAACAAATAGTAATGTGCGACTTATAACTCGATAAGTATTTATTTTATAAATTCATTTTTGAGTAATATGAAATTGCAGGTATATTTAAGATTTCCACACATAACAACGGAATGCGCAAATGAGCGTCAATTATTACACGCACTAGTGTACTTATGACTCCATGATTCTGCGTATTCAATTATCATATGGCATAAGATATCTTAATATCTCGCATATCTTTAAATTGTTTTAAATTATACGCTTTATTTTACAATAATGATGTTGTTTCTCTTTTGATGTTTGTGCGAATGGTCCATATGGAAGATAACTTTCGACTTCAATAACGAAACTGATATAAAAAATACGAAGAGAGCGGAATTTACTTTCAAACTGTTTTATATGTCTATATATAAATGATCTTGCTGAACTTTTTTTGACATATCTTCAGAGGTAATCTCAAAATAAAAACGCGATTCTCGATAATTCAGAATGCAAATCACTTTTTCCTTATTAGTCCAGCGGGTAAGACCTCAAATTTGATGGAATTGTGCACTTTTGGATGCAAGCATGAAACTTGGCACACATGTACAGTAGCATCCCCTGATCAATTTCGGATATGGTGCCATCCAAGAAAATACCTCGTTGCCATGGAAACGAGGCATCATCCGTATTGCTATTAAAGGAAAATAAACATTACTTTAGGAAAGGATATTTTCAAGATAAGTAAACCGATGTGTATATAAGAAGTGAAGAATATGATCAGAAGTGCATTTTGACAATTTCCCTTGATAACAGAATACCTGTTACCTTGGAACCGAGGTACCGTTATCGACCAAACACAATTATAAGTCGCGCAACTGTATTTTCTGTTATTGTCATGGATCACAAATTAAGCTACATTCACTTTCAAAATGTAATTCCCTTTGTGCTTAATCAACTGCCATTGCCAATGGTATACTTTCAACTCATGGCCACGTAAATCTGGTGAAAATATAAAATATATATCTCATAACTGACGGATTACTGTTATCTTGGAGCTACCATATCGTCATCATATATATATATATATTTATTAATAAAGATAAATTCATTCTCTTAACTCTGGCATTAGTATCGCAGTCAGAAAAAAACCGGAAAACTTGCATCACATTTCAGCTTAAACTAGGCTGGAATCGTTGATTATTCTAATCTATATCTAACGTCGCCTTATGTAAGTGCTACAAAAAGAAACGAATAGAAAAACGATTGAAATAATTATATTTTCCAAAAATATATTCCACAAAGACTCCCCAATAACTAGTGGGGGCAATTGTACTATAGGATATATACTCCTGCCCTTTTGAATGCAAGCATGAAACTTGGCACATCTGCATGATTTTACCTCTTATCCGCTGGACTATATAGTTTTAGATAAATGAGATAAAGATTTGGGAATACGATAAACATAGTTAATATAAATTTTGTAGCACACCCACTGCTATTGTGCTTTGATAATGAAAAGTGAATTAAAAAGGATTTATAATAATACCAATAGAATTTTCAATGAGAAAAACTTGTTTTTAATATTGTGAGTTCAACTGTTCAAAATCTTATCAAGCTCAATCAATTTTTTTTATATTTTTGTTCAATTTTAATTAACGATAAATAATTTCACCATGCTGGGCAACGACTGCATCGACAGAAAAATCATCAACAATGTACTCCGCGTCATCTGGCCTCATAATGGTTGTTACTTCAACGTTGTTACGGTATTTCGGATATTCTTCTTTGGCCCCTTTGGTAAATGAGTATTCATATAACTTATTGTGATTAATATTACTGTTTATAAATAACTACTTTTAACAGAACAATATTTTTTTTAAGATATTCTGTTTGGAAGAATTTCTGTTTAAATGAATAGGTTATGGCAATTTTCAAGTTTCTATAGTTTCTTCTAATTACTCTCGGTATTGATTATATTCCAATACTAGCAATTTCATCAATTGAAAAGGAGTAGCTTTAGGCATTTCGAAATTACTGTTACTTTCTTTACATTCATATTTTTTTTGTTCATATCTAACTTTGAAAAGTTTCATCTTATTGCGTTTTCTATTTTACATTGTAAAACGGAAGGTGTTAAATGCTTGAATATGGAATATTTTGTACCTA